AAAGTACTAAGTAGTACTAGTGTCAAAAGCATGGAAAGCCAAAAAAAAAAAAAAAAAAAAAAGAGAACAAGACAAAGAAGTAATACCTCTGGAGCCATCCATCGGTATGTCCCTGTTTCAGCTGTCATGACCCCTGACTCAGTCTGCACTCTGGCAACCCCGAAATCGGCAACCTTGACAACCTGTTCAATATTATGCAGAATCTAAAGACATTAACCTCTGAACTAGTAATAACTTTTTTGGAGACGGAAGCTGGAAAGACTACATAAACTGTGACCAAATATTGTACAAAGACTACAGTGATCAGTGTCCAAAGATTGAGGCTTACTTCATGTTCGTCCATAAGAAGATTAGCAGTCTTAAGGTCCCTATGAATAATATTGTTCTGATGCAGATAGTTCATTCCTTTGGAGACGTCAAGTGCCACTTTGAGCAAAGATTGAATTTTAAAAACGCCTTTGTGTTTGTGAAGAAAATCATAGAGGCTCCCCCGAGTCATGAACTCTGGTACAAAAAGCATAAAATCAGCCGACCATGAATATAAAAGCCAAGCATAATGAAAATTTAGGGTATATAGTATATATACTATACAATAACCTATAGGAACCTCAATGTTCTGCTGAAACAACTTTCTCACAAAGAACGAAGATACACAACCAAGAGAAAAAAAAAAAAAAAATCTAGATGGACCTGTCTCCTATTCAATATTTACTGATAACTTACCCGTCACAATGCAGAGGTTTGGTGATCGTGTGCATGCACCAATAAACTGGACAACATTTTTATGTCGGACTTTCCTACATATAGAAAAGTATCAGTAAGAACCGTCCCATTGAGAATTTAGTGTATGTCTGAAGTTTAACTTTGCTTAATGGAGGTTGGTTGTACAAAAATGAGGGCACACCTCATTATATACACTTCCTGAGAAAACTCTCGTAGCATTTCTGCATTTACACGCTCAGGCTTGAGAATTTTAATAGCTACTTCCTGACTACAATAGGTTCCTCTAAATCTGCATAGCCATCAAGCATTTATACCATTAACTTCCTGATACTGTTTAAACAAAAAAGAGAATTTCGGGATACTAAACTCACAGTTCCCCATATGATCCACATGCCACTTTTTTTTCAATTTTGAGTTGTTTCATGTCAATTTCCCACTCATCAGTGCCATCCGTAGGTATTTCAACACAAGCAGGTAGCAGCTCGTTGGTTGATTTGTCATGCTCAAAGAAAGTAATAGATTTCTGTTTTGAACAAGGTTGATCCTGCAGAGCAGCCAGTGTGGAATATGGAGACATGACAACTATCAAAATTCATTCAACCATTGCAACAACACATCAGTACAGCGTTTGGAGCGAGCTAATGTTAGAGCATTACTTGCATTTTCAGAATTCCAATTGAAAATGAGACATGGAAAATATATGAGGAATCACATGAAGATGATAAATGGTTATGACGAGAAAAGTATAAAAGATACCTTAAGCTTCCTTATCTCCTTCCCCAATGCATCTTTTAAACCTTCTGTTTCCTGTATTTCCAAAATGCATAAAGTTTGTCAACCAGCTTAGTGATGATGGTTCTGAAAGATGTGATACATACAGGAAACAGATAATATACCTCCTGTGACCAACCATCAACAACGAATACATCCAGAGAGAAACCATCCGCGGTAGAGAAAGCATGAGCCTCTTGTATATTTAATCCCAGTTCACCAAGCATAGAAGTTAACTGGAGAAAAAAGAACGTTTCTCGCTCAGATATTAGCTTAATCGAAAAAAATAACCACCCATTCTATAATGGATACTTCAAAGTGCACTTAACCAGTGGAAACAAAATGAACATATTTGTATTTTGAAATTCATAAACATCACTCTACTCAACAAAGAAGAATATTACAGATATTGTAAATAAAGATACCAAGTCACATGTTTTAATAATCAGAGCTGACATAAAAAGAAATGGAAGAACCAATGTATTAACCAACCTGACTGAGGAGTTTCGGCTTGTCTATTGTAGAAAAGGTGATTTCGTGCATCGGTCTGTAAGATAGGAAACAAAGTATAATGTCACCACCACATATGAGAGGACGATTCAATGCAACAAAGTATTTCTGTGTAAACTCTATGCAGACAAGAAAGACCAAAGGAAATACAATATTAACTTTGAGAAGAATTTTCACCGAGAATTAGGCAACTGTGCATTGACAGCACTATCATCGTCTTCAGTATGATCTTTGTATGCTTGTGTAAGAGCCTCAAAATTAGGAGAAGAACCAAAAGTTGGAGGTGCAAGAACCCTTTTATAAGAGGAAGCAAGGAAAAAAATAGTAGAAATGTTAGTGAAAATGATAAAAAGATCAACCAAAATATTCATAGTATTGCATAAATCCCTTGCCTGCTCGAGTTGTAGGAGCTTTGAGCATCTTCCTTCACAGCAGGATCAGAAGAATCAGCGTCACCAGAATTCCCATTCAATGTGGGAGAAACCTGTAAGAAGACAGGAACACAGGGGACATAATTACGTCAGTGAAATGATCATGCAGCTAATTATTCGAACAAAGATATCAAACATGAAACACACACCTGAACACAACGAACTTCAAAGACAGGTCTAGTAGCAGGATCTTCAGCTAATTTGAGTAATCTCTGATGAGTAAGAACATCTTCAGCCCTCTCAACATTTACATCGAGAGCATATCTAAGACAGAAGTAAGTAAATCATCAGTACTAATTAAACGAGCAAGTCAAAGTATACACGTGGTGATAAAACATGCGAAATGATCAAGTGTCCTTGAGACAATAAAATGACAAAAATCCACTTAAGATGTCCGTCTATGACCCGAAGTCTGAAATAGGGAGGGGGGGGGATACCGAGCAGGGAGACGATTGAAATGAAGCCAGAGCTGATCATCAAAACCAGGGAAATGAGCTTCTTCGTAATTGAATTCTTGAATTCGCTGAAGAACCTCGCCGTAGACCTCGAGTTTCATACGATGCTGTCTAGGGTTTTCTTTAGAAACAGAAGCCACGACGGCTCTGCTTCCGCAACTCTCCTCAGTCTCTTCTTTGATCGCCATCGGGATAACACAATCCACGAACGAACGCTTGGATCGAGAATTTGAAAAGACAAAAACAACAACTACAGTAAACTTAAAACATAAACACTAGGAATAGTCGATCTCTTCGTTCGATCCAAAAGCCACCCAAAAAAGAAAAGAAAAGGGGAAGAATGATCCACAAGATTCAAGTAAAGGTTTTGAAAAAAAGATGAGAGAGAGAAGAGAGAGAGATGGAGTTTGCTGGATTTGGGTAGAAAGGGCAGGGAGGACCATGAACGTTTCGTTGTGTAACACGTCAGACTTGTCCACGTCATCCATATGAGTGTGGGTCACGGGAATGAGCACTCTGTTTCCCTTTTCTTTTTTTCTTTTCTTTACAACAAACAAAAAAAAAAAAAAAAAAGAAGAAGATAAATAAAAGCCTCTAAATGGATAATGGACAGTGTTTGCTTTTTTTTTATTTTGCTATGAGATATAAATGCATTTATGAATGGTGTGTGTGCGTGCTCTCATGTTTAAGATGCATTAATAAAACAAAAAGGAAAACGAGATTGGTGTATGTATATGGGTGATAGAGATGATACCTTTTTTATTTTTATTTTTTTATTATTTTGTGAATTGTTGACACAAAATATGATGGCATGTTCTTTATATGACTTTCTTTCCCATCGTTGTTTAAGTTTAATATTTTAGTAATTACACTCAAGTGTTCTTCTTACAACTTTACACGGGAGTTATGATCTCTTTTTCTCCTACATATACAGTATTATATACCAAAGTTTTCTTACACCAAAATATTATGTTGTCAAACAAACAAAAAAATAACAATTTTTATACGTGGGCCGAAATTATAAGTACAGGCCTTTCAAATTTCAATCCTAACTTCTACAGAACCATATTTATTAGGCCCGTGTGGCCCATATTTAGTTGGTTTTGCTTCTAAATTGACCTGCGAGAGATATGCTAATTATATGTCAACTAAATTTATCAGAAATTAAACTAAATTTTATACTAAAACTGTACATTAAACTAAAAAAAAAAAACTGAACTGAACTTATCAGAAATTACAAAATAATAATAATAATTAGAAATGAAAGAAAACAAGAAGAGGGGAATATTACACAGCTGTCAAAAGAAATGTGCTGACGTGACAAAACCCAATCAAACAACCAATGATTGGTCAGTGCTTCTCTTTCCTTCCTCCCCTCCAGATACTTTATTCCCTTCAAAATGCACAATGAGTTTATAATTTATTTGATACTCCTTTTTTAATTAATACTATTTCAGAGAGTTTGACTCAGCTAATAAACGTCTCCGGAGATCTAACCTTAAAATGTTTCACTGCATACCTCTTTGTTGTATTAACAAACAATCAAATTTGATCTTAAATTATAATTCATCCAAAGACTAATAATAAAATGTAATACAAATTAAATCAGCTTATGAAATAAACTACAAATAAAAAATGACCACAAGATGCGGTTGAAGGTAAGGTCCATTACACGTAGGACATAATTACCAAACAGAGGAGAACATGTGTAGGAGGAAAGAGATAAGCCAATTGCTTGTCGGGTACACGCTAAAACCACCTGAGACGCGTTTTCTTATTGGTTGGTTACTTGGTTTATCAAAACCCCAAGATACTACTACTATCAACATATATAATTACGTAAGTAACAATGTCATACATTATCAGGTTTCCTTCCTTGCGTTGTATCTGAATCAGCCACAATAAATGATTTGAAGCGTAACACACGATAACATCAAAATATATGGAAGAGATATTTTAATCTTTTCATATATATGTGAGACTTTAATTAGTCTCATGCATCTTTTATTTTATGGTATAGAGACACAAAGACAATTATTCCACTAATAAACGATTAAGTAATAATGGTAAAGCGTAACGTGGTATTTGTTTAATCCCGTAAGTACGCAAGCAAAAGGAACTACTAATATATTTTCTTGAAGAGTACGTAAAAAAATTAAATTTTTTTAAAAAAGGTTAATGATGTTGAACGTCATCGCATCATCATTGCTCCACCACTCCTCTATTTATAGTCTTTTTCTTCGTTTTGTTTTTTTTCCTCTACACTCTTTTTACATTTGGTCCCTATAATATTGCTTCTTCTTCTTCTTCCATTTTTCTTTTATATCGGATATTCGTCTCTTCCACAGAACAGAGAAAAGAGCAATAACGTAAAAGTGTGAAGAAACCAAGTAAAGAGAAGAGAACAGTTATGGGGCAATGCTCATCGACGACAAGGACGAGGAGAAGAAAGAGGAAAAGGCAAGAAGAAGGTTGCAGAGAATCAATGGGGAGGAATAAAGGATGTTTAGCGATGGTCAAGGAGAGGCGTTCTAGGTTTTATATCGCCCGACGATGTGTTCTTATGTTGCTTTGTTGGCACAAATACGCCAATTCTTGATGAGGTTTGTGTTAGACCATCATCAACGCTGGGTTATTAGGCTAATCTTATGTGATTCTTAGGTAAATTTAGGATTAAATTTAAATCAAAATACAATTAAAATCATAAGATCCGTATATTATATAAGATCAAAATGAGGGTGGAAGAGGTGTATACGTGGCAAGCATCGATTGGCTTTGATGATAAATATATAAATCATTTTTTTCCTTTTTTTCATTTTTCTTTCTTCTCTCTCTCTCTCTCTCTCTCTCTCTCTCTCTGTTCGCGAAAAAGAGAAACGAAGAGCGATTTCTTCGATTCTTCCGTAATCCGACGATGAAGCCGGAATGAGTCATCGCCGGCCATCGTTTCCGGTAGATGATGAAGACGACTGATTCCCTTTCTCCGCGGCGGCTGAAGTTGACCTAATCGACGAGCAAAGGAAATCGAAATCGGCTGAAGTACACCATATCGATTCAAAATCGGCTTCGGTTGTTCGAAATCAGAGTCTTGGGAGTACTATTCGGCAGTACAACGTATGTATTTGGTTCTGATTGTTAGAATTGAACTGATTTTAAGTTTTAACAAATTAGGGTTCTTGCTATTTGGGAAATTAGGGTTTCGTGATTTGGGGGAAATGGGATATTCGTTGTTAAGGCGTTAATTAAGGTAATTAAGCAACGATTTGAGTGTGTGTATGTATTGTAAGGTATGATTTTTTGATAAACTAAGGTTGATTAAATCCGATGGTTGCTAGGAAACGTTTTTCTTTGGTGTGGTTCAAATTTTCGATAATTATGAAGGTGGATCCTTATTGTATTCATGAATAAATAGTATTTGGTTGATAGTTAGGTATAGTAGAGATGTTTAGGTTTGAAATGTTACATGATTCGATTTTGTCTTATGAATCTGACTTTTTGTTATGTGTTATATGCGAGGACTGGCGATTTGAGCAAGAAGTATCAAATGGTTTGCTATAGAAAAGTCAAACAAGCCCAGAGATTGAATCCGGTTAGTGATCACATGAGCTTAAATGTGATTAAGTTATTACAATAGGTTGGATCTTAATTGTTCTCAAGTATTTTCATTAGGTTATGTTGTTATGCGATTTAATGTTAGATATAACAAAGAAGTATAGGTTTCATTGTTCTTTTGAATTTGATTTTGTGACTGATTTTGAATTTTATTTTCTCTGTTTGGTCAGAGATGTGAGATGCTTCTGCTAGGGTAGGGATGAGATATGAGGAGATAATTCAGAGCTGCAAAGATAAGCTACAATCTGGTTAGTAAACAACCAACTTGTACTATTTGTGTAAATGAAAATTGAACTAGTTATGCATCGATTGAGACTTGAGTTGTTGTGATTGAAGTTAAATGCATATGAGTGTTTGTGATGTATAGTAGTTAAGTTGTAGGTGATTGAAGTTAAATGATTTGAGTGTTTCTGCTATGTGTATAGTTGTTTAGTTTAGTTGTTGGTGATAGGAAAGTTTTTGTGATAAATGCTTTGTACTTCTCATTTAATGTAGTTCACAACTGTAAATTAAACTTAAAACAAACTCTTTAAACCTAAAGCTAACTCTTTAACCTAAAGCACAACCGATTTTCATTATCTTCCATCCTCTTTCATTCTCTTCCATCCTCTTTCATTCTCAACCATTCCCTTCCATCCTCTTTCATTCTCAACCATTCCCTTCTCTGAAATGAATCCATTTGGTAACTCTTCTGGATTCATGGACCTATTAACCACTCAACAATCAGCCCCTACCCTTCAGCCCAGTAGGTATGACTCAGATTCACCAAGTATTAGACTTGGTGCATCTGAAGTTCCTTTCTTCTTCAGCTCTCAATGTTCTGAAGGACCTACTGAAGGTGAATTCCCTGCTGCGAGAAGCACACCAAAGAAGAGGAATGCTTGGACAGGTCCAGAAGATACGGTTCTCATATCTGCATGGTTGAATACTTCCAAAGATCCGGTTGTAAGCAATGAGCAGAGAGGAGATGCTTTCTGGAAGCGGATTGCAGCATATTATGCTGCAAGTCCAAACGTTTCTGGTCTATGCAAGAGAGAGCCTAGCCACTGCAAACAGAGATGGGCCAAGATTAATGACGTGGTGTGTAAGTTTTCTGGTGCTCATCAGGCTGCAAGCAATCAGATGGCATCAGGTATGAATGATGATGATCTCATCAAGATTGCACACCAAATATATGAGCAAGATCAGAAGAAGAAGTTCAACATGGAGGCTGCTTGGAGAGATTTAAGGCATGACCAGAAGTGGTGCTCACTTAAGACTTCAAAAGAGATTGACAAGAGTAAGAGAAGAAAGGGTGAATCATTCGATGTGTATTCATCAGAAGCTAGCCAAGCCACAAACGTTTCTGAACCTTCTCAACCAAGACCTCCTGGTGTGAAGGCAGCTAAGGGAAAAGGAAAAAGGGCTGCAACAACATCACCAAGTGTAGAAGGTTCTGGTCAGTCAGTGGATAGAGTTCAAACTTTGTGGGAAATCAAACAAGCAGATTTTGCTTTGAAACAACAAGAGTTTGCTCTCAATGACAAACTAAGTAACAAGAAACTGCTGGATACTCTTCTAGCAAGATCTAATCCGTTGACTGACAATGAGGAAGCATTATAGGACAAGCTAATTAAGGAGCTATTTGGTTGAATCTCTAGGCGATATGCTTCTGGTTGTAGTGTCCTTAAGTTTGTGGTTGTAGTTTCTGTTTGGTTGTGCTTGTATTATGTAGTTTCCTTAAGTACTTCTGGTTGTATTTTGTGCTTCTATTATGTAGTGAATCTAAGTACTTCTGCTTGTATTTTGTGGCTGGTTATATTCTGCTTAATCTTATGAATCTATGTACTTCTGGTTGTGCTTGAATTTATGATTATGCTTCAGCTTGTGGTTGTGGTTAAGTGCATAGGTTCTGCTTGTATTGGTTTCTGAATATGAGACTTGTTGTGTTGTGGTTTTTGAGACTTGTTGTGTTGTGGTTTTTGAGACTTGCATAGGTTCTAGTTTTTGAGACTTGTTGTGTTGTGGTTTTTGAGACTTGCATAGGTTCTAGTTTTTGAGACTTGCATAGGTTCTGAATACTTAATACTGTGAAGTTTACAAATGTGTAATGACTTTGTGACTGTTAGTAATATTGTTTGGTTGTGCATGTAGATTCACGGACAGCAAAGGACATCATCACATACACAACAAATTAGATTAACGGACAGCACATGCCTTCTCATCACAGCAACCACAAGACACAACAAGACACCACATGCCTTCTCATCACAGCAACCACAAGACACAACAAGACACCACATGCCTTCTCATCACATCAACCACAAGACACAACAAGATTCACGGACATGCCTTCTCATCACAGCAACCACAAGACACAACAAGATTCACGGACATGCCTTCTCATCACGGACAGCACATACACAACAAGACTTATGGAGATAGTTTTCTATATATACATCCGTGTTTGTGTAGTTTTTATACATTCTCTATTTTTATGTTCATGTCATTCATATCTTCCTTTGTAATTCAATCTCTCAAAAATAATTCTTCTCTTCCTTTGAAAAATAATTGAGCCCATCTTTTACATTAAAACTCTTTCTTTGTACTTCAAACTCTTCCTTTGTAATTCTTCTCTTCCTTTGAAAAATAATCGAGCCCATCTTTTACATTAAAACCCATTTTTACTTCTTCTAAAAACTTGTTATTATCTTGTACCAATCCAAAAAATCCAAACCACAAATCCAAAAATCCAAACTCTTTTCCTTTGTAATTCTTCTCTTCCTTTGAAAAATAATCGAACCCATTTTTACTTTTTCCAAAAACTTTTTATTATCTTGTACCAATCCTAAAAATCCAAACCAAACTCTCATACAAAAAAAAAAAAAATCCAAACCAAACTCTCATACAAAACAAAAAATCCAAAAATCCAAACCAAACTCTCAATGGCATCATCTTCCCGAGATGAATTAGGACAAGCTTTAGACGAAGAATTTGATAATATCTTCCAAACCGAATTGGATAATGCTTTGTACTCTTACGATGATCCTCAACCACCCACCAAACCGAAGAAAAAAAGAGTATATATCGAAAGACACCGTGAAGAAGGACACATCAGGTTATGGAACGATTATTTTGGCGAAAATGCCACTTTTCCTCCTCCTTTATTCCGACGTCGTTTTCGGATGAATAAGCACTTATTCATCCGTATTGTTGATCGACTATCGAATGAAATGCCTTTCTTTCAACAAAGAAGAGATGCTCTAGGAAGGTCCGGTTTCTCTGCACTACAGAAGTGTACAGCAGCAATTCGTATCCTTGCGTATGGTTGTGCGGCTGATGCGGTTGACGAATACCTCCGGATTGGTGAAAGCACAGCAATGAAGTGCATGGAACATTTTGTGAACGGAATAATGTATTGCTTTGGCGATGAGTATCTCAGAAAACCCACGGCACAAGATCTTCACAGACTACTCATTATTGGAGAGATAAGAGGATTTCCCGGGATGATGGGAAGCATCGATTGTATGCACTGGGAGTGGAAAAATTGCCCAACCGCTTGGAAAGGGCAATATACACGTGGCCATGGAAAACCAACGATCGTATTAGAGGCTGTAGCTTCCCAAGATCTTTGGATATGGCATGCGTTTTTTGGACCTCCAGGTACTTTGAACGATATTAATATTCTTGATCGCTCTCCCATTTTTGATGACCTCATAAAAGGACGAGCACCAAAAGTGAAGTATGTTGTTAACGGGAATGAATATCGTATGGGTTACTATTTGACGGATGGAATTTATCCTAAATGGGCTTCATTTATCCAATCAATTCCACTTCCACAAGGTGATAAACCATCTTTATTTGCCACATGTCAAGAAGCTTGCCGTAAAGATGTCGAGCGTGCTTTTGGAGTTTTGCAAGCTCGATTCGCCATTGTAAAAACTCCGGCACTTATTTGGGATAAGGAAAAAATTGGAAATATTATGCGAGCTTGTATAATACTTCACAATATGATTGTAGAAGACGAACGAGATACGTATACACAGTTTGCTGTCACCGAATTCCAACAGGCGGAATCTTCCGGAAGTACTGAGGTGGTTTCCGGCTATTCTGACGATACCCCTTCAAGTATCGTCGATATGATGGCCACTAGAACTCGAATTCGTGATCAAGTTATGCATGAACAATTGAAGAACGATTTGGTCGAGCACATTTGGACTAAACATTCTACAAATCATGTTTAAATTAATTATGCTTTGTGTTTATGTTATTTATGAAATAAATTGTATCTCATATATGTTTTAAATTTTGTTTTTGTATCTCATCTATGTTTTAAAAACTTTATTTTGCAATAATTATTAAGTTTTTAAAATTGTAAAATTTTTAATTAAAAAAAAAATTATTTAATTCTAAGATTCATTAGTTAAGAACTCACCAATGATCTTGCATAAAAACATATAAACTTAATTCAACTTTTTATCATCACTTTACTCAATTAAATTACTAAATATATTTAAGGATTCATTTTTTAAAGATTCCCATTGATGATGCTCTTAGTGTACTCGATAAATTAAAGATGTATATACGATTGTTTTGACTCTCTCTCTGGTCATAGCTTTGTTTTTGGGGTTTCTTTTTTTTGGTTTGGTCTCTTTCTACTTTTTGTTTTAAACGAATATTTCCCAACAAGATACTGATCACAAAAATATTCCGATTCACTAAAAAAAACTAGTGTAGCGACATAACAGAGAAGCTGTTAGAGTTTGTAGTTTTCACTTCACCGAGTTCTGACAGAATAAAACGCAACAACAGAAAACACATGAAACCAAAAGTGTCAGCCTGACAGAATCTTTGTGCTATTTTAAGGATGATCAATTACACAGCCTAAATCAACAGATGTGATTTGTTGAATTCTTTTGTCAAGAAGATGAAACAGGTCATCTAGAGCCACGGGGTTCATACCTTCTCTCTGACCTCTCTGACCTTCTTTCTGACCTTCTCTCTGGGCTTCTTCCATAAGGAGAGTAAGACCTCTCTCTTCTAGACCTTCTCTCATCACGAGGTGAATAGTCACGTCTTGGTGACCTACGGTCTCTATAATCATCACGGTCATAGTGCCTCCCTCGACTGCTATGGCCTTCTCGATCTTTTTTTACATAACATAAAAAGATTACAGAACAGTGAGCAATCTTTTTATTTATTGACAGACTTGATAACTATTAACAGAGGCTACACAAATGTTCTCTTACCGTTTTCTCTGGAGCTTTTCAAGCCAAGATAGTGGCCTGGGGTGGGAGTTCTCGGGCGCTTTCTCCGGGACTGAGGATAACACAAAGTACATAAAACATCATGTAACAAGTTAAACAAAAGCCACAGTATATTCAAGGAAACAAGATGCATCCTAGTCTGGAGAAAACTTGACTAATAATTGTTGATACTTGATAGTTGATAATGTCCTTTGATTAGTTGAGAGTTGAGAGTAGAGGCAATATAGTTGCATATGATTAGTTGGATCAGATCATTTGGAAAAGCTGTTTAAGCTGGCGATTTGATTGATCAAGCTGTGTTTCACTTAATGATGGTGAGCAAGCATGAGTACTCTTATCATCTCTGATTGTTGCTTGACGCAATATTTTCTGAATGGTCAGAAAACCTCCAAGTCAACAAATAATGATATCAAACTAATCACATCGCACCAAAATAAGCATGAAACTTTTACCCTTTCGACAGTTATGTATCGGCCTTCTAGTACGGACTGGTTGAGATATTTAATGCACCGCTCAGCATCTTTAAGGCTATCCATTGTAACAAAGGCAAAACCACGAGACACACGGGTACGCGGCTCCATCACAAGAAAACAAGACGCAACCTATTGAAATGAAACTAGTTAACTACACATTAAGGATTGTATGCTCAAAACATGCAGAGGCAAGAAATATATTTAAACTGGCAACATTAGAAAGGAGAAATCAGCTTAGATGTTATCACCTTTCCTTCCTTGGAGAAATGTGCTTCAAGATCCTTGTCAGTGACTCTTGTAGATAGACCAGTCACATAGAGCGTTGTACCAGGGTTTTCAACTTCACCTCTGTCAATCAAAATTCATTCAGATAACGGAAAACTAAACATTAGAAATTATCAATCCAATTACATAGAACAAGACAATCCAACTCAGAAGGAAAAAGCTAGAACTAACCTTCCACGGCTTCTTGACCTTGACCTATAAAGTGTACAGTCAATGAAAAAAGATTAGACATAGCCAAAAAAAAAGCTACATAAGAAAATTCTCTACTTCATGCAAATAACTAACCTCCCACGGCTTCTCAACGGAGATATGGGTCTAGGCAACGATCGTGACCTAGACCTGGACCTAAGCCTCGACCTGGATCTAGATCTTGACCTGGATCTGGCTCGTCCTTTCCGGGGTGAAGGAGATCGTGAATCCCTGAAGCAAAAATCGCACAGTATTACAAAAAAAAAAGGGTTCATTTATGGCATCTCTCACTGAGACTTCGTACTTCCAAACCACAATCTAATCTAAGCTCTCTTTCCGTCCAATGCGCTACAATATCCAATTAATTAGCATTTGCAGCAACCCAAAATCAACAAAATTACAACTACATAGAAGTCAAAATTCCCAAATCCACCCGTCAGATTCACAACTTACGCAACCCTAATGCAATCCAACATTGTATACACCAAAAGAGAACGATTTATAGTGAATAATACGGCAATTTGAACAAACACGAGCACTAGCCCTGAAAATGCGAAGCTATAGAAACTTGAAATCTAACCTTCTTCTTGGAGGAGAATCCGCCTGCAAAAACAAAGTAAGTATCTCAATTTCCTCTGAGACATAAAACGTAGATCAAAAGAAGAACATACAAATTTAATCCTCGAAGCTCACCATTGCGAAAGAAACAGAGGTCGCGATCGAGAACGGAGAGTTAGGGTTTAGTGTAAGCAAGGAAGCGTAAAATTACTTCTTCGTTTCCCCCTTGTCTACAGATGAAATTTATTCTTTAAATCTTATATTATAGGAGAAGTAACTCCATGTGGCAAGACTCATGTTACCTACGGTGCACATTCTTCAACTCGTAATCAATCCGAATTTTTATTTCCGGTCTGCTTCATTCTTCCCATTACGGTTTATTTAGGGTTTTCCTTAGATTTTCACTTTATGCCGGGTATTAAATCAGATTTAAAAGCACGGGTCTGTCTATGAATCTTCGGTTTAGTTCGGTTGAACAATTTTTTGTTTACATTATTACAGTTACACGTAACAATTAACATCATTAATTAATCAAATTATACCCAGAAGAAAAATAAAATATCCTCATATAGTTTTTCCTCATAGCTCACTATTTCTACAATTTGCACCCAGACAAATATTTGACGACAATCACAAAAGAATGTATGAAAAGAACAACACAGTTAAATGTACAACTCAAACAACACTTTCCAGCTATTTATTCAGGATCAGAAGAAACCCCCAAAATGCTGAAATTTGTATTTAACATTAACATTATGTGGTTAAAGTGTCGGGAAGAGCCATGGAATGAGCTCCAATGATCTTACCACCAACATCTGGGAAATTCTCGTAATCAGGAAGAGGGCTCACTTTACCATCTATGTCTACTTGTAGAGGATACTTTATTAAGTGACCTTGTAGCTCTGAGAATTCCAAATCTATGAATTTTTTCCAGTTTCCTTCAGAGATTTCGTTCACGTTCTTCACACATTCCAGATCTGCTGGCTCCACAAATTCATCTCCAGTTTTGCCTAAATGCTCTGCCCATAGTGACATTCTGTATCCATACACCTGTGTAGATTATAAAGAATAAAGATAAACATCAAACATCTTTGTGTGTTGTACTTTCACGAAGTATATATACACTGGTTCAAGTATCTAGAACAGAACACACACTTTCTCAACCTAACTTTTCATTTCTCCACTGTTTCTAAACCGGACACTAAAGATGTAGACTCTAATAGACACTTTTGAGATTTTGGTTACGGTATGGTGATGATGATGACAATGTTAGGAGGAAGGCAAGGCAAACCTGGCCACGTGGGTGTTTTCCCTTGTGAACCCATGTATGATGAGGTTGATAGGCGCCCATGGCTATTTCAGTATCTTTCGTCCCAGCCATAGATCTTTGGTTGATATTAGCAGATCCCATGAGTACATACTCATCATCTACTATCATCCCCTTTGCGTGCACATAAATCATGAAACGCTGGAACTTATAAGAATCCGACACCTGAAAATATGCAGTTAAAAATATCATAAGGAACTTGTTTCCACTGACACTACTGGAAAGTATATGTATTATTTCTTCATCACTAAGCTAGCGTTTGTCTGAATGCCACAGTTTTTAGTCTTTGAAGCTTATACCGCATTGCCATTGGTGGCTGGCATATCATCTGGAAGTTGCTCTCGTTTCCCAAGGCAATAAAAGTTAAGGTAATCGAGAGGATGAGCATCTGATTGCACCGCTTTCAGTTCTTTTGCTATGACATCATACATCATCTGCATAGTTTGGCTCTGCAAAATGAAAAGAACAAAAGAGGTTTGTTTCTCTTAAAAAAAATTGGAATCATCTATTTTCGTATCAGCAGTGATCTTACACTCAGCTAAAAATGTTACCTGCCAATATAGAATTTCTTGCACAGGGCCAGACTTTGGGTCGCCTTCAGGCCACAAAGGTATGACGACATATACAGCAAATCTTTCTTTAGCTCTGATTTTACTAACAATCTTTAGTGCCAACTCCATAGGAATAAGATTATCAGCTCCTACTCATTCAAGAAGAACCCAGAATCAGAAAATCAACGAAGGAAAGCTAAAACACCTTTCATTTATACAGATGGAGAATACATTTCATACAACAGTCATGTGAAAATATAGCCAAGCATACAAAACTAGTGAGCAATTTATTCCTAGTCTAAGAACTGTACTCAAAGATCAAGACGTACCAGCATCTTTATAGGAAGGCCAAGCATAAGAAGAACCCAGGAAATACTGATTCTCGATATATATGAAATGCTGAGCAGATCTGATTGTCTGGATATACGCTGTCTGGATGCTTTTATCTACAACAAGACGCTTGGCACATTCCAGATTCTGCAGTAAATAAATAATTTTGAAGATTAAGTAGTGCAATTTATACCATGTGGGAATTATAAACAGCAATCATATTGTTTAACTGTTGATCGTCAAGGAAAATTACTAGTAATAGCAAATAAGTTAATCTACCAACCTGAACCTCAGCCTCATCTTCATATTTTGGAAATCCTTTCACAGATCCTGAATCGATAGAACGAAACACCTGAAAGTCAGAAACCACATGGTTATATTAAATCAACAAAAATATGTTACATGAAAATATTGTTAGGAAGGAATCTGGAAGGACCTGAACATGCCAGTTCTCAGGATCATCTTCTTTAGAAACCCAAACACATGGATCGTCCTCTGGAACAATTGAAGTACCATCCTTCAAAAATTTAAACACTGGACTTAGAATCCACGATATGCGTCCTATCCGGATCAAAGCATCATCCTGCCAGTGAGTTTTCCCCTTTAAACGTAAGCTGAACTCCTTCCAACGTGTTGCCTTTCTCCATCGCTGCTCAAAGTTCATGAGAACATCATATGCCGCAGGCCCATCTATTCTACAGTGCAAATCATGCCAAGGTTGTCTTGGAGCCTTAGTACCAGTCTGAGGAAGTAGACACACAATACGAATCAGGAATAAAAAATATATAAGAGATTAGGAAATAACCAGTAAATAATTATATACTCACCGGAAATGTAGGATTGTGAAAATCATCCTTAAACACAGTGTCAAGATCGTGGAGTATCCTATGTTCAGGTGTGTCATAGCGGCCATCACAAAGATCTATACCTCCAATAAAAGCAGTAACCTTACGATTATTACCAACAGCCTGAGTGTCTACAAGAACACATTTTTGATGGTGCGTGAAGAGAGTGCCAACAACCTGGGAAGTAAACAAATAACTTAACCTGAGAGAGACAAAAAAAGAAAGAATCTTCCATGGAAAAAAACATATATTTAAAGAGTCAGGACTTGCCTGTTGTTTGAACAACCCAAGTTTACTGCTAGCATAGCGAGGTGACAATACACATATCACAGAAGAATGCCTGAAGAATTTCCTAGTCTCCTCATCATGTGTCCCCATAACTCCAGCCTGTAAAATGAAAGCCATATAACATCTTAATATCGAACATACCAAATAATCTGTCAAACAATAAATTCTCGTCACCAGAAACCTCAATTCTTTCACCACGAAAGCTAACATTGCAACAAGTAATTCTAAGGCATTAAAACTAGGAAAATTAATCGAAGGAACAATACTAACCGTGCTTATCCCGAACTTATCATGAGAAGTCTTATCGTCCCATACAAGTAGCAAAACTCGAACACCTTCCTCGGATTTGTATTTCAGCAATTCCCCAAGGGTCAAATCACCACCTCTTGGTAATTTCCTTGTCGGTTCCCTAACCAGCTTAATCTTATGGAAGACAGACCAGCCAACAATGTAAATCATGTGGTGAGCCTCAGATACAGCATAACATATATCTTCCCAACACTTGCCATGCTGATAAACTTTCCCGTTATCCAGCCCAATTGCCGGCAACATTCCGTCCATAACATGAGCATCCTGGTAAAGCCTCACCTGACTTCCTTTCCTCACAGGGAAATAAGTCCGTTTCACACCTTTACGCTCCGGATCTCCGGCGATTCCAGATCGGTAACTATGGATCTGGTCGAACGGAGTAAATTTCATATCGATGTAAAGAGCAGTTTCTTTCTTAGGCGGCTTTCCCGAAGCACCGAGTACAGGAAACCAACCAGAAATGCGTTCTCCCGACGCGATGTCTCGAACCGGGATCTTAGCCGTGCCAATGATTTGGGCACCGAAAACATCGTCGTCCTTGACCTGGAACTCGAGATAAGACAACGGATGCGCAATGGAAATGTTGAAACTCTCGTTCCAAAGAGGATCTTGAGAATTTTTCAAAACGCGTGTCCGAGCTAGAGTCGCCTGTGGGACGACGACGGTGACGTAAGGATCACTGGTGATAACCTTACGGTGGCTACGGATGTTTGTATCACCGGCTTCGCCTCGGTCTCTAGGATCGTCATCCGTGGCAGGTGTTGTACAGGAATTACAAGCGGTGAAGCAACGACGCATATGTTCTGAGAACATATCCATGTTAGGTAGCCTCCTCGCTTGGACAATTTTCAAATCGAGGTCACCGTGCAAAAGCATCACAGTTTCTGGTGATTTCTCCGCCATGTTAACAACAAAAAACAGGCGGATGGAATCAAAGAGGCTGAAGAGGAAGAAGCTAACAAAAACCGAAAACCCTAACGAACAGGGCTCGGTTGTTGTTGCTGCTGCAGAAACAAAAATGAATTCGAAACTTTTTTTTTTTAATTTTTGATTTTGTTCTTTTTTTGGTTAAATGGATTGAGCTAGAAAAGTTTTTTTTTAGTAAAAAAAAAAAAGAAAAAAAGATATTTATTATTTTAGGTGAAATGATTTGAGAGAGAAAGACAAAAGAAGGAAGAAGAAGAAGAAGACGGGGACGCGTGTAGGCACGACGAGGTGGGAGTTGTTTGCTCACTGACGAAATTATTCCGTGTAGATCTGCGAGAGTAGTTAGTTGCACACGTTCTTCATTTTTAGGATCTTTAATTGGTAAAGAGTGCCCTTTAAACTTTACTTAATTAGTCTTTGCGAAATCTATCGATGACGAATCTGATTTTAGAATGTTGCACCAATATTTTTCTAGGAAAAAATGGTAGTATAATAATGGTTCAAGTGATAATGATGATGTGACGAGGTCTCTTCTCTTCTCTGTCTTTGAACAAATAATTAAAAAAACTCGAGTCAAAAACCAGCGATGCGAATCTGAGATTCACCCACCATATCCATTTGCAAATTAAATTGCCGACAAAAAAAAAAAAGTATATGCAAATTAAATAAATGGGACTATCGATGAATCACATAAAATCCCAAAAACCCTTCTTTTAATACTGTGAATAAAACAAGAACTAAACTTATATCAGAAAGTATAGCCGTTTAAAGTGGTCACATGTCAATCAGAACTTGTCGGAGCAAAAGAGCAAAACTTCAAAAGTATTATCAAATTCATATCTACTCAATGAAGCAACAGTAGCATAAAGAATACTTTCATGTATTACAAAATGAACCGTTTCACATGTTTTACTTTCTGAAATTATCAAACACAGCAGAAAACTAAACCAGACGAAAAGCCTAAAGTTTATGATATGTTTTTTTTTTTTTGGTTATATTATTTTCTTTTGGGGGTGAGGACATGGCTTTATGGATAGGTTTAGAATAATATACAACTCACAAAAAAAAACGGATTTACTAAGAAAACCCTTCACAAAGTTTCCCAAAGAAGATCCCGTTTGAAACCGTTTCTTCCTTTTGGCAGCCTTCACCGTCTCTTGATTTTATCCCCTGGGGGTTACACGAAATACCACGTGCCTAAGTTGGTGAGCTACAAGGAATTTCAAAGCCAATGGTTCCAAGATATTTAGACGTTGTTACCTAAAACTTAGGATGTCTCTTGTCTCTCTCCCTTTCAAGGATTGCTTTTATCATTCTTACTGACATCTTTTCCAGTCTTGTCATTTTTATCTCCCTCGTGTGGGGTATACTGACCCGTGGAGGATGGTGAATAACCGGGAAGTGTTGGCGAGTAGCCTGCGCTTGGGCTGTAGTCAGGGCTTGCTCCTGAGCTGTAAGGGCTGAGACAAAATTCGAGAACAACAAACCAAGTTACACTATTTGCAGAATTCCAAATGTTTAAAGAGTAAATATATTATGAAAATTTTCAAATGAGCTTTGATGCGGGTAACAGTCAAACCTGCTGGGACTGTATGTTGGACTCGAAGGTGAATAAGATGGAGATGTGGGTGAGTATGATGGTGATGTCGGGCTGCAGAATTAATATTAAGAGTTAATAAATAGAGAATATCACACAATATCACAATGGATACGAAAAGCTTCATAAAGATATCTTTACTACTAACCTATAGCTTGGAGATGTAGGACTGTACGGACTAGATGGTGAAAGTCTTGCATTGCTGGGAGAGTAAGCAAGAGATGGGCTGTATTTAGCAGACTGAGGGTTGTAGCTTGGAGACGTAGGGCCATAGCTTGGTGATGTTGGACTGTAACTTGGGGAAGTTGGGCTGTAGCCAGGAGATGTGGGGCTGTATGCAGGTGAAGTAGGGCTGTAAGATGGTGATGTCGGACTATAGGATGGTGAGGTAGGGCTGTAAGAAGGCGATGTTGGACTGTAAGATGGTGAAGTTGGACTGTAAGAAGGAGAGGTTGGACTGTATGCAGGTGAAGTCGGACTATAAGCAGGTGATGTTGGGCTGTAAGCAGGTGAAGTCGGGCTGTAACTAGGGGATGTTGGACTGTAGCTAGGAGATGTTGGACTGTAGCTTGGAGATGTTGGGCTATAGCTTGGAGACGTGGGGCTGTAGCTCGGCGAGGTGGGGGAATAGGAAGGACTTGTAGGAGAGTAAGCAGGGCTTGTTGGACTATAGCCAGGAGAACTTGGACTGTAGGTAGGCGAAGTGGGACTATAACCAGGAGAAGTCGGGCTATATCCAGGTGAAGTGGGACTGTAACCGGGGGAAGTAGGACTGTATCCAGGAGATGACGGGCTATAGCCTGGAGATGAAGAAGGCGAAAAGGCCATTCCACCAACATATGGAGAAAACTGTGCATCTGACATTGGCGACAAACGCATATTTGGACTTAACAGGTAGTTCGGGGACATCATGCCTTCATGGTAAGGAGTCCCTGATATTGGTGAGCGAGCAGGAGTCATTCCAAATTCCAGACCATCCATATAGCTGGGTAGCTGGAGTTCAATTGCATTCTTCAGCATCTCATCATTCAGATACAGTTCACAGTCTCCTGTTCCAATTGGTGCAAGTTGACCCAGCATTATATTCTCAGTAACACCCCGCAAGCAGTCTGTCTCAGCATAAGCTGCAGCATCTAACAGAATATCAACTGTTTCTTCAAAAGAGCACCTCATCAGAGGCCCAGTGTCATTTCTATTAATACCATGTCGAGTGATGGCCATCAGATGACCGCGATACGTCATGGTATCACACAAGATGGCAAGATGCCGATAATTCACATAAGAGCCATCAAAGGATATCACAACACGGAGTTCATCCAACAAAGCACGGCGAACTGCCTCAATTCCGAGAACTTCAATAATTTCAATCAAGTGATTGCTTGTTGTCCTCTTTGGATCCACATCTTCATGGCACATAACAGCTAAGAGATTAACACCTTCTGTATCTAACATCCACTCTTCAGATGTCTTGAATCCTCCTTCCTCATCAAACCTGCTTTTTCTAACCTGTTTAATGAAAACTTTGTTGATGTCTGGAATACCCCTGAGCGCCATTTCTGTCAGCATGTTGCTCTCAATCTTTTTAAGGAAAACATCATCTTCAGCTGATTCATCTTGCATTTCTCCCTTTGGGCCTTCATCGTTCATAATACGAATTCGAAGGATCAATTTTTGAGCATTATCATCATTGAATATGCAAGTCAGGTCATCATCAAACTCAAGGTTGATCTTCTCCGCAATATCCGCCATACTCAATTTCTTATCAACCATCATCTCACGATTCAACTCTATACGAAGCAGCCAAGGAGATATTTTATCGGGAGAAACATCTTCATCTGGCATTTCATAGTAGGACCTCACAAATTCGAAGTCCTCTTCAATGATAGTACTCATTGGATCTGGGTCATACCAGACTTCCGTAGCTTGAGTGACACTCCTGAGAGTAGTATACTCCAAAGCACACTGAACAGTCTTAGCCCCCTCTTTTGATTTGCTAGCTTCCGGGGTAAGATAGACTGATAGGGACGGTGTTTTGATTCTTTTAGCTACATTAATAATTTCACGCAACCTGGGAACACCAAGTGTAACATTCTTTGCACTGACACCAGCATAATGGAAGGTGTTAAGAGTCATCTGCGTAGCAGGTTCTCCAATTGATTGAGCAGCAACACAACCGATCATTTCCCCTGGGGCCACTAGCGATTGTAAAAACCTTGATTCTATTTCACCAATGACCCACTCAAAAGCTTCGCGGCTGAGTTTGTATTCCTCCAATACTCTTTTACTAGCAAGAGTGCTGCGAAGCAAAATGTTAAAGAACAGTGTTGCATTTTTCTGTGCTTCCACACTCAATGCATCATCACCCGGAACAACCAACAGCCTCTCTTGCAGTTTATCTACCGCATCGACAATTTCAACAGGGTGCATATCCGAAATCTTGCGCAAGTCAATCTTGAAAGTCTTCTGCGCATTCCAGATATGCCTCTTGATATTAACAGGCAATGGCCAAGTACTATCACCATTTGTTGCAATTTCTGTCCCAAGTTGGAATCTGTCAGTCTCAAGTTTCTGATATTCAGCATCAAATACATCACGCAACTCCCGAATCCCTTTCAAGTCCTCCAGATGTTCATCACTTAGGTATGTAGGATTCCAGTTTTCATCGTCAATCTCATACTTGAAAGTCCTATCAAACTCCGATTTCTTCATTTTCAAGGAATCCAGCTTCTGTGATTCTATCCATACTGCGTCCATACCATCTTCCCCATAGAGAAATTGAATAACATCACCCAACGAGTTTCTGACTGTCCCATCATATTTAACCATAATATCCTCCATAGCCTTTACCAAACGCCTCTGAATGTATCCAGTTTCTGATGTCTTCACAGCAGTATCAATAAGACCTTCCCTTCCTCCCATGGCATGGAAAAAGAACTCTTGAGGTGTCAGCCCACGTAGGTATGAATTTTCTACAAATCCACGACTTTCGGGACCATAATCATCTTTGGTGAAATGTGGCAATGTTCGACCATCAAATCCAAATGGAATCCGCTTCCCTTCAACATTTTGCTGACCGACACACGCTGTCATTTGAGAAATATTAATGAAACTTCCTTTTGATCCTGCTGTCACCATAGCCTTAAGGTTATTGGTTTCTGCTAAACTCTTTTGAGCACTGCTTCCAGCATCATCACGAGCTTTGTTCAAGACCTACAGGGATATTTTATGAGTCAGCACAGAGTTCTGACAGAGCATGAAACGAAAACTAAATAATTATCCAGCCTTAGCATACTTGATTAACCCTGTTCTCAAATGTCTCTGTCATAGTTCGGCCGGGTTCAGGGTCCAATTTCTTTTCCTGGAACTGCCGGATAAGATCTTTCACAGCCGTTTTTGCATTAGAAATAGTTTCATTAATTTTCTCCATGGTTGATGAATCAGCAATTGTGTCACCAATTCCAATGGTAAAACCATTCTGCAGAAGCCAGTAATTGACAAGCCACTGAGTATGACCTAGGAATTTCCTGGCAGCATCAGGACCAACCTCTTCCCTGCAAGCCAAGATAAACATAAATTAAAACAAAAGAGCTCATGAAAAATGTGTGAGGTACCAAAACTCTTAAGATCTTGGTGTAACTACCAAGTAAACATAATGCAGTATCTTACCAAATGACATGCACGAGACTTCCATTAGATGTACCAAGGGCCTTTTTGCAAAGAGTTCCGGCAAGAAGTTCCCCTCTTTCAATTCGCACTTGGGTATCTCCCGGAGTTATAAATCCAGTCTCTGAATCTGAATGCCAAGCAGAGTACCTCAACAGATTTATCTGTTTTGGTATGATAAGATTAAAAACTTGTTTGCCAGTCCAAAGAGGACGTGGCTTCAAAATTGCAGGAGCTGGAACTTTCCCATCAAAATCTTCCCACCACATAAGCGTATTCATGAATACATCCTGTAAAATGAAAACGATATCAGCATACAAGTTTGATTTCTCCTCTCATCAAACTCAAATTTAATTTACAAGCAATAGCTATTGTTACCTTTTCTATGAAGGTATCTCTTTTAGTAATTTTCCGACACCCTAGAAGGGTATCCTGCACAATTCCCATCACAGGCCGATTCGCCTGGGGGGAGACAATACATTTAGGGACCATCATCAGCTCTAACACCTCCGCTCTGGTCTCAAATGACTGGGGTACATGCATGTTCATCTCATCCCCATCAAAATCAGCATTGTAAGGAGACGTGACAGACAAATTCAGACGGAAAGTGGAATATGGCATAATCCGAATCCTGTGACCCATGATAGACATTTTGTGCAGACTTGGTTGTCGATTAAACAAAACAAAATCGCCATCCTGTAAATGCCGCTCAACCTGTGACCAAGAAGGCATGAAGAATGATGACTTTCAGAAAAGCAACTTTTACACGTTGATTAGATGGAATAAAGAAAAGTAGTATATACCTTGTATCCAAGTTCCAAATGATGATCACTGCTCTTCTTAAGGTACCGAAGATCTAGCCTTTGGCCATCATCCCTAATTATATATTTCGCTCCAGTCTTGCCAGGTGGAGGATGTGGCCCATAATCAACAAGCTCCTTTAATCTGCAAAACTAACTTGTCAACAACAGGAAAGAAAAAACTTTCTGAAATCTCCTTTAATCTGCAAAACTAACTTGTCAACAACAGGAAAGAAAAAACTTTCTGAAATGAAAATTAGCACCAGACGTACTAACCTTTCAATATTATATGGAGTAACTGTTTCTGGGTATGTGAGATTCAGAGCAATACTCCATGGTACACCAAGTTCATCAATATTTATTGTAGGATCTGGTGTAATAACAGTACGTGCTGAAAAATCAACACGTTTTCCCATCAAGTTTCCTCTGATTCTACCTTCCTTTGCCTTCAGCCTACTACATATTGACTTAATAGGCCTCCCTGATTTTTGAGTAGCCTGAAGAAATAAAGCCAACCCAGATAAAGTAACATCCATATGTATCATACCAGATATCTGGAAGGATACAAAAGCATTACCCTTGGCTGTCCAGGCAACTCATTATCAAAATATGTAGCTATATGAAACTGCAAGAGTTGTGTAAACTCTGATATAATATGAGCTGGCGCTCCATTTTTTTCCTGTCTTTTCAAGTTCTCATTGTGTCGAATAATCATAGCTAGCTGATGGGTCAAGTCATCCTGCATCAACAACAAGCATTAACTCAGTAATGCAAATTAAGCTGCTATAGTCAAAAATAATAATGTAATATTATCAGTCAAGACTAACTCTGTACTAGAATAGAATCTAAGCAAAAGTCCTTAATAAATGTCGACTTACCTCACTTCTGGAAGTGGCGTCCATCATTACAGATGGTCTGACAGGAGGTGGAGGAATAGGAAGGACTTCAAGAATCATCCAGTCAGGACGAGCAAACTTAGGGTTGAACCCTAAGAGTTGGCAATCCTCGTCACTAATCCTTTTTAAAACACTCAAAACCTGCAAAAAATTCACATGTCATCAGATTACCCAAAACATGAAGAGGTAATGACTAAAATTCATTAGAAAGAAATGACGGACCCTATCAGCACCAAGTGTCTGTTTCCTTTCTGCAGGCTCTGGAAGCTGATCTGGCTCGTCAGTTTTCTTCCTTGTAATTTTGTACTCTGCAATCATCTTCATACCTTCAATAGTCAGCTTTGGTTGTTGTGCACCACATCCACCCCGGCTCTTTTTGACTGGTTCTTCGGTGTCTTGGCTGTGGACATCATCAATTTCATCACCACCATCACATTTGGTCTTGTTTTTGCAGGCATCGAGAATCTTCTTAAGCCTATTTTTGGGATTCTTTATCTTCATAGCCTGCTTAAACTTATGCTCCTCCTACATGAAAATTACCAACTGGATTAGTCCCAACACTAATACAGCCAATAAAGTTATAAATCTATCTTCTATAAGAAGTAAAAGAAGGGATACAGTCACAAATACATACCTCATCAGCTAAAATCTTGGAGCAATTGAAGCAAACACATCTCATGATACTCAATACAGTCTTCATAAAACCAACATGATACATTGGCTTGGCGAGCTCAAGATGGCCAAAGTGCCCAGGACACTCAGCCATATTAGCCATACATGTCTCACACTTCACCTTCCGATCAATCGTACCAAGCCGGATATCACTCAACCCTCCCACCTTAGGTTTACCCTTCTCCGTCGTCTCACTATGCTCAACATGTATAACAGACATTTGCCTCTGAAGAAGAAAAACGGAAACAGACATTAGAAACCAACCAACTATTCACAATTTCCTACTCGTGACTTCCAATTAAGATGAATAGATTGAAAAGAACATGCTCCCCAGCTAAACCAATCGAATTCTTTGATTTCACTCTAATTACCCCGCCGGGGAGCAATGAACTGAAAAGAGCTAGAGAAAGCGACAGAGAGAGAGAGAGAGAGAGGAACATTACGATCTCATCGGGGCTGAGTATACCAAACTGGACCACCCGGACTTTGGAGACCTCGGCCGGAGAGAACGGAAATCGTGTATCCATGGCGGCTAAACTCCGATCAAAGACGAATCGAAAACCCTAGAACGTGAATTATAAAGAGAATCAAAAATCGAATTAAACCCTAGTTGCGTTTCCTCTTTGCCAAATTGTTTGAATCCGTGAAGTCAGTTTACAGTTACTTTAGCTAATTTGTTTTGTTTTCGAGTTTTTTTCCCTCTCTGGTTTGACGCGACCAGATCTGGATATCTCTCGTCTCTGACGAAGAGAGATGAGCAAAAGAGAACACATCCATACCCTAAGCCTCTATTTATAGAAGAAGAGGCGACTCAGAGGTCGGTTTTTGTTAATCGGGCCGTAACTATCTCAGGCCCAATTAAAAACAACTACATATACGGTTTGTAACGGGCCTGCGTCGGCGCTGGCTAAATCAATCCTATTTCGGTTCATATCGGTTCAGTTGTGTATCTTTCGGTTTGATATATTTGTTTATAGCTACTAGTCAAAAAATAGTAGAACAATTTCTGAATGCATGTTACATTTATTTCACCAAAATGTTTGGTGGACTGAGAAAATCTAAAACCATTGAAGTTTCTATTTAATTAACTGCTAGTGGCCAAATCTATAAAGGAAGAGAGGTCCCAAAGCTAAAACTAATCTAATCTGTAATCTATATGCATGCAACGTTTAATTCTCTTCATGTAATCTTCAGAACAGAAGATACCTAACTCCTTAAATATTCCCCAAGGGTAACGCAAACTAAAATATTAATGAATCAACCAAATCATTTCACTTTTTTTTTTGCTGCAATGAAGTGGAAAAAAAAAAAAAGCATCAATTAAATTAATGCTTATACTGAACTAAGGTCATCATTATAGGGGGTGTAAGATCCCCCTATAATGTTGCTCTAACTAGTTCTATTTTACATCTGTCTACCTTTTTTAACATAATATTGTCATCGTAGTTATTGGCACCAACATTTATGTGTAGTCATGTTCAATTTGTGGTTTATATTTATACGAGTTTAAATCTAATAATATGCGTTGGGAGTTGTATACTATACGAGAATTTTTTTTTTTTTTTTTTTAAGGATTAGTGAATGATTTGCGAGTTATATATAACAAGAAAAAATTACTGTTGTTTTTTCAAAGTAGGGTGAGCTCATAATTACATCGATGCACAGTCCAAACTCTAAAGTCAAGTTGTGCGAAGCTAGCCAATCTGTTTCCGTATATAATAGTCACGATAAGACGAAAACAAAGCAACCAACAAAAAAAAGTGTACTTTAGCTTTCATCTTCGAATGCATGTTTTCATGTAACGGTGTATTGTTCTTGGTCTTTCCGATTTAGTTATCTATCTAGGATTCCTCAAAATTTGTCGAATCAAAACAAAAATGGCGAAGAAACCGAAGCATCTCCGTCATCAGCCGCCACGTAAATCTTTATCGATGCAAGCTTTCACAGTTCTCGTACTTGTACTTTTCGTCATTCTGATCCTTGTCGGTCTCGGAATCCTTTCACTACCCAGCATCAAGAAGAACTCATCTAGGCCGATGGATTTGACCACTATTGTACAAACGATCGAGGAGAGGTTAGGGATATATATGATGTTTTTGTGTGTTTTTATGTGTTACATTAAAGTGATTTAAAGTAATCTCTTTTGAATTCATTAAGTAAGGAGAGTTATGGAGATGAAGAAGACGGTAATGGTGATGGATGGCTCGAAGTTATCTCGTGGGAGCCTAGAGCTTTCGTTTACCACAACTTCTTGGTATTTTTTTCCGATAAAGTTCTGTTTAAAATGCTTCAACATCGTCATATGCTAGTTCATATATATAGTTTTAATTAAGTGTTTCTTGTTAGACAAGCTAAGATATTAACATGTAGTATTTGTATTTAGTTCTTACTCATTTAGTTATTGACTTTCATGTGTTTAAAATGGTATATACATAATTTCAAAAGTTTGGAATTTGATCTTTAGGCTTTGTTTTTTTTTTCTTTCTAAAATTATGTAAGACAAATGAAGAATGTGAGCACTTGATAAGCCTCGCAAAACCTAGTATGGTGAAGTCAATGGTGGTTGATGTGAAAACCGGAAAGAGCAAAGACAGCAGGTTAGTGTGGTCCTTTTTCCCCCTTCATGCTTAATTTTGGAAACATTTTGAGAATTCTTAATCTCCATATATTCTTCATTGTGCAGAGCACGAACCAGTTCAGGAACTTTTCTTAAAAGAGGACAAGACGAAATCGTGGAAGATATTGAGAAGAGGATTTCAGATTTTACCTTCATTCCTATAGGTATGTACATGTCTTCCGCTTTTAATTGTATCTAAATCTTAGTAAAAGTTCATGAGACAAGGAAACGACAAATTCAGCTTTGTCGAAATGTAGTTAACGTAATGTAATTGCAGAACATGGAGAAGGGCTACAAGTTCTCCACTATGAAGTTGGGCAAAAATATGAACCTCACCACGACTACTTCTTTGATGAGTTCAATACCAGAAAAGGAGGGCAAAGAATTGCTACGGTTCTTATGTACCTGTACGTAACCATAAAACCCCTTAATAACAATCTTTCTTGTTAGGTAATCTTCTGCCTTAATTTGAATATTGTAATACTTAGCTCGGACGTTGAAGAAGGCGGCGAAACTGTTTTCCCTACAGCCAAAGGAAACATTAGTGATGTCCCGTGGTGGGACGAGCTCTCAGAATGTGGTAAAACAGGACTCTCTGTTTTACCAAAGAAGAGAGATGCTTTACTCTTCTGGAGCATGCAGCCTGACGCGTCTCTAGACCCTTCTAGCTTGCATGGTGAGAGAGAAAGAGTCAGATAGATATATTGGCAATGAGATAATTAGTAGAGATCTAAAACCATGTATTTGATTGATTCAGGTGGTTGTCCAGTGATCAAAGGAAACAAGTGGTCATCAACTAAGTGGTTTCACGTTCACGAGTACAAGGCATGAATAAAAAGAAGATGGCTTTTGAAGAGGTAACCTCTTAATCTCACTTTACTTCACTTGTATCTAACTCAGATTGATTTAATGAATTCTCTTCTTTTGCAGGTTTCTACGATCTCACCATACTAGTTTAATTTGTGTATCATTGTCAATTTCATCCTATTACAGTACGTCTCTCAAGAGCACCACTGCACCAGCAAAATCACCTTCTGGCCTTTAATTAAAATTTTGTATTGCTACACATAATAATAAATCTCATGTATCCATTATCGATCCCTCGAATTATAGAACACAAGCTAAGCCATAACCATTCAAAGCTATCCATCTTCGAGAACACACAGTAATTAAATAGCAACTTAACAATAGAAACTTTACGAAAACTCTAATTATAAAAAACATCGATGGGAATTAAATTTAAATTCCTATTTAATAAACTCTCGAGAATTTGTTTATTTCCTTTTTTCTGGACAAGTGTCACTATCTCAGCTGCTGACAGTTCATATTTTAACTTAGTTTTTTTTTTCCTTTCTTGATAATGATTTCCAAATTCGAGTTGTTGTATTATTGGGTTTTTCCTATGCGATTTGTATAAAAAGGATCTAGAGAGTTTGTATTTTGTAAATACAGTCAAGAAAAAAAAGAGCCCTAAATTCGTTTGCTCTCTTTTTTAGTTCATCATCTGATATTATATACTTGTGTGTAGCGAACTCAATGTCTAAGTCGACGTCACAGTCTACCATACTGTATCTGAGGCAGAAGTTGAACGGGCTGAAGATACATGAATCATCGGATCTTCTGGAGCACATCAACACGTTCGAAGAATTAGTGGGTGATCAAGTGTGTGTGGATGTGAAAATTGAGGACAAAAACAAGGACATGATCTTGTTCTGTTCTTTGCCTCCCTTGTTGACAGCAATTACGTGTAACATTAACGCTACTAATTCGCTGCGCTTTCCTCAAGAGCGTTGGCTCGAGATAATCTCGAGGGAGCCTAGAGCTTTCGTTTACCATAATTTTTTGGTAAATCTTTTGCTTTTTAATATGGGATTAAAAATATATAATTTTAAATTTGTTATATATATATGCTTCATGAGAACTTAACAATTAATATCTTCATGCTAGTTTGGATGTTTCTTGTCAGCCAAGGCTAAATAAATTACAACTTGTTGTTTGCTAGCTAGAATTAATTTCCCATGCTGTAATTTTGCTTAGATCTTTACTTACTCCTCTAGTAAAATCACTTAGGGAACATATTTCTCTCGCATGATTTATATGAACATGTTCAGGATCTCATCTTAGGCTCTCTTCTTTATATTTTTGTAAGACAGATAAAGAATGTGAGCACTTGATTAGCCTTGCGAAACCTAATATGGCGGCGTCAAAGGTGCGCGACACGATAACTGGACGCGGTATAGACAGCAGGTTATTTACTCAGTTTTGTTATGTTTTTTTTCTTGTTCTGTTGTTCCCTCTTTAAGTTTAATTGGGAAAGATTTTGAGATTTGGAAAGATTTTAATATGCAGCTCACGGACGAGCACAGGAACTTTTCTTAGAAGTGGAAATGACAAAATCGTGAAAGACATTGAGAAAAGGATTTCAGAATTCACCTTCATCCCTGTAGGTATGTGTAGGCTTCTTGTTCCAAGTTCGGATTTTCTGACCAAACAACCATTACACTAGGTGTCTTTTTTTTTTACCAACGACGTTGTTACGTACAGCGTACTCTTCATTATTATCTTGCTAATCTTTTATTGGAGTTGATTTAATGAAAATGCAGAAAATGGAGAACCGCTTCAAGTTATCCATTATGGAGTTGGGCAAAAATTTGAGCCTCACTTTGACGGATTGCAAAGACTTGCTACTGTTCTTATGTACCTGTATGTAAACCATACAACCCCTTATTAATATATAAAAGAATTTACAATTCCTAAGTTTAATCTTATTTTTTCTCATCCTACTATATATGCTATAATATATAGCTCGGACGTTGATGAAGGCGGCGAAACAGTTTTCCCTGCAGCAAAAGGAAACATTAGTAAAAGAGGACTCTCTGTTAGACCAAAGAAGGGAGACGCTTTACTCTTTTGGAGCATGAGGCCTGACGGGTCTCAAGACCCTTCGAGCCAACATGGTAAGAGAGAAAGAGAAAGAGAGGATACATTGCCTTTCTTTAGTTAGCGCCCTCTAAATCGTAACATACCCTATGTAAATCAAAAACTTGTGTGTTTGATTGATCAGGTGGTAGTCCGGTAATCAAAGGAAACAAGTGGGCATCAACTAAATGGCTACACTATAAAGTGTTCAAGAATACTATATTTTAGCTTCTAGAAGGTAAGCTCTTAACATCACGTTAATCATGGATCATTCCGATTGTCTCAGATTGTTTTAAATTTTCAATGTTTCTGTCGCCATTTGCAGGTTCCATAGTTTCATTCTTTTCTTCATATAAGAGTATGAAAACATCATTTATATTTGTTGACCATTTGGCAGACTTATGTTCTATTAATGCGTTTCCTTTGGAGCAATACTCGCATAAAATATATGAAAATGTAAGTTCATAGGTAGTACTTCTCAAAACAAAGAAACAAAAATAAGAAAGACTTCTCATATTTATTTCAAATTAAAAATGACTGCTGAAAATGGTTCCAACTGACTATAGCCAAGAAGCAAAATATAAAATTTAACAACAATTCTCGTCCTCCTCCCTGAAAACATTTTTATTACAACAAACCTTTTGGATATAACGCAAGTTTCTCCTGGCTTATGAGATTTATTGTTTGATCAGATTCCTGATTACGTATTGCAATATCCCTCCGTGATTGAAATAAGCCAACTCCACCTGCAGTCCAAAGTCCTCTCATTCAAGACTGGAAAAAAAAGAAGCGAAAAACATATATCACAGAGAGATGAACACAATTTTCTAAATTTACCTCTGTGTCGAAGCGGAGTGTACATGTGAAAGATTTGCCATTGTTTGTGATGACAGTTACATCTTGTCCTGGTTTGATCTCACTAACATTGTTTGGTAGTTCAATGGTGTAAAGCTCCTGACCCGTAAGGCCTAGAGTCTCGGCATCTTCCCCTGTCTTGAAGCACAAAGGTATGATTCCCATTCCCACCAGATTGCTTCGGTGAATTCGCTCGAAGCTCTTTGAGATCACCGCTTTCACGCCCTGTCGTGGCGTACCGATTAAAAACAGCATAACTCGTGTAAAAATGTGTATTGTTAAAAACGAAAAAAGCCAAAGCATTTAAGCCAGAAATGTACCAGAAGCATTGGACCCTTAGCAGCCCAATCACGAGAACTTCCACTTCCATATTCAGCTCCAGCCAAAATGATTGTGTCGCGTCCCTCATTCCTGTATTTCTGGTACAGCACAAAAAGATAATAATCTGATAAGAACATATAGCTATGGAAACAGCTGTTTTAATCACAGATTCACAGTTGACCAAATCAGAGAACCAAACACTAAAACTTGCACCCCCAAAACAATATGCTGAGACAATATTACAAACTAGGCCTTCACTAAATGTTCATAAAACTAACTCACAACAGCTCTAATCTGCTACATTCAATCTTAGGCTAGGTACAGTAGACATATTGCTAAGAGTTGAGCTGTAGTACTCATTTAGGTTTATCGTAATCCTAACCCATCCTAATGATCAAAGAGGTAGAATTTGATGTTTTAGAAGGATCAGGAAAGTGGGTGAGTTTATACCAAGGCAGCATCGAAGACAGAAAGCTTCTCTCCAGTGGGAATGTGAACTGTTTTGGGGCCAACTTCTCCTTTCAAGTGTTTGTTCACAATACGGATATTGGCGAACGTGCCCCTAGCCATAATCTCATCGTTACCACGCCGACTCCCGTAAGAGTTGAAGTCCCTTCTATCCACACCTCGTTCCATCAAGTACTTAGCCGCAGGACTGTCCTTGTGGATGCTACCAGCTGGTGAGATGTGATCAGTGGTGATACTGTCTCCGAAATTGAGTAAACAGTAAGCATCTTTCACACCATGTGGACCGGGTGGAGACATGGTCATGCCCTTGAAATAAGGTGGCTCGTGAATGTAAGTTGATTCCGGGTCCCACTCATAGAGAGTGCCTGATGCGACAGATAACTGATTCCACATGGAATTCCCTTTGGTGATTGCTTCATATGTAGCTTTGAACATATCAGGAAGGACACTAGATTGAACAACCTGCAAAATTGAAAACAAAAAATATGACATCCTTTCCAATTATAGATTCTCTTGTTTTTGTGTATGCATGAGCATCATGTATTTATTTACCTCGGCCACTTCTTTGTTAGAAGGCCAGATGTCCCTGAAAAATATCTGTTTGCCATCTTTCCCAGTTCCAAGGGGCTCTGTCTCAAAATCAATGTTAACCTACAAGAGTATATATGCGATTGATTCAGTGCTTCATACATGAATGCTTAATTGTTGAGTAACGGTTTTAGAGTTAGCATTAACATACAGTGCCAGCCAGTGCATAGGCTACAACAAGTGGCGGGGAAGCTAAATAATTTGCTCTTGTTAACGGATGGACACGTCCCTCAAAGTTTCTGTTCCCGGACAACACAGCGGATGCCACCAAGTCTTGTACACATATGAGAAATATTTTAGTTTCACCTTCGAAAAATTCAAGTAAAGAAGCATTACATCATTAACTACGTGAGGACATACCATTATCAACTATTGCTGAAGCCACGGCTTCATGAATATCACCCGAATTTCCAATGCATGTGGTGCACCCATAACCAACTATACTGAAGCCGAGCTGATTTAAGTACTGCTGCAAGCCACTGCAGGACTTGAAAACTCAGGACCACCGTAATACAAATAATAAAGAGATAATTAACAAAAAAACATTCAACGGTGTATCTACAGTACCTCTTTGCCAAGTACTTTGTCACAACTCCAGAGCCAGGAGCTAGACTAGTTTTAATCCATGGCTTAACCTGATAGTTTTCAAACAACTCTATTATTTCCATTGTACAGAAAACACGATCACACAAAAGAACACAGCAGAAAGGACGATTCCAAACCTCCAGTCCTAGTTCACAGGCCTTTTTTGCAACCAAGGCAGCGCCAAGCATTACACTAGGGTTTGAGGTATTCGTGCAACTGGTGATTGCTGCTATAACAACATCTCCATGTCTAAGATGTGCTGGGGTCCCGTTAAAATTGAACTCTGCAACCTTACTCTGTGCTTCTTTTGGTACAGCAAAACCCTGAAAATAGTATGGATAATTCACTATGTCAAGTTATAAACAGAAGTGTTGCAGGACATAGTTTCTTACTGGACCCGCTTAATAACTGAAATACCTCAGCATAATACCTACTCTTGTTTTAAAACCATAGTAACATTGTCTAGACGTGCCATAAGTTTTCTACAGATAAAGCTTCTGGGACTGCAAACATTCACATAAGAAAAGTTTTCCGAAGAGAACAAAGAGTTCTAACCTTGAATCCTACTCTATTATCTAAGCAAGAATGCCAGTCCGCTTTCATTTCCCTCAAAGGAACACGATCGTGTGGCCTGCATTGGGCAAAGAGAATAAAAGTTTTACATAGAATACTTGAATAGATATAACATTTATGTTGAGACATTCACTAATAGTACCTCTTGGGACCAGAAACACAAGGTTCCACACCCTCGAGATTCAATTCCAGATTTGAGGAGTATACTGTCTTACTCTCCGGCTGATATGAGTAACAAGTGGAAAATATGTTATGCGATATGATAGAAGAAAATAAACATAAGAAATGAAAAGTTACAGATGGCAAGATTTTACCTCACTGTAGTCCACAAACATCTTGTTTGCTCGTAAATAGGCCTCAATCATAGAGACCTGCAATTCAATTCACCAATCACTACCCTGATGAAACGCAATAGCACACTAAAAATTATGTAGATTTGGCATGCATCCCCTTACAGTGTCATCGCTCCTGCCTGTCAACTTGAGATACTGCAAAGTGACATGATCAACGGGGAAGAATCCCATGGTTGCACCGTACTCAGGAGACATATTTGCAATTGTAGCACGATCAGCTAAAGACAGCTCTCTCATTCCTTCCCCTGTGTATAGAAAGCAGTGGATGCATATGTGAATTACGCTAACGCTGTCAGGTACTTGATAAGTAAAAAAGTGATAATTATGAAATATGATATCATATTTTTCATGAATGTACCGTGGAATTCAACAAACTTTCCAACTACTCCATGTTTTCTTAGCATCTGAGTCACTGTTAAGACCAAATCAGTAGCTGTCATTCCATCTCTTAGTTTTCCCGTTAGCTTGAAACCCACAACACCAGGCAGGACCATGCTCATTGGCTGCAAAGAAACATCTAAATTCATGCTACAGTTTATAGTAGAAGAAACTTCAACAAAGTGTTTAAAAGGATCATCTCTAGGCAGCGATCCAAATTTAGAAAGAGTTCGGACAGTAAGCTCTGAGTTCTCGACCGAAAGAGCATCTAGTTTACCTGACCAAGCATGGTAGCTTCCGCTTCTATACCGCCAACTCCCCATCCAGCAACACCAAGTCCATCGATCATAGTGGTGTGAGAGTCTGTGCCAACAACACTGTCTGGGTAAAGAAGTCCATTTGTGTTGAAAACGACTCTGGCCAGGTATTCTAGGTTGACCTGTCAATCGGAAAATAATACTACTTAGTATATCTTGAATAAGCATACTATTATAAAAAAAAAAACTTCCAGCATCCAGACCATGTTGTATTCCCTGATCCAATACTTACTTGATGAACTATTCCAGATCCAGGAGGCACGACAAGCATGTTGTCAAAGGCATTGGAGCCCCACTTAAGAAAAGCAAATCTTTCTTTGTTACGCTGGAACTCAAGTTCCATATTTGCTTGCACTGCGTTCTCTGATCTCGCCACATCCACCTGAACCGAGTGATCAATGACAAGATCTACAGGGACCTGTGGATATCAAGGCCTTGTATCAAACCCTATAGCATACTACAAAAGAACACAAAGTATTATCTGATCTTGGTAAAACGCGGGGAAACCAACCAGCGGATTAATCTTATTAGAATCCCCACCGAGGTTATTCATGGCATCTCTCATGCAAGCAAGATCAACAACTGCAGGGACACCAGTAAAATCCTGAAAACGAACACAAAAAAAAAAAAACAAAAAAAGGGTATATTCAGGAAATCGCAAACTCTATGTCGTCAAGACTGCATATAGCACTCAAATTTCGTAGGCAGAGCGTCTACCTGAAGAAGCACCCGAGCAGGTTTGAACGGAATCTCAACCTGTTTAGGAGAAGTATTCTCCCAGTCAAGAATCTTCTCAACATCTTTACTCTTAACTTGAAACTCATCACAGTTACGTATAGCCGATTCAAGAAGTATCCTAATGGAATAAGGTAGTTTATCTGCATCCACCACAACATTTTTCTCTCAATCAAACCTCAAAAACAAAAATCTCCCTCCTCTTAATAGAACTCATTTTACAAGACCATAACGATATCTTCTGACATGAATCTCAATCATTTTCACCTAACGAGCATTTGACAACAATCAGATAAGCAAAACTCACCGATCCTAGGATCGTTCAAAGCAGGCAAGCTGTAGTAGTTCCCGAATTCGCCACCATCAGGCTTCTCTAACGCCTTCAGTATACTACGGAAAGGATTCTCGGAAGCTGAAAACGCATAGATCGACACAGTTAAGGTAAATCAAATACAAAACCAGATTTCAAAAACAAATACAAAAAACAAAGTTGGGAAAATCAGCATCGAAGAGAACAGGAACTAAGAATCATTTCCGATCGTAAAACAAAAATGGAGAAAGAAGATTAAAAAAATCGGTACCCATGGATGATGATGATACAACTCGAGTGAAGAAGCGAAGAAGAGATCTGTTTAAAGAGAGAGAGAGAGAGAGAGAGAGAGAGAGAGAGAGAGAGAGAGAGAGAGGGAGAGAGAGAGGTAATAAGCGGAGTTGGTGAGTCGGAGCCGATGAAGATTTTTATATGCAAGTTTATATTAAATATCGGACAGATCCGTGGTGGGCTCTTCTCGTCAGAAGTGATGGCTCTTTGATTTTTTTTCTTCTATTTTCTTAATTTTCCTTTTTGGGTATCAAGTGAATAATCGGATTTATCTTTCACAAACTTTCTAAATTTTCATGATTACGTTACTATACTGTATCTTGTTTCATGAATCCAATTTCTTGAAAGCTTTCTCAATTTCAACAACAAGCATATATCATATTTGTGACAAAATTATAAATGGATCAAAAATACTAATGTAACGTTCACCATTAATTCACCACCACCTTGGTTGTTTGGTGGCAAAGACAGAACTCGCCACCACCTCATCTGCATCATCAACATGTTCTACTAAATTTTGGATATGGGCTCGCTCCGTTCCAATTTCTTATGTTCTACTAAATTTGGGCCCAGTCCATCATTGTAGCTACTCTGTTGTTCGGTAATAGCCCAGCTAGTTTGATAACACGACGTCGTTTTAGTGCATGAAACGGAGATACTTCAGCTGAAAACTATAAAAGGATGAAGAAAAAAAAACTGGTGAATTTTTTATGAAGAAGGTTTGGGCTCAATAAAATTACTCACTACCCAATCCAGTCGAGGGCTGGAGTTGATTACTTGATATATAATTGATATATAGCCATAGTCATATAGGCTATACTTGTACTTGATTATGCCATGAATGTATTTTATTCTTAGCTATGCGGCTATGCCTCTGTATGTCCATCAATATGTCTGTTCAGCTAATCTATTAACTAGTACTGTAGTAGTTGCTTTGCTTCATCGTGGTTATAATATGTAAAACACCTTCTTACTTATCAGAATGTGATGCTTATGGAGTTGAGATGACGATGATTTTCATACGAATAAGACAAAGGAGCAGATGCGAAGTGGTCGCCGGGTTAAATTATCAATCACGCCAATGCAAAGAGACGCACCGGTAAAAATGTTGTAACCTGAGTCATCATGTAGATAACCTACCAGTCATAGTTATATCTTATTTGTTTATCTGGCTTTTTATTTTTCCACACTTTATATTATAGAATCCTCATTAGAAACTATTGTGTTTCATAGAAACTCACTCTCACCAGTGATACTAATTAAGCAAAATATCTATATCTTAACAAAGAAACAAAAAAAAAAGACGACATGTAAGTGACACGCAAATGTATCATGCATACATACGTTGTATATTTCAATTTAATTACTTATGGGACCAGCTTCTGGATCTGGATTCTGGACCATTAACCAAAATATATGTATACAATTTATTTTGGAATTATATTATGGTAGATATGTATATATTTTTTTTGTCAATCATGCTAGGGTGGATATTTTTACGAATTATATTGGAAAAAAAAATTAAAAAAACAAAACAAAATTGTAAGCTATTTTTAGTAGAAGCGGCAAAGCGTTATCTGCTAGTTTCAAGTAAAAATAAATATTATAATTTATGATTAAAAATGTGTATATATATATATATAACTCAAAACGTTTTTATATATATGAGACATCATTCTCTAAACAATTATGTCATATAGCAAAAATGGATCGGTGGTATTCGATCGGTAGACCATGATGAAACCAAACCAACGTTCCAAAAACAGGAGAGTTTTGGAACACAGAAACAAAATTGTTAAATGGCATTCTCAAGCTTCTCACACGTAAAAAATAATAGAACAAAGTCTCACCGGACCCATTTTGGTTTGGTATAACAATAAAACTATTGCTCATATTAGGGAACTTACTATGAAAGGAAAAGCCGAATCAAATAAGATTTTTAGATTTCCTCAATTAGTTAACATCTATAGAAATTGTTTTATGTTTCGTATCTAATTGTTTCCTCTCATTGCTTGCTTGTATTATCGGAAACCACCCTACCATGCATATGGTTTTCTTTTAGTCGGACAATCTAAAATATCTCCCGGGTTAATAGCTATAATCTAGTAGAATTTTATTAATTTCAATAAACTATATTACGTTTGTAATATATCGTATGAACGAAGCACCAAAAGGTCCAAAACTATGAACTCTTAAAACAAACTATGGGTTAAATTGATAACATAGGAACTCTTGAAAAAATTATGCGTTTAATTGATGACAAAAAAAGGTTATTGTGCTCGGTATGATTATTTTTCTTCTCTTCTACTACTATAGTTCTATTAACAAGCATTACATCAATATATGCAACAACGTTAATCAATGCAAACAACTATATTCATTTCTTTTCACATGAAAGTGAACTATAACCAACGAATAATTATTGTCTTAATCTGTGAATAAATGTTTCTCCGAATATTAAAATCAAATTATAATCTTATTTTCGCCGATGAGCTCTGTTTTGGGCGCTTAATTATCTCTCCTTAATCCCTGTCTCGTCCTTTGAAAATGATAAAAACTTTATAGTCGCTGTTTTCAACAAGGATCATGACAGCTAAACCCTAGATTTTACTTCACCCACTTGAGGTAAAAAAATATCAAGCAAACGACGACCCAAGCTTTTATTGCGAGTAGGCCAGAAGACATTGGATCTTCTCTCTTAAGGGATACGCAAAAAAAAAAAAACCCCATCTCTTTCTCTTTCTTTCTTCTACCTTCCCTGTCTCAACTCCTCTTATCTCTCTTCTCTTCTATAAGCTCCACTGAGCTCTGTTTAAGTTTAAGTTTTTTTTATTTTTTTTTTTTACCGTTTAGATCGTTTCGGGTTTTCTATATATTTACCAGACTTTAATCTTTGGAGTGTTCTGGAAACAAAATGGCATCTTCTATATTCCAATCTGGGGTTTGTCCTATCTCTTCGTGTCCCTCTATTGGGAACTTCATCGACCAGATAAAAGACACATGTCGTTTCCTCGTCTCTGCTGTTCTTGGCACAGTTCTCTCGGCGATCTTGACCTTCTTCTTCGCATTAGGTCTGCCTCTTGGTTTCTTGATTCTGTTCTTGAATGTCTCTCCTTTTCTTTATCTACATTCTTGAGATTCTCTCCCAATCTAGTCTCTGTGTAGTGCAAATCCGAAATTTGATAGAAGTTTTCTATGATTAGATTAGAATCTGCAACTTTGGGGTTTCATGTAGAGCTAAGAAAGTTGTATCCTTTTTGCTTCTTCAGTGGGCACATTGCTTGGAGCACTTACTGGAGCTTTGATAGGCCAAGAAACAGAGAGTGGCTTCATCCGAGGAGCAGCGGTTGGAGCCATCTCAGGAGCTGTTTTCTCTATCGAAGTCTTCGAATCATCTCTTGTTCTCTGGAAATCTAATGAGTCACGTTTTGGATGCCTTCTCTACTTGGTGAGCTTAGATCTTATAGCCTTTTTCGTTGAAGCTACTCCTTCTGCTCTGTTTTTTTTGTTTTTCTTTTTTTGGATTTGAACTTCTAATTTGATTCTTGATTATTTGTGTAGATTGATGTCATTGCTAGTCTTATAAGTGGAAGACTTGTGCGAGAACGCATAGGTCCAGCAATGCTAAGCGCGGTTCAAAGTCAGGTACAGTTTATCAGCTATGTATTATTATTGGTTATACTGAGATCCCTCTCTCTCTTTCTTGATCCTATTCTCATCTCTATTCTTACTGATCAGATGGGAGCTGTGGATACAACTTTCGAAGAGCTCTCGAGCATCTTTGATACGGGTGGCTCAAAAGGATTAGCAGGAGACTTGGTTAATAAAATACCTAAAATCAAAATCACTGGCACAAACTACTTAGATGCTTGTGGAAACAAAGACTCGTGTTCTGTTTGTCTCCAGGTTTTTAGCTCATTTTCAGCTCAAATAAAACCGCAAATTCCGAACAAAAAGTGTTTTGATTCTCTATCTTCTTGTTTTGTGTGTATCTTTTTGCAGGATTTTCAACTTGGTGAAACCGTAAGAAGCCTGCCACATTGTCATCACATGTTTCATTTGCCTTGCATAGACAATTGGCTACTGAGGCACGGATCTTGTCCAATGTGTAGACGTGATCTGTAATCTCCCTTCTTACCATCTGCACAGACTCTCTCTTCTACTTCTTCTTGTATGGTTGTAATATTGTGGTTAGTTTCATCATCAATATGTACAAAGAAATGGAAAAAAAAAATAAACAAAAGTTTTGTATTATAGACTATAGTAGTTGATCTTCAAGTTCAAACCCAGAAACTGAACCAAATCCATTAAATTCGGACTTTAGATTGTGTGTTGGTCTCACCAAACTTTGAAGTGATTGAATTTTCGTATTATTCTGTAGTTATGACGTGAAGGAAAGGAATTGAATTCTATGTGTGAATGTGAACCTGTAGCTCGTGGGCCTCCCTCAGGAGATAAAAAGAAAAATCATGCCAAATCACATTTCTTGATTTGCTTTGTTAATTAGCTCTTCTGAAATCAATACTCACCTTAATTACGATGTCAATTTTGGCAAGCGCAATTATTACGAGAGGTTTCCGTGTTGTAACTTGTAATTTGGGTATGTAGTCTCTACTCGTTAACAAAAGAAAAAGTCTATGTTATGTTGATTAGTCTCTATCTTTCTTATGATGCTTTGGTGCGCCTAATGACGAAAAAAAAAAAGAACAAGAATGCATTAAACCCTTGCTATTTTGGGGGTCAGATTTTTTTTTTTAATTCGGTCTATATTTTTTTTTGGTAAAAGAGAGGAGACAAAGTCTCCATGCTTAACTAACTAAAAATAAAATGTAACATTACACACGAATACACCGGGGAAACTCAGTCCCGTTAGCATCGTCCAACAAAAAAGAAACAACTTCACTCGGACAAGAATCAAATAAGTGAAGCCCTAGCGGTAACAAGAACGCATAGTTAGCTAACCCATCCGCAAGACGGTTAGCTTCCCTATACACATGAGAAATACGGACTATCCAGTCCCTCGAGAAGAAGCCATGGCATAAACGCACCAGGAAAGAAAGCGGATGAGCATCGCTAATCCTTTTCCGTAAAAAACCCACCACCAACTCCGAATCCACTTCCAACTCCACCCGCCGAAAACCTTAATTCTCTATATAAAAATGTGTTTTAAGTGTTCTCTTCCTTGAATTTTAAATTAGAGCATTAATCATGAAACTTTATAGAAGCTTGCAAACATTTATTTAAAGACCCACAGTAAGTAGCTTGTATATTTAAAGTTTTGATAAATAGTGTTTAACGTTGTATCCGGAACGAACTTTATAGTATCTGTAATCAATTAACTTATAAAAATATGAACCACTGCTTGTTAATCACAGAGAGTAAACTTAAACTGGTACTATCTGTCTATCTCTTACTAATAACTACAAAATTCTATAAGTATAGATAGTAGTAGATTGAAAAGTGTTTTTTGAAATTCTTTTTTTCATGGAAAATTCACGAGTTTGATTAATAAAAATAAATGTGTTCACTTTTGGTCAAATAGTTCTCACTTAACGCAAGAACATATAGTAGTTGTCTTCACGTGATCCTTCCGACAGATTTCAAAGTATTTGTAGTAGTTGGGACATCCCAACTGTAAATATCTCCTCATCGTTTCGCTCTACGGATACACGTGGCGCAGAACCATTGCGTTTGACTTGATCACGCGACAGCCACGTGATCATCACCAACTGGTCCTAAAATCAAGCCCAATATTATATCAATGGCCCATGTAATTTTTATACTAACTGGATGAAGGCTTTTTCGTAAGCGCGATCCATTTTAGTCAAACCGGTTAACATCCGGTTAGATCTGTTTATTATCCGGTTTACGTTCTCTCCCTAAACCCTGATGCCTGAGCTTTCTATATCCCCCTCTTCCGACGGCTGAACTCGATTATTCAGCCTTCCTCTCACTCTCTGAGACTCACCGGAAAAATCTTGTATTTGCTTTCTTCTCCTTTCCCGGAAAAAATTGTTTGCCGGAGTTAGGATTTCAAGTGAGCTATGAAGTTCCTCATTCAATCCATTTCTGGTATGCTTTGGATTTATTGGACATCACTGATGAGATAGATCCAATTTTCATCTTTCACTAAACCATCTTTATTCGTGCGCATTCTTCGTTTCTTACGTTTTGTGTTTTGATCGACGGAAACAGGGAGGAATCGATCTCTGGTTCGAGCTCTAGTTAGTCGGCGCTACTTCGCTTCATCGCCGGAGGAGCTCGCGAAGAGAAATTACGCCAATGATCTGTCGGAATACAACACAGCTGTAAATTCCGTTACTGCTCAGCGCAGGTTTGTGCTGTTCTTAGCTTCTCGCAACCTTTGATTTGTATAGCTTACTGTGTTCATAATGTGATGAGATTGAGAACATTTTGATTCCATAATCATATATGCTTGGCTCCGTCACTATAAGTTCTTGATAATCTTTCTCTTTTTGGTAGGCACTATTTGCTGAGGGATGTTTATGATGATATGAAGCTAGATGGTGTGCAGCCTACAGCTGATATATTCCATTCATTTGTTGTGGGAACGATGAAGGGTGCTCGCTTGAGTGATGCTTTCTTTTTCCGTGAAGAAATGAAGGCCATGGGAATTGCTCCAGATGTATGTCGTCTCATCTTTCTTTTGTTTTGGCTCTTATATAGAAAACTTGTATAACTTTCTCTGGTTAGTATGGTCTTAGTTTTTGAGAGTCTTGCAGTAGATTGAGTGATTCCTTGTCCAATAATTCTAGACGTTACTGAATGAGTCAGTTCATCCGTTGCTTGTGTTGTTGACAGTGTGTTCATTTTATAGGTAAATCTGTACAACTTTTTGATTTCCACATGTGGGAAATGCAAGAATGGAAAGGAGGCTATCCGAGTATGTTATCTTACCTGCTTTAGTACATGAGTTTTTTTCTTCTACATTCTTTAATATTCATTCACATACGAGCCTTCTGGTTTATCTCTTATTGTAAGGTCTACGACGAGATGAAGAGATATGACGTAAAACCAAATGGACAGACCTTTGTCTGCTTGCTCAATGCCTGCGCTGTTTCTGGCCAATTAGATCTTGTGTAGGTTACTGCTTCTATTGTCCTGCTAACTTAGCATAATGATTTACTTGATAAGTTTTATGCATCTTTTCTCTATTATAAGTAAGTATTTGGTTGTCTCTTAAGCGCAATCTAAGAAGTGATCTAATCTAATTCATATCTGACATCAAATAATGGTTAGGTATGCGATAGTTCGAGATATGACTGCTGCTGGTGTTGGCTTGAACCAGTTCTGCTATGCAGGACTCATAACTGCACACTTAAACAAGCAGCCTAAACCAGATAATCTTTCTACCAAGGTAACCTGTGAAGGTTTTCTGTTTGTACTTCCTTTCAATTCTTTATTAATGTAGATTTTCTCGTATCCTCCTTTTTTCTCAAAAGATTCTCGAGTTCGTGGAGCAATCAAAAGGCTGGTCAGCAATTGATTCATCAAGGAAGAGTGCAGAAGATGTGATGTTTAGCATCAGTGAAGAGGAGCTGTACAATATTCCAACTGCTGAATATGCTCACAGGACTAGGTTTCTGCAGAGAAATTTGACCGTGTACCACGTAGCATTTAGTGCTCTTGCTGATCTAAAGGATGTAAAAGTAAGCGATATTGTCTTCTAAATTCCAAAATGTCCTGAATTTAAAATAACTTTTCTGCTCTGGGAGTAACAAAAGCTAGAGTTGGAGTTGATTTTTGCATCTGACCAGCTATTTCCCATGGCAGGGAATGGAAGCACTTCTTGAGATGCTTAAGAAAGATGGAAAAGACACTGATACTTATTGTGTGCTACAAGTTATGAGGTACAACAGATCATGCATTGTGATTCTTCTATTGGCAATATTAAACAACAGTTTCCTGTGCCAGTGTCTTTGTCCACAAAAATGAATTGGCCTTGTATACATAAATGAGATTATGAAATATGCATTTAGATGTTAAAACATTTGGCATTATCATTGGTTAGAAGACAGTATTTAGGTACCAAACTTTTGTTAGTAGTAAAATCAAAATATGCTTATCATATAAGCATCTTACTTTGTATCTACATAGGTGCTATCTACACTCGCAAGACTTTGAGAATGGTCTCAAAGTGTTTAAAGATTACATGAGCGCAGACAGAATCCCTGCTATGGAACTCTATACGGTAACGATCATCTGACCTCATTATTAGTATTTCAATATTCGTTTTAAGCGTGAACATCTTCTTTTCTATATTAAGTGCGGGCATCAGAACTTCTGTATAACATATGTTGTTAATTCTCAATCCTAAAATCCTGCAAATGAATATAGAGATGAATCTAAATTCTCAATGGATCCAGTAGGCGAAGAGAATTATGCTTCGATATGCTGTTTTCGATACTTGGTTCAACAGATCTATATGCTACCTGTATATGCTGAAGATGTCAATTTATTTCTTTTTGCCTCTACAGACGCTTATAGAGGGGGCTATGACAGGATACACCGAGAATGGAATGAAGATAGCTCAAGACACTCTGGTAATGCTTAAAGGCTCGAGCTGTACTGAAAAAAAAATCTATGAAATAAATCGAAGGGCCAGTGGTAGAGCCTTTACTTGATGATAATTTGTTTGTTAATGCAGGTCCAAATGAACGAACGCAATTTCTTCTTGGACCCAAGAACTGGAAGCAGTCTGCTACTTAAAGCCGCTGGCGAAAAGGTAATAAACTTAAAAGTCCCCAAATGAAAATATTTTTGCTGTTATAAAGAGTTGGCTTACTGAAAGTTGAAAAAACTTATTTTCTTTTATGGCAGACGGGCGGGTACACAGTTGCAAATATGATCTGGGATCTCATGCAAGCTCGAAGGATTCCACCTACACTAGCTGCCGTTGAGGCTTACTACAAGGGATTGAAAGTAAAAAAAAATTCCTTTCTCCCAAATCTTATAAACTGAGTTCCTTCGTCGTACTAATTAATGATGGGTTGTTGGTTATTGTGTTATGGGAATCACAGGAACGTGAAATACCAGAAGATGATCCGAGACTCATGTTAGTGACGCGTACATACAATACCTTGCGACTTAAGGAAGGGACATTACCTAATCGGCGTTAAACCAAAGGGACTAAGAGGAGAGAAGACGGTATCATGGCTTCTTCGTTTTTTTTTGTTGCCATTTGCTTATTAGGATCTCTGTAAGCCATCTTGGTATATTTTTCAAACCAGTTCCTTTAGATGAATAAGGAGACTTCAACTAGATGAGGACTGGATGCTATTCTGATTTCATTTATTTCGATTGCTTAACCTTCAGAGCTTCGACTCTTCTTCATACAAAAACAACAATGTTCCAAATAAGCCAACGCCTGTTTTGTTTATAAAGATCAGGCTGTTCACTCTCAAATGCACCAGTTTAGTTTTTTGACAAAGACAATTTGTAAAAGAGATTTAAAAAAAAAAAAAGCAACTATACATTCTGGTGTATCATAAATTTGCAGAGGTAAATAAAAGCAATAGTAGTTTCTGAATCACCAGATTACAGCAGATATGTGACTTAAGGAATTTTTAACCACAACAGCCACCTCCCTGAGAAATTGCACCATCTCTGCCTCCTGCTGCACCTTGAGTACGCCCGTAGCCAACCTTAATGCCCGATGACTGCAAAATTAAGAGACATCAAGGGTATTGGATTACACTGTAACACAATCAAGGGTTTAGAACACCAGAGAATTCGTGAAGGGCATTACCTCGTTGGAAACATCAAAAACACCATCCTGAATGTTCTGGAGGATCTTGGCAGCGGTCTTTATGAATGCCTGTTGGAATTTATGCGATATTAAGTGATATTAATCCAATAAAAGAAGACAAAACTCTCACCGCGTGATTACGGCCAAATAACAGGATGGGAAAAAGGAGTAGCAAAGAATCAGTGTCACCTCCTCAACGTTTTGAGCTGTTCTTGCAGATGCTTCTAAGAATAGCAGACCATGTTCCTTGGCAAACTGTTCTCCTTCCTCTTTGCTAACAGCTCTTTTGTGAGCAAGATCGCATTTGTTCCCAATTAGCATAATACTCATGTTAGGATTTGCGTGTTGTCGAGCATCCTCCAACCAGCTTGCCAGATGGTTAAATGTCTCTCTCCTGCAACCAAAAGAACCAAATTTGAGCTTTAGGGGCAGGAAGATCAACACAGGAAAAGCGTAACGAGAAAACTCTTACAATCCTTCCTGTCGTTCATTCTTCTCAAAAAGTTTTTTAAAAATGGAGTAAATTTATCATTTTAGCAAAATTCTAAGATGTGTAGTTAACTTAACATCCTCCCACAAGAGAATTGTCAATATTGTAGCCAAAGCTTTATCAACTTCCCAACCTGTATTTATTGTAAAAATTAACGGGAAATACCAATTTCCAGACCCTTTCCGACTGTTCTAATTTGACCAGTTGACAGATACAGAAGTAATAAATTCGAAAAACCTTTCCAATTGGTCTAACTTTTACCAGTTCAAAAAAAACAGAACCAATAACTTCCAAGACCTAACCTGTTGATGTCATAAACCAGTAAAGCTGATATATACTGTTGCAGGAAAATACTAACCTGGTGATGTCATAAACCAGTAAAGCTCCAGCTGCTCCTCTGTAATATGATCTGGTGATGGATCTAAAAGACTCTTGTCCAGCCTAGAACATCATACGACTGATTGAATCATAAACAGTATCATAGCAAACTCAAACCAGAAGACACAAAAAAAACAAACATAAAACAGCTCAAACCCATACATCATCCAATGGAAAAGAATCAAAGATTTACATGTCATATTCGCACCTATATAACTCAAAGAAAAAAAAACTATTGACCAGAATAAAGTACAAAAAGGACTCAGCAAAGTCACAAATGCACTGGTGAACTCAGAGCTTTCTATTTCAATGAACCCTACTTTGAGTCTTAGGCCATGATTTTCAAATATAGTTTCAGGTTTAGCAATTCTAATAAGGCATTGTTTCTATAAATACGGATAAACTGTATTGACTATGACAATTAATCTTATTAATCACATCTTCCTTAGGCCAAAAAAAAAAAAAAAACAATCCTAATCGATAAACGTGATTACTTCTTAGGACCAAAGGAAGGAAAAAAGGAACCGTACGGTGTCCCAAATTTGAAGTTTGATGGGGCGTCCATCAACGGTGACCATCCGAGCACCGAACTCGACACCAATGGTGAGATCGTGGACTGGTTGGAACCTCTTGTCAGTGAATTGAAGAAGCAGGCACGATTTCCCAACACCTGAAACGACAAGACAAACAAAAATCCATAAAATTAGGGGGAAAAATCGATCTCATCCAGAAGATAAAAATCAGGAATCGAAGAGCGATAATGATTGGTGGGTCTCACCTGTGTCTCCGATGATTATGTACTTGAAGAGGTAATCGTACGACATGATTGATGAATTTGAGCAAGGCGGGTTCGATAATTTGAGAATAGAGAAGAGAAGAGGAGGAGATGTGGAAGATTGAAAGAGAGGAAGAAGAGATTGAGAGTACAAGTCACCGACGCGCTTTTGATTTTATATTTCCGAGGTTTCTCGATGAAGAAGCTATCTCCTTCTCATCATCTTTCTAACCTTTTTTTTTTTTTTTTTTATATATTACTTATTTAGGTTTTAAATTACTAAACAAAATAAAAGGACCTGATCAAAAAAGTATGGAATAATTTTATTTATTTCTATAAGTTTTAAGCTGAAAAAATTAATTTATTAAAGTGTTAATTATTTATTATTATTTTTCCAATAAATGTGAGTGTAAAAAAATAACAGAGAAATTTGAAAACAGTAATCAAATTCTTTATTCGTAGTGTATCAAACCACATCCAAAAAAAAAAGAAGGAAAAAAAGTTGAAGCAGAAAAAAACATTAGAAGAGAATAGAGATTATAAAAAAATGTAAATCTCTCGAACGTGCTTCAAAATACAGGGTTTGATTAAAATGGAAATATTAAAGTCCTATTAAGTACAATAATACTTTACGAGGAAAGGTGTTTATTTTCCTTTTTTCGTTAACGACTGTAAGGGTTATCTCATCAAGTTGGATTGTAAAAATAACTTTTTTGAAAATTAAACGAGTGTCGAAATAGAAAACTGCATCTAGTTTCTATGGGGGAAGTGATTAAAGCAAAAGCATCCTTGGTATCATCTCTGAACTCCATATAGAGATAGAAGCTACTAATATCAATATGCTCTCTGTCTCATATCTCTTACTGCAATAGCCTACAATGGCAAATGCGAATACCCAAGCGTGTTGGATTTTGCAGCCTAGCTTGGAGGTAAAGGAATCATTCTCATTTGCGGAACACACCATTAAGAGCCTTCAGACAAGGTCACTTGTCTATAAATTTTGTTGTGACTTTGAATTGATTAACAGAACAAGTAAAAAAGTTAGTTTACTCATCAATTAGAAACTGAATTATGAACTTACATAAATTTCATACTACACACTAATATTATCATGAGAGAGAGACGGCTGAGAAACCGAGACATGGGTGCGTTTTGCTAAGAGCCGACGAAGATCTTCTCCTCCATAAAATACAAAACTGAGAGGATTACCCTAATTAATTATTCTCCACCAAGTAACTCCACTGACTGACTTTCCTAATATCAATTGTAAGAATATATGTACGTATTTTTGGCACGCGAATGATGAATTCGGTTATATTCTGTGATACTACTAATAGTAAAATGAAGTCTCACAAGCGCCAAATATATAGAGAAATATGTTTTTATTTTCTTAATATTTATTAAACTTTTTAAATTAATTAGCATAATCGATTTTACATTTTTTTATTTTATCAGAAGAACAAAAAAATTATACATTAGTAACGATTATATGTAAAAATTAATATTTTTACAAATCCGTATCATATCTTAATCTTTTTAATATATTATTTCTGTGTCAAACATTATTTATCCATGCAAGAAAAAACAAAACAAAAACCAAAAAGATGTCCCGGTTATTTATGGAACTTTTCATCTGGGTTTATAAATGGGAGGAAGAATCTAGGAGATTAGATTCCAAACCGCGATCGCAAACCTTCCAGTTTTTTTTTATTTACTTTCTAGTTTCTACCATTACCATTACCAATCATCTTCTTCGATCTACTAGCCCAGCCAGCCAACCCTAGCCCCCAATTTCTCTCGTGATTTAAATTCCTGAATCTCTGAAGAGAAAAAGTAAATTGAAGATTTTGAGCTTCTTAATTTGGTAGAAATTGTCGCGATGCATCGCAGCGCTGCGATGCCGCCGATTTCGTCAATGACAAGGGATGATTCATTCTCTCCTCCTCCTTCCTCCGGCGACTTACCTGAAATCCCAGATGCTTGGTACGGTAACATTCAGTATCTGCTTAATATCTCCGTCATTGGCCTCTTATGCTGCCTCTCCATCTTTCTTTTCGTTAAGCTCCGAAGCGATCACCGTCGTATGCCTGGTCCTTCTGCTCTCTTCTCTAAGCTCCTCGCCGTTTGGAAAGCTACATGTCGCGAGATCGCTCGGCACTGCGGTGCTGATGCTGCTCAGTTCCTTTTGATCGAAGGTGGGAGCTTTGTGCTCCTTTTCTCTATTGCTGTTTTGGCTGTTTCGGTTATGCTTCCGTTGAATTTATATGCCGGGACTGCTTTGCTGAGTGATGAGCTTTCGAAAACGATGATTACGCATATAAAGAAAGGTTCCGGTCTGCTTTGGCTGCATTTTGTTTTTCTTGTGGTTGTTGTTGTTATCTCGCATTTCGGTATCTCTGCTATTGAAGCTAGGTTGAAGTTTACTAGGTTTCGAGATGGGAATGGGAATATCAGCGATCCCAATGCGAATTCCACCGCTGTGTTTACTGTAATGGTGCAGGGTTTGCCTAAGAATTTAGGGTCTGATAGAGTTGAGTTTGAAGAGTGCTTTAGGCTTAAGTACCCGGGGAAAGTTTATAAGATTATTGTTCCCATGGATTTGTGTGCATTGGATGATCTTGCTACAGAGTTGGTTCGTGTTCGAGATGAGATTACTTGGTTAGTTGCCAAGATGGACTCTAGGCTTCTACCAGAGGAGTTTGAGAATGCTGGAGATAATGGACTACTGTATTGTGTTTTTGCTTTGTGGATTAAGTTGAAGGGTTTGTGGTCTCAGATTACAGAGAGGTTTGGTTTTACAGATGATGAAAAACTAAGGAAGCTGCAAGAGTTAAGAGCTGATCTAGAGTCTCAGTTAGCAGCTTATAAAGAAGGACGAGCACAAGGTGCTGGGGTTGCTTTCGTGATGTTTAAAGATGTGTACACAGCTAATAAGGCTGTTCAGGATTTTCGAAACGAAAGATCAAGGCGTACTGGAAAATTCTTCTCTGTCACCGAGCTTCGGTTACAGAGAAACCAGTGGAAAGTGGATAGAGCACCCTTGGCTACTGATATCTATTGGAATCATCTGGGACTAACAAAAGTTGCTCTTATTGTGCGGAGAGTGATTGTTAATACTATTCTACTGTTGATTCTTGTGTTTTTCAGCTCCCCATTGGCCTTGATCAGTGCCTTGGTAAGTGCTGGCCGAATCTTCAATGCTGAAGCATTGGATAGTGCTCAGTCTTGGCTCACTTGGGTGCAAACTTCTGGATGGATCGGATCCCTTATTTTTCAGTTCCTGCCCAACGTCTTCATATTTGTTAGTATGTACATTGTGATCCCATCTGCTCTCTCGTATCTTTCTAAGTTTGAGCGGCACTTAACAGTTTCTGGGGAACAAAGAGCAGCTCTCTTGAAGATGGTTTGCTTCTTCCTTGTGAACCTCATCATTCTCAAGGCTCTTGTCGAATCGTCGCTGGAAAGTGCACTCTTAAAAATGAGTCGTTGCTATTTAGATGGCGAGGATTGCAAGAGGATTGAAGAATACATGAGCCCTTCCTTCTTATCGAGGTCATGCGTTTCTGCTCTAGCTTTCCTCATCACAAGCACGTTCTTAGGAATCTCGTTCGATCTACTTGCTCCAATCCCATGGATCAAGAAAAAAATCCAGAAGTTCAGGAAGAACGACATGCTTCAGCTTGTTCCCGAGAAAAACGAAGAGTACGCTTTGGAAAACCAAGAGCCAAGCAGCAACCTTGAGACACCACTTCTCCCTGAAAACATGTTTGAGTCTCCTAGATTCGGCGACATCGAACCGATGAGCCAAGACCTCTCTGAATACCCAATCAGCCGGACATCACCAATCCCTAAACAAAAATTCGACTTTGCCCAATACTATGCCTTCAATCTCACCATATTTGCCTTAACAATGATATACTCATCATTCGCTCCACTCGTGGTCCCTGTAGGCGCAGTTTACTTTGGTTACAGATACATAGTTGACAAATACAACTTCCTCTACGTGTACAGAGTTCGTGGTTTCCCTGCAGGCAATGAAGGGAAGCTAATGGACACGGTTTTGTGCATCATGCGGTTCTGTGTCGACCTGTACCTCGTCTCAATGCTGCTCTTCTTTTCAGTCAAAGGAGATTCCACAAAGCTTCAAGCCATATTCACACTAGGGGTGCTCGTGATGTACAAGCTTCTGCCTTCGGATACAGAACGGTACCAACCAGCTCTTCTCCGGAGTATTCAGACAGTCGATAGCATCGTCGACGGACCTGTAGATTACGAAGCTTATTCTCACCCAAATTTTGATTGGGACACTTACAACAACAGATGATTATACGACCTTATAAGTCTTATTAGCTTACCACTTTACCTCCTTGACCAAATCTTTTTGTATATCCTTCCTTGTGTGTATATCCCATATACTTTGTGCATCATTTTTTGTGTCGCGGGTTACGTTTATCGATTTCATCAGTTGGATCCCTTTAATAAAGAATTAATTAAATTCGGGGTGAGAAGTCAGAAAAACCAGAAAGTATGGGGTGGTGGAGAATATTAAAAAATTAATAGGTTGGACCCATGAAATGAGTCACAACAGTTCACTTTTGCAACACATGGATGGACTTATACACAAGACTGTTACACTCTCACCTAACGACGAAGAACAACGACGAACGTAGATCTCTTCTTCTCTTCCTCTCTTTCAAACTCACTAAGCTTCATCTTTCTCCTTCCCAAAAAAAAAAAACCTAATTTTGTTCTCGCTAATCCAAGATCTAAACCCCCACGCATTTTTTGATATTCGAATAATATCTTGTGTTCCTGGTCATGATTTCTCGTTTTTGCTTTGTTTTCCCGAGAAAAACCTCCGGGAAAGTAGGATAATCTGTCGAGTTTCGAAATCGTTTTCCAATGTCGTGCTGTTTCTTCAAGAGTACTCTGTTCTTGATCCCGATTTTGATGTTGCTGAGCTCCGGGAGCTGCAATGGTCGTATCTTCACCTTCGAGATGCATCATAGATTCTCCGACGAAGTCAAACAATGGTCCGATTCAACCGGAAGGTCTGCTAAGTTTCCCCCTAAGGGAACCTTCGAATACTTCAACGCTCTCGTCCTCCGTGATTGGCTAATCCGTGGGCGTCGACTCTCCGACTCCGGATCCGAGTCGTCACTCACTTTTTCCGACGGCAATTCCACTTCTCGTATCAGCTCTCTCGGATTGTAAGTTGCATTTTGCTTTGATTGTTCTAGAGTAACCTCTCTGCTTCAGGATTAGTGTGACTTTTCTGATTCAATTTGATACCAGTTTGCATTACACGACGGTGAAATTGGGTACTCCGGGAATGAGATTCATGGTGGCGCTTGATACAGGAAGCGATCTCTTTTGGGTCCCTTGTGATTGCGGAAAATGCGCACCAACCGAAGGAGCCATTTACGCTTCTGTATGTTAGACACTCTTAGCAACTACAGTTTTTGAGTTTACTGATCTTAGGCTATCCATGATCGAATCCTTGATTATGGGTTTCTGTTTGCTGTGTTAGGAATTTGAACTGAGCATTTACAATCCTAAAGTTTCGACTACAAACAAGAAGGTCACCTGCAATAACAGTTTATGTGCACAGCGTAATCAATGCCTTGGAACATTCAGCACTTGCCCTTATATGGTATCTTATGTCTCTGCTCAGACTTCCACATCTGGTATACTTATGGAAGATGTTATGCACTTAACAACCGAGGATAAGAATCCAGAGCGTGTTGAGGCATATGTTACATTCGGGTTAGTAGCAGTCAGCCTCTTCACAACTGCTTCCCTAGGTTCTCTTGTGTGAAAGTTCAATGTAGTAAGTTCCTGAAAATGTGAAATTTTTGCAGATGTGGGCAGGTTCAAAGTGGTTCTTTTCTTGACATTGCAGCACCAAATGGTTTATTTGGTCTTGGCATGGAAAAGATATCGGTTCCAAGTGTTTTGGCGAGGGAAGGTCTGGTTGCTGATTCTTTCTCCATGTGTTTCGGACATGATGGAGTTGGAAGGATCAGTTTTGGGGACAAGGGTAGTTCTGATCAGGAAGAGACACCGTTTAATCTGAATCCCTCACAGTAAGTGGTAATTTACTTATGCGCTAAATTGTAGATTTTTGTTGCTTTTTGAATGCACCTTTTGATCGTAGTGAAATTCATTGCAGCCCAAACTACAACATCACGGTGACTCGGGTGCGTGTGGGGACTACTCTAATAGATGATGAGTTTACAGCGCTCTTTGACACCGGTACATCATTTACTTATTTAGTGGATCCGATGTATACGACAGTTTCTGAGAGTGTAAGCATCTAAACACCATCATATGTTGTGTTTGTTCCCCGAGATGCTCAATTTTGTTAGCTCGATAATTACATTATCTTCTTCAGTTTCATTCTCAAGCCCAAGATAAGCGCCATTCACCAGATTCAAGGATTCCATTCGAGTATTGTTATGATATGAGGTATGAGTTTTTATCCATCTACATTCAAGTGTTTACTTGCCACTCAAATCTAAGTGATCTTCTTGTAAATGGTGTGATTAGCAATGAGGCGAATGCCAGTTTGATACCGAGTTTAAGCTTAACAATGAAAGGAAACAGTCACTTCACCATCAATGATCCTATCATAGTGATCTCTACCGAGGTTATACTCTCTTGCTTTACTTCTTTCCCTATCGTTTCTCGTCTTCTTCAACCAAATTTTTATCTGTGTGCTGATACTTTCAGTATCTCTATGTATCTTTCACAGGGTGAACTTGTATATTGCCTGGCCATTGTCAAAAGCTCTGAACTCAACATAATTGGACGTAAGATCAGTCTCTCCTATAATCGATCATTGAACATCCGGTAAATGGTGACCTCACATTGTTTTGCTTTTTATGAAACAGAAAACTACATGACCGGGTATCGTGTAGTATTCGACAGAGAGAAACTCGTATTGGCTTGGAAAAAGTTTGACTGTAAGTTTCTTCTTACATTTTTTAACTCCTTTGTGTTGTGACTTATATATCATTATATGAACTATGGATATCTCTATTAACGCCAGGCTATGACATGGAAGAGACAACCACAACTGTTGCCAGAACAAACAAAACAGAGGCGGTAGCTCCGGCAATGGCAGCCGGAATAAAGACTCATAATAATTCCTCAGAACAACACCAAACAAACGAAACCATCTCCAAAAGTAGCTCATCCTCAAACCAAAGATATAAAACAGCAAAGCTATGGTCTATTTTCAGATTTGTGTTCATATTACTTCCACTTTTGTAGATTTGTAAGCCCCCCCTTCCTAAACACAAGCCGATTGTTTTTTTTCCTTTTTGTATCATAACGAGACTATAGAGATCGGCTTCTTCAGGGAAATATATGCTTTTACACTCACTCACTAGTCACTCGGTCACTCCTGTTCAGAGAAATATACCTTGGCCAAAATTCTAGTACTCTTTTCGCTCGTCTTTTAATGGTGGTTGGTAAACCGAAATTAACCGAGATCAATTGAACCAAAAGGGGTTTGCTGGATATTCAAAAGGAATTAAATTGGGCTCCACATATGGCAAGTGGCCAACGCTTGACACGACCGGCTTCAAATATATGTATTATTATTTATTTATTATGCTTTTGAGTTTTGAGAGATGATGATTTTGTTTCTAGTATTCGCTTTGTAATTAAGAGATATAATTATTACCCATTTATGGACCTCGTATGATTTGAGAAATCACAAACCTACCAAATGTTTTGTATATGACTATTCTCATGTGCTACTTTACTCGATGTTCTCTCGTCTATTTGCTCGGTTCATTCTTGGAATGTATGGAACAAAAATAAAAATCATTTGGTTACATATATACACAGTAATTGGTGTCTAATTTTGTCTATCATTCTATAAACATATACTGTTTGTCTGTTTGAAAAGATTCATATTCTGATACAAAAGATTCATATTCTGATACACCGTTTCACTACTTTGACGGGTTTATTATTATTTGTCGAATGATGGGGTTGGTACTCGGTACTCTATAATATATACCCAAGATGTAAACATAGTTACACCAACATGAGTCTATGACCACCGTTTCATTACAAGATTGATACTTTAATTTTCTGTAACCATTGACCTTTTTTTCTTTAGTCAACAAATTATATACATTCTATATCAAGAGATGACAACATTAACAGACTAATATAAACTATTATGGATCAAATGGCAAAGTCATTCGTAATAAATTATTTATCACCAATCTATATACGAACATATGATTTTGATTTAGACCTGACCTGATGATATCTTGCTTTAGAACAAAGCTGTATGCAGCCATGCAGGTCTGATTTTTGTTATTTTTTTACAGTTTTAGATGTTTGCTTTGGTAAAAAAGATCTTGCAGCACTGTGATTGAGATTAGATCCATAAAACTTGATTTGATAAAAATGCAAAGCAGATACACTTGTGGTGACTAGTAAACAGATACATTTCAGTGTGGTAACTAGTAAGTAATAAGTTGGTAACTTTGAGAATAAAATCTTCAGGTAATATTTATATGTAAATTAATTGATGATAAACCATACATGTAAATGTGAGATTCCCTTGGACTCTGCTCATTTGAAATAGTTCATTCTCTCTCTTATCACACCTCTATTTTTCAGAGAGAGAAAGAGATTTCCAGTACACCGGAATTTTGTCATATAATATAATTTCCGGCTAAGATCCGGATCTTTGTACCGGCTAAGTCCGGTTTTATTTCTCGTTTTACCGAGATAAGATCTCTCATCCAGTTATGTTATTTTCCCGTTGATTTCTCCGATAATCACTTCCAAATTTTCTTTGTTTCTTCAGCTATTCGAGGAGTAATATCTTCGTCACTTTTATTTTGCTCATTTCATAAGAGCAAAGCAAAGTATTACATCAAAATCTGGATGTAATCGGTGGTGGAGCTTCCCCGGAGTTGATGATACTCGAAGAAAATTTGAAGAAGTTTAATATACTTGATCCGGTAGACTTCGACGTATCCTTTGATTGGATTTGAGATCGGCAGAAGATAAGAGGATTCTCATCATCTTCGGGTTATTTGGTGGTGGCTAATCGAATGCCGGTGATGCTTGAGAAGAACAGACGGTGGAGACGTGGAACTGCTTCAATTTGATGCGTGGCTTAGAGGAGGTGCTTCATCTCCACGTGTCTTATGCTAAACCATCAAAGTTTTATTATCTTTTGTATTTTGTAATATGGTTTAGTTTGGGCCTTTTAAATCTCGTCTGTAATCCTCTAGTTTAACTCTTCTGTATTTGCATGTCCACTGGGCTTAAGTAATAAAACTTTTGGACGAAAAAAAAAAAAAAAAAATGTGAGATTCCCTTACTAAAAAGTAAAAAAAACGAACTGATTTTATTCTATTTTTATGTTTATATAATTTACTTATACGGTGACTTTGTTTTTCTACAAAATCTTATCCTAATTAAACGTAAAAGTAATAATAAATTAATTTAAGACTTATTGACCATCTCAATAAACAACGTCAACAATCCTCGAAAACACTTTCTAGCCAATAAGAATCAACTTCATCCAAAGAGAACAAAAGTGTGTTTTTTCTTCTGTTTACCGAAGGGTACTTTCGTAACTTTAACTTCCCGCGGTAGCCAAGGCAAAAACCAAACCCAAACGGAAAATAATAAAAGTAAATGCAAATAAAAATAAAAGAACATATAAAAAACGAATAAGAGAAGAAAATAAAATAAAAGGGGAGAGAGAGAGAAAGAGAAAGAGAAAGAGAGAAGAGGAGACTACACTGCTCCATCGTCTTCTCCTTCTGGGGAATTTTTTTTTTGGAAAAAAATCAGTCTGTTACCTTTGTTTTGCCATTACTCAAACCCTAACCCTAATTTTCTTAATCACAGAGAGGTTTCTTCGGATTTTTCCAAATTCGCTAACTTTTTTTTGTTTTTCCGGGGGGTGTTAAATCGATTAATCGTTATTTTAGATACTGTCGATCGGAAGCTAATCGACTCTCTAACAAACCCTAATTTTTTTTTTTTTTTTTTTTGTGTCGTCCTCTGACCATGGCTTCCGCCACTTCCAATAGCTCTATTTCTTCTTCTATGTCTCCTCGTCGTATGACCGAGAATCACGGTAGCCCTAACGCTGCCGTTTCACAATCGCCTCGCCGTCCTTCTCGGCTGGTTTCTTCTCCGTGGACTCAAATCGTCCGAGGCGAATCAGAGCCGATCGCCGCCGCCGCCGTAGCTGCTCCTTCCTCTCCTCAATCCAGGGCTCCGATCGAGCCGGTTGCTTCTGTCTCCGCTTCTGCTACGCCTGATTCTGTTTTGACGGTGGAGGCGGCTGCTCGAGATGAGAAATCGGAAGAATCTGGTGGTCTGGGTAATGCGGGAAAGAAACCAGTTTGGAAAAGGCCGTCTAATGGGGCTTCTTCTGAGGGCGGACCTGTCATGGGAGCTTCGTCCTGGCCTGCTCTTTCTGAGACTACCAAAGCTCCTTCCAACAAGTCTTCTTCTGATTCGTTAAAAAGTCTCGGTGATGTACCATCGTCGTCATCACCATCACCAACTGTCCCTGTTTCTCAGGTTTGAAACGATTTTCATGGAAGTTATTGAAATATTTAAGCTTTTGCATACGATCTATCTGTTTTGATAATTGACTGCAACTGTGTATCATACCGATTAATGTTGGTGTGTGATCGTTATAAGCCTCCGTAGCTTTGATTGTTTCTCGCTGCCCCTTTGTTGACTCAAATCTTTAGGTTTAAGCGGCTTGCTATTGTTTGGATTGTGTCTACTACAATGTATGAACATAAACCTCGGTATCTGCATGTTTGTTTAATAACTACTTAAAGGCAGATAAGTCTTAATACCTTCCTGTTGGATTGTGATGCATATTGAGCCACTGAGCTCTTTAGCGTTGATGCTTATTTTGATGTGCGCCTTCACTTATGTATGTATTAATCCTACTTTCAATACTTTCCTTTATCCTGATTCAATAATAAAGATGCTTCTTTGTCTTTAATTTAGGGAATTGCAAATGCTCCTGTTCCTGCACCAAAGCAAGCTGTCCGTGCAAACCCTAATCCAACTCCAAATCATTCGCGCCAGAGATCATTTAAACGGAATGGCGCTTCTGGATCCGCTAATGGTACTGTTTCTCAACCATCAGTGCAAGGTTCATTTGCCGAATTGCCTTTGCACAGCCCTTCTCCTAGAGGCCAACACCAGAAAAATGGCTTTGCATCACAAACCCATGGTGGTTCTGACAACCTACCACAACGGGACTCCTACAGGAACCAAAATGGTAATCATCACCAAAGTCATGGTGGCCGGCGTAATCAGGAGCACGGGAATCAGAATTGGGGTTATAACAGAAGCTTTAATGGGAGAGAAGGAAATGGACAATCACAAAGGCCGGCATTTGTAAGACATGCACCACCACCTGTTCAGCCAATTCCTCCTCAGTTTATGACAGCTCAGCCTATTCAGCCTTATGCCAGCCCTGTGCCGTTCCCTCCTGGTGAGACACATTGAAGATCATGTCTTCAAATTTAAATTATGATTTGCTAATGTTTCTTCTTCATTTCAGATATGGCAGCGTCATATTATCCCCGTATACCTTTTATGACGCCTCTTGCACATGGTCCAGTCTTCTACCATGTTCAAGATCCTCCATTACACATAAAACTACAGAACCAAATACAGTATTATTTTAGGTAATGTTTTTATATTGAAGTTCTTTTATTCTTCTCAATGATAATATTCCCGCTGATCAGTTCTCCTAAGGGAAATACTAATATAGATGCAAATGTGTCTTTCGTTACAGTGATGAGAATTTGGTTACAGACGTATACCTTCGTAGTTTTATGGATGAGAACGGTTTTGTTCCGCTACGTGTGGTTGCTGGTTTCAAAAAGGTAAAATGTTTTCTAGATGTGTTTGTGTTTCATTCTGGCCTCATTCAATTTATTTCCTTTGTGTATTATAAACAGTATACCTTAATTAGCAATGAGTAAGACTTTCATGTCTGTATACTTCCTCAGAGGTTTTTTTTTTAACTTGCTAGGATTAAGGGTGAATATTTATTCCAATAGGCTCTTTGGTTCCTTTTGTGACTATCTATACAAAGATGCCAAATGCATGAACAAAAATTCAGCAAATGGGATCTGTTCTTAAGATAGGTTTAATATGTTACCAGTTGGCATGTGATAAGAAATTCAATTGTGAATGCTTCTTCTTGTTGGCTTCTACACCATCTTTTTTTTTGCATTCTTACTATACCATTTTATTGCTGCTGTGCCGTATCTATAGTTATTTTATTATTGTCTGTGAATTTGATTTGTGTGTTGTTTCTTTTTCTCTCCTTCTTCAGGTTGCAGAACTTACAGATAGTATCCAGCAAATAGTGGAGGCTCTACAAAATTCACCTGTTGTTGAAGTGCAGGTATTTCTTGTTTAAGTGTGTTCTAACTATTGAATTGCATTGTCTTTTCTTGCTAGTAGTATGGTGTTGTGTGATCCTTTTGTATCTTGGTGCGCTTGGATAACTTTTTACTTTCAATTGATTGCACATACTCTTTCTCTTCTTAGGGTGACCTAATAAGGAAGCGACATAATTGGGGAAAATGGGTGATCCAAATGAAGGCCCCTGCAGAGTCGAGCCCCCAATCTGTGGATAGGGCAGATGCAGTAGGAAGCAGACTTGGAAAGCTGTCTCTTGATCAGAGCTCAGCGGATACCATTGGTGGTTCAAGCAGTCAGTTGCAACCAAGGGAAGCTCTTTCAGATGTTGATCAACAGTCTTCTGGTGTTGCGCCAGCGAGCAACCACAACGACTCAGATGGTGCAAACCGTTGAACCGTCGCTGTTGTTGGTGAGTGTGTTGGACATGAATATATTATTTTGTCCTGCCGAAAATCAGGAAAACAATAATAATGAAGGGGAATCCGAAAAACGAAAGGAAAAAGGTAAGACATAAAAGCATAAAGAGAAGAGAGTGAGAGACCCATTTTATATTATTAAAAAAAAAAAAATAAAAAAAAAGGATCAAACATTTGTGATTCTTCTAGCTAGCGGAAACTTTGGCATATTTATGGTCTTTTTTAAAACATATCTTTTGGCTTTTGGATATTTTTGGATGCTAATAACTTTTTATTTATTTATGTTTATGCTACTTTGCTACACATACAATGGTTATTATGGTTGCTTGTAGCCATCGTTATGGTTTGGGGGATTTATTGGTTTTGCTTTCTAATGACCCCCTTGTCTATTTCTACTCTTTTTTTTGTATGGATTTCAATATTTCGATTTGTTGATGGGCCTCTTAAAGAACAACCTTAAGAATGGAGAAAGCTTAACTGGAAACACACTCGTGAAGCTTATTCCGCGTCGTCGGTGTGAGAAATAGCGGAGATTGCATAAGAGTGAAGCAAATAGCAGATCCTTTAAATTGAATTTTATACCTAACATTGTATGTGAGAACAACAAAGTAACACACATAAAACATGTCCCAAGTTGAAAGTCATCTTTTGTGGTTTACTGTTGTGTAACGTGTTACTGCTTTGATGTGAACATGACCAAACACGTGCTTAACGCTCTGCTGGCATTGTACTGTTGTTTTTCTTTTTTTTGGGTATGATTTCAAATGGGACATTAACACAATTTTCAAATAACCTGTTAGGAGCGTTGCTATATATAATTAAGAGTTATTCAAAAGTAATATAGGGTATATGTATGAAGGTGAAACTTAGGTACTTTATCTAATAAAGAAATCTTTTAGATTATTGCAACGAATTATTATAAACTGTGCGTACGAATAAGTAAAAATTGTCCCTCTGCGTTTTTGTAATAAATGAAAAATGTGCACCCCTTCATCACGTTCTAACTGAAGCCTAGGAAGATCTAGTTATCATTCTAGGCTCTTCTTAATTTATTTATATAAATCTATATGTAATTTAGACAAACACAAACATTGACATATATCGGAACATTCTAAATGTTTCGCCTAAATGGAGAAATAAACAGAAAACAACCCAAAAATATATACATAGGTGCAATGTCACCACCATCTTTGTGAACCAAAAAAATCAGAACTAGTACTCTTCATAGACTAATAAAAAATAGTAAACCCTAATTTATATGAAAGAAAACCCAAAAGATAGAGAAAGGTTTCCCAACTACTATTTTTACCATTTTGGAGATGATGCTACACGACAATATATATATATATATCCCACCATCTTCCACTATATATATATATATATCCAACGGTTAGCATTATTTTGGCTTTTTCAAACTCCTTTGAAGCTACTTTTTTTGCATACTTTTATTGCTAATTTGGGTAGTGAAATTATTACGAGACTACACTACTAAGCTACTGTGGTGTCCGTACTGTCTAGAGACAACCTAGGAACAGATGATTATTGTATATTGACCAGTAGAATTAAAGAATCCAACGGTCAGGACCTTACGGTTCATTCATATATATATATTGTTCGTTGGATTATACTTTGCAATGTAGGGGGATAGGTCTTTCTTTCTTTCTTTCATCAAATCAAATCAAATCAAATCAAATCAAATCACTAGCTCTCTTGTTTCGAGTATATAAATACAAACCCCTTTCTATAAATCTTTTGGAGTATTTATTTTTAGTTGATAACAAAATTAATTAATAACATGTATTTTTAAAAGTAGTTGGTTAGTAACAACGATATATATACTACAATAAGGTGATGATGAAGTCGAGTATAACATGTTTCTATAGTATTGTGCCCTTTGCCCGAATAAAAATGACAAAGGGGGCGCAAAGGCAAGACTTGCCAAAATAGAAAAAATTTCCATTTATAAGCATTGTATAAAAAAAGTAAACCAAAGAAGAAGAAGAAGATATTAGATTGACAGACAAGTCTAGATTTTATGGAGTGTTTTTATTTTATTTTATTTTGGGACAGAGCAATGTAGTGCTGACACCTGTCCAATCCCCTGAGACATGACATGTCACTCTCTCTCTCTCTCTCATACACAACTTCTTCTGCACAACCATTTGTAAACTTATGGGACATTTGGTTTCACTCGTCACACACCTACTAGCTACTACTACCCCCCATTTGAGTTTATTTTTCCAAAAAAACAATTGATTTGAAAATAAAAATAAAAAGAACTCAGTTGTACTATTAAACAAGAAATGGAAAAAATCTTGTAACAAATATGAGTATATGGAGGTGAGTGTTATGTATCATTTGAGGAGATTTTGCGTTCTCTTATAAATTCAATAATCAGCTTCTAAATGTTGTTGTATGTGTGTGTGGTGTACTCACTCTTTGCATGTTCGAAGATGGGACGTTTCCTTGAGGGCTAATCTTTTTTTTCCTATTCAAAATCTTTGAAGCCAAAAAATATATTAATAAGATTTTATATGTACGGAGAATGAATAGTTTAATCATATTGAAATAAGAATCTTAAGACTCATATCGTATTTTTTTTCCTTTTCATTAGGATATAAAATTATAAATCCAACTTGGAGTAAAAGAAATATAAAAATCTAAAAAGTGTGACTAGATATGCACTTGTGGAGACTGACGAACATTATTATTTAAAATATTCGAATATCTCTAGCTCTTTTTTTTTGTAAGGAACGCAGATCATGTAATTTATGGTTACGTATGAATCATTAAAATATTTATTAATTCATATCAACCTCTACCTGGCTTATTAATTTGTTTATTCTCCCCTCTAGTACTCCCCCCACTTGATTTCTCTTTAAGATTTATCTTGACGAGTATTTTTAATCACCCAACATATATATATATATATATATATATATATATATATAAATATATGTAAAATACGGATTAGATATAATTTGGTTTAAACACTATCCACTTGTTATGTTTGTTTATTATGTTCAGAGCCACAACACCAATGATTTGAAGTGGGGGGGGAACCAAATCAACAGTATAATCCAGTTTTGTTTTTTTGTTTTTTTTTTTAATGTTTAAATGCGATTCAAATTATACATAAACAATCAGTATCATTGTGAAAAAAATTATGGTACTACTACTGTATTAAGAAAAAGTTGGAAGACCTCGAACGTTGTAGAACTGGTCGAATTGTGTGCTTCCACATTGTTTTTTTTTTCTTAAAAAACTTTTCCATAAAAAATGAAAGATTATACAAAAGTACTAATCAAAGATATATATTTTTTCAAATTTTTTGAACTTTTATATAAAGAACAGAACATAGTTTTTATATTCGATAATATTTTAACTTGGTTTCAAATATGGGTTTATGTACACAAAACCAGAATAACACAAAAACTAGTAGTACACCAAGCAAAGATAAGTGAAATGTTCTAATTTCATTTTTCTTTTAAATGTCTATTTCATTTTTCTTTTGAATGTCTATTTCGGTAGACCCTTAACACAAAGTGTATAAAATGGTCAATATTGCATAAGAATCTAAGAAAGAGCAAAGAAAAGTCATAATTTGAAAGTTGATAATGATCCAAATTAGAGGGATGTGATATTAGAAAGTAAGATAAAACCAAAGTTAAATTTATATTGCCTGCCTTTTTTCAAGCATCTCTCCCCCCCCACTCCACTCTTTAACATTTAAGGATCATCTAACTATTTCACTAACTTCACCTTTTCTAATTATATAAAAAAAACTATTATATAACCAAAAATGGAAGATGTTTAAACATTTGATATATATATTTTTTATAATACTGTTTAAACGTTGAAGACATCAACAGTTTAATTACATAGTTATGGAATTTTTCTTCTTCCTCCTCTTGTAATAAATAATTAAATTTTTGGAATAGTTGAATAGCTCTGTCTCTTCTTCTGGAGTCTGGACCCAACCCATCATTCCAGAAATGACCGGCGAAAGTCAAGAACCTCTCTGAGCTCTCTACTCACTACTATACTCTCTCATCTCTCTCTCTCTCTGCGTGTAGGTTACAAGACAATTGACACCAAGACTAAAGCTGTGTTGTTGGTTCAGTTCTCTTCTCTTTTCCAATGTTGTCATCAGCAAAGCATCAGAGGAACCATAGAGTCTCTGCTACAAACAAGAACAAGACTCTCAACAAGGTTTCTTCCATTTCATCCTCATCACCATCCTCTTCATCATCATCATCATCATCTCCTTTACCCTCACAAGATTCCCAACCCCAGAAGAGATCTCTAGTCACCATGGAAGAAGTTTGGAAAGACATCAACCTTGCTTCCATCCACCACATAAACCGTCACAGCCAACATCCACAACACAGCCATGAGCCACGGTTCAGGAGTCCCAACCACCAGAACCAAAACCCTAACTCAATCTTCCAAGATTTTCTCAACGGACCTTTGAACCAAGAGCCAGCACCCACAAGCCTGACCATGGGTTCTGCTTCTAATGGCGATTCCACCACTGTCACTGCTCTCTGCAGCTCTCCGTTCCCACCTCCTGCAACTCTTCTGAGCTTGAATTCCGGCGCTGGCTTCGAGTTTCTCGATAACCAAGATCCTCTTGTTACCCCAAACTCTAATCTTCATAGTCACCATCACCTCTCAACCGTTCCTTCCTTCAACACCCCTTTCGAGGATCTGGTTACATCCACTTGTTTTGGTAGGAAAAGAGGCCAAGAGTCCAATGAAGGTACAGGGAATAGAAGACATAAGCGTATGATCAAGAACAGAGAATCTGCCGCTCGCTCCCGAGCTAGGAAACAGGAATGTGCCTCTCCTCTTCTCTACTTACTACTACTCATGTTTTATCGAAGGGAAGAAAAGAAATGTAGTTTTGCCATCACAATGCTTTTGATCTGAAAAAAAGGTTTTTGGGTTTTTTTCTCACTTGCAGGCTTATACAAATGAGTTAGAACTTGAAGTTGCTCACCTGCAGGCAGAAAATGCAAGACTCAAGAGACAACAAGATCAGGTAAATAGCATAGAGAAGTTCTTATTCTTTTAATACTCATGTAAATAGTTCGAATCCATATAGCTTAACTCATATCTTAACCAACATATAAGAGAAGAGACAGCCTCTGCAAGTAATGCAGTATGTTTGTTTTGCACTCTGTTTTGTCCAATGACAATTTGAGCGGTAAGATTCTAATAGTTCAGTTATGTCTGCAGTTAAGAATGGCTGCAGCAATTCAGCAGCCCAAAAAGAACACACTTCAACGGTCTTCCACAGCTCCATTTTGAGAAATCTACAAGTCCTTATTGAGCTAGTCATATGAAGAAATGAAAAAATGGAAATGTTTGTACCTTTTTTTGTTAGCTATAAGTATAACTAAGCTAAATTTGTAGAACTAAGATATTGTAGGGGAAAGAAAGATGGTGTAAAAAAACAACCCTGAAAGAGAAAAGGATCTTTCAGAAGGCACAGGAACATCTGTCCTGGGGCCTCTCTTCATGTTCTGTCGTTATTACTCAACCCTTTTTCACTTCGGTACTAACTTCTACTTGTATTCTTGTAGTAATGTTCTACTTCCTCTTCTAATACTAGTAAGAACAAAAAAAACATATGTTTTACTGTTTAACCAATTTGGTTCTCAATAGAAACCATTGTTTCAATGACCAATAGACAAAACAGTGCTCCATTTAAATGATGACAATAGCAGAGAAAAGTGAGAAGGGGACCTGTCACTTAACATTTAATTTTCTCCTTGTACATTATAGCAAAAATATCCATTCGTTTGCCTGGCTACCATACAAGCCAACAACTTGCACTATGAAATTGAAATCTCCAAGCCAATGGGAATTAAGTCACCCACTTTTTTGGTTGGTCAAGAGAGAACATGATAAGGTTTTTATTCAGTCTAGTCACTCGCCACGCTTAATTTATTCATTTAGCTTTTGCTATATCTGGTCACCATCAAAAACACTAGGTGTGTGTTCGTGTTCATTTGGTCTATCAGGAAAATAGTTGTATCCTCTTTTGGTCCAATCTCGGTAACCTGACAGTGATAAGTCTTATTGATCCACTTTTGGTTGTTGATATTTGATTGTGTATTCTTTTAAGCAACCAAAAGTAGACATCAAGAGCTAATATGGTGTGAAATTAGTGGCATTAAGATAAAGAAGAATAGTTACCAAAAGTGGGACTATGACTAGAATCTATCCTCACATTCATTATATGGTAACACTTAACTTAGAGCCCCTCAAATAGGCATCCAATACTTTTACTTTCATTCCAGTCAATAAGAATCCTAGACTTCAAGCAACATTTGAATCAAAGGTAGTTACATTCGCCTGAAACTACACCTTTATTGTCTTTCAATTGCTTACATTAATGTTTCCCATCAAAACTTAAAACTTATAAGAGCTCGCAAGCCTAAGATGTGAAGACAGAAAGAACCATTGTGAAGTCGCTGGAGATACAAGTTGTTTACCTTTCACGCTGATCATTTTATATTACTTTTGGTGAAAAAGCAAAAGTCATTAAGCTTTTGATGCCTCACATTCCTCCTCAAGTATTTTTCCATCCTTTGGAACCAAGAATGGAATCCCATCTTTGATCTAGCGTGTTAAGAGAAGCAAAATCAAGTCTCTTTTAACACTAAGTCGTGAACATGAAGTGAAAGCTAAAAGAACAAGGGAATAACATGATTAAGAAGCAAAACCAAGTCTTAAACACAGAATCGTGAACATGAAGTGAAATCTAAAAAGAAGAAGAAGAATATGATTAAGAAGAAAACGGCCGACCAATCACTTTAGCATATCATTATTCAATCAGTGAATCTCAAATCAACACTAAGAATAAATTCATTGCTAACTTTATTCATTATGAAGCAAATGAAAAAACAAAAAAAAAAAAATAGTAAAGAATCAAGCTGTATATATACATCTCTTAATCTCCGATTTTGACAATTCCTAAAAGATCAAAATTGGTTTCAGAACATGTTCGTTGAATAAGAGAGATGATTCTGAAAGCATATATGACATAGTGTTATCTGGTACAATTTCACTGCTTGGGAGACTTACATCTATAACTTTCACATCAGCTCAACATTACACAAAGCATCTTAGCAATACGAAAAAAAAAAAAAAAATCAAAAAGCTTTGGACTGAAATTGGCATAAAAGCTTACAGGAAAAGAGACACCAATAGTATCGCTTACAAGTGATTTCGTCTTCTCGCAGAACCTATCAAAAATACAATTTGTCGAATTTCATAAACAATTTCTTCGGGACCAATCTGAATTGAAGCTATATACGAATTGAAAGAGAGAAATCGAACCTCAAAGGTTGCTTAGAGAGAGGGCACACCAGAATCTCGGAGAGGGTCTTGTCGATTACGTTTCCGGCGTCTTTTAGCAGCACTCTGCTCAATCTCACCATACTTAAAGCTTTGATCCCGGGTTTTTCTATTCTCCGATCCCCGGCAGAATCGACCGGCGTTACAGATATAGCGATGATTTTGGACTTTTTAAGTAAAACGCAAAACGCCCCCTATAAATTTGATGTTTCTAATCATGCCCCTGAATTCTTATGAATTGCAAAAACGGTCATTCATGTTAATAATAATTAGGGCAGAGAGTCCTCGGATATATGCCTAAGTCATTTTTAGTTTTCTCGATTGATGCCCTCAATTTTAATACTGTAATGATTAGTCCATCAGTGTGTAATTTTATCAAACGTTATTAATTGGTGACTTTTGATTTGTCTGTGGAGTGTGGTAGTCATTGGTTACAATTTACATATATTGCTTATCAACCAATTGGAAGATGTTGATCAGAGAATGTTCTGAGGCGTCAAAAGAAACTTGCTTTCTCTATTATGCGCATAGAAATATTACAAAACTTTATTCTGAGCCAAAGCATGGACAGGTTACTATTGTTACAATAATCCCTAGCTTGCTTTCCATGATTCTTGTAATTGTAAACTAGGTAAATATAAAATTGCTCAGTGACTTCACTTCACATCAAAACAATCAATGTAAGAGAATGGGTAAAACATTACTAACATCTAAATTGACATAAGATCTGACATTAAAAAACAAATCCAAGACGATCCTAGCATTCTCAGAATATCCTTAATAAGAAGTATGACAGGATTTCAACTTCCTCTCATACCTTGTGCAAGCATCTGAAATGCAGGTTTTAGACAGCCTCTTCATCGTCCAAGAGCAAACAATCTTTTATTTTCTCCCTGAAATAATTGAGAATCGATGTTAGGAGTTTAAATAGTGTTTCCCTTAGTTTTGATATTAGTTTTAAATCTGCTGCTTCCTAGAGAAGTCAAATACCAATAATTCTGAAATGTAGGTTTGTTGGATATGAATCCAAGTTTGAGATCAGAGTTATTGCAGACTAACTAATTAAGGACTCACCTCAAATCATTTTGACTGTGAACCTTTTGGTGCTTCACTTGGGAGATCATGTGATCTGGTAAAAATGAACCAAATTGCTCAAGAGATGATCCATCTTCTGGAAGTATTTGAAACCGGCAACTTGAACAGCAAGCAGCATAGAGGGCGTCAGATTCCTGGCTTTCATCAAAAGTATCCAACTCTGATGAGTCTGATCTATTTTTCGGTCCATTGCAAATAGGACAGAAAGCTTCTGTAGTCATAGAGCCGTCATATTTGAGATTGAATCTCTTTAGGCGCCTCTGAGTGGCCATAGGAACATTCGAGTCGTCTGTTTCTGGAATTTTATTAAAGTAAAATGGAGTCAGCTTTGCAGCTGTCCGTACAATTGTGCATTCCCGAGAAGGATTTTCTTCCTGCACAACATATATAAAACCCAGAGACAAAATGAATCAGCAAAAACAAAGTAACAGGCAGCCAGGCATGCATTACTTCATATGCAGAAGATGAGCATGATTTGAACCTGCAACAGAGCGACAAATGAAGACACCAAATCATTGATGCCGCTTTGAGAACGACAAGCCAACTCCACAGTCTTTAGACTGCCCTGCCCAGAATATGTCAGATGTCACTTAACAGTTGGATTATGCAAGAATACAGCTCACTATGACAGTACAATACAGGTTAGGTAGCCAAGATACGAACCCATCCAGAAGACAGAGTCTAGTTATTTCCTGTCTAACACAATCTCGAAGTGGAAGTACAATGGGGACATTCCATCTAGCATCAACATGCTGAATATCTGCTGAAAGTGAATAACCTCGTCCCTGTCTCAAGAAAAAAAGCAAATCAGCTCAAGATTCTAATAGAGTGTAGTCTAGTTTCCCTTGATACAGCTCGAATCATTCTCAGATGGTAAACTGAATGTCCAAACAAAGTTCATAAAAAATTGTATTGGAATAAAACTTTCCACCAGCACTTCCATGTTTTACAGATGTAACTCTTTAGGTCCTAAATATCTACATTCTTTGAGATAGCCTTCGCCATTGCTCTATGGCATAAAGTTCACACTCTAAAATTTAATCTATAGAAAACTAAAACAGTGAAAAGATGAGCCCAAGCAACACACCTTGACAGTAGCTGTAAGAACATGGGAAGCAATTCTCGACGTGCATGATCCCACCACTAATCTGTTGTACCCATTTTCAAAGGCAACCTAAAATGGAGTATCAAGCAATAACAATTAAAAGATAGTTCCAAGCCTTCTGAAAAGAAACATGAACAATATGATACTCTAACCTTTTGCAAAGACAACATTTTCAGATGCAACAGAAGGTCTTCTTTTCCAGTATCGTCAGGAACAGAATCTAAAAGCTTTACAAGCCTATCTCTTGGGTCAAGAGAGTCCGAACCAAAGACGCTTTCGATTGGAACAACATGGAGATCCTTTGCAGGTGGAGAAAAATTTGACACAGTTGATCGAATCCAGTCAATTGCATCAATCGTTTCCATAGAGAGAGCAGGAAAAGCTGCAGTTTCATCCACAAAAGCAACACCAACACCAAACACAGGTAATGATCTATCTCGACTAGCCTCGTAATTCTTCAGAGCCTTGATTTGCAGTTCGTGCACAAATTGAAGAGCAACCCTAATTTCATACTTGCTACGTTTAGACAACAATCACAAACGTATCAAAAAGAAAGCAAGGAAAAGAGACGAGAGTGAGACCTTGAAGATGATCCGCCAGAGAAAGCAACAAGAACGTTATCTGAAGGCGTGATCATGGCATGAGAAGTAACAGCGAGACGGAACTTCCCAAAGACGTTGTTCCTAAAGCACTCGGCGCAGAATTTTCCATCATCTGAGCCACCGTCGCCAAATGTCTTAGGCTCATTGCATTTACACTTGACACAGACACCAACTACGGCATCTTCCACTATCTTGCTTCCATTTTCCTTCTCACGATCATAGCAACCACCTGACTCACAGCCTGAGGAATTACAGGCCATGTCCAAGCAAGGACAACTGAGACAGTGACAAGGAAGATTTAGATTAGTAAAGAGAAGTAGACAACAATACTATCAAGTTATCAACATCTAAATTATGAGTCAAAACTAGTTTCCACCATTAACAAGCTTATCAAGAGATTGTTACTCTTAACGTAACCATTAGTCTGTTATACTTAATCAGTATGTAATCTTATAATCCTATTCCACTGTAAATTGCTAAGTCTCTCAATCAAACGAATATAGAGAGAGAGATGTGTGCAGATTCATAACCGAATAACCAAGCTAAGAAATTGAACCCAAATTTCTGATTCGAGAATCAAACAAGCAGATAAGAGATTAATTACCAGTTTGAGAGAGAAAGAGAGTCGTCGCGATAACAGTCGAAGCTAGGGTTTGAAAAGGTCGACTACAATTTGTCTGAAACTAGGGTTTAGTTTAGTGGAGAAATTTTTTGGGGACGAAGATGAATGTGTGGTGATTTACGAGTCTACCCTTACCGGTGACACGATGAGTCTTAAATTTTACGGTTTGATAATAACTTTTTAACATGCGTAAACTGTGGGGAGACATGTAACCCATCCATTAAAAAGAAACCGACAAGTTTTGTCCAAATTGGGAGCAAGAGAATCATCAGTCATATCATTTTTTTGTCGATGTTTTAGGCTTTTGGCCATGGTGGTGAACTTGTGATCACTCAAACGCCTTTCTTCGCATTCTTCAATTGCTAGTATATCATAAGTAATATTTACCCGCTAGCAAATCGTATAATATATTCCTGAATAACTTAGAAATTTACTATTTTGACCCGCAAAAACGAGTGATTGATGTGATGTAGCCATGTAGAATAAGAAAATTAGTTAGTCTATTAGTCTATGATACACACAACACAAATTTGCTGAAATTTCGATAAGAATCACAAACAACTAATTTACATACGACAACGACTGAACACAAATACAAACACAAGTGAGTGTATTAAGAAGAAGAAGAATCTCGAGTCATATCCAGAGAGACAAAATATCCTTTGTTTTGTTCACCTTTTGTATAATATAAGAATTCAATGTTCCATGAACTGCGACGAAGGCGGACTTATTTTCGTCTTCTCCATACCTGCGAGGATATCAAGAGACATCATTATTCCTGCTTCAAATATTAGAAATCAAATGCTTTTAAGATGATTGTATGTAATTTATACCATAAGCCCCACGAATCTCTACTTCTCTCAGTTCTTGGACAAGGGCACAGCAACAACACATCAAATGAGATAGAAAATCATCAATGAACCCTCCCTGCGATATCAGAAAACATTAGGCATTCATCCCAACTCTACTTTGTGCATTAAAAAAAGATATTTCACTCTCAAACATTTGATACCGTACCATTGATGCAGGTAACTACTTACTTAATCATTGACCATAATTTCAAGGAAAAGAAAATTGTTGTTTTTGGTTTGCATATGATAACCATTTTCTTAGGAAGCATATCGATGTTTGGGATCAAAAGCTTACTAAAACCGATTAGGGTTCAAGTGAGTGCAGAGAATGTACCGTGATATTTAGCGTCTTTCGGAGTTTCCTCCTTACGCAACAAGTGTAGCAGCAACACGAAAGTATCAAAGAATACGCCATTAGCTCATTACATGCTTCAGCTGAAGCTGTGAGAACAAAAGCATAAAACATAGTTGCTTATTAATTTTCACATATTCAAACTACCAACTTGAAACAATAAAAGTAATCGTGTATCCCTTACAGATGTGCCTATTAGATGCTGCAGTTGCAATCTTTGCCAAAGCACCACATGGGAAAAAGAATGTCTTTAAGCCTGTTGTTCCATCATCAGTGAATCATTCACAAGTTTTCAGATAACAAGAAAGTATGGAATGTGAAACGATCGTCATCTGTATAACAGAGAAAACAAAGTGGAATCACAATGGAAACAAGAAGTGGGGACATACAAAGAGAAGGTTCCGAGCAACAAGCAAGTAAGTCTGTATGCCATTCTTCATGGTGTTGTGCCATTGATGCTCTTCGTGAAAGTAGATCATGCCCCGATGAAACATTAGAAGTGGATCTGCATGGAACAATTATGTAACCAACGTTATAGAAACATTGTACCAAATATAAGCCTTTAAACATGAAAACAGACCTGACGAGCATTACACATGCAGAGCATAGTATTGGAGATTTTACATCCTAAATCACATAATAATATTTCTCTTGTAATTGGACAATACACAAGTTGCATTTAAAGAAAACACATGAAGTTTTATAGCAGAACAGATTGGAGATTCTAACCTGGAGGCTGCACGACTACTGCTTTTCTTGGGAGTATTTTCGTCATACGAATATTCTGTGTTCATGCTTGAGGTACGCTCAGCTTTTTTCGAAGCTTTCTTCGTCAGTTCCTTCTCAGAGTCAGGATCAACAGAAGCAGCAGCTTGTGTAACACCAATTAAACGCTGAATGACTTCACACTGAGCCACATCATAATGCTCCTGTGAGCGCTGGAGTTCAAGCTGCAGTTTCTCGTTTTCTGTTTTGAGGGCTTCACAGAAACGCAAGTTAGGGTATGAGCAAGAGAGAGTCTTCTTCAGCACTGATGCTGCTTCTCTGGTGGATTCTTGTTTCAGAATAACATCTTGCACATGTCTGTCTTCTTCATCCAGAGTGTACTCGCGCTGATCACGGTCAATATATTCAAACCTCTCCTGTACACAATTATCCAAATTTCAAAAAATAACATAAATAAATAAAGAAAAAACATTTACCAACACCAAGCAGAGAAACTTAAAGATCATAATTAAAGAAAAAGTTACCCGAATCCGAGCGTTATCGACCAAGGTGATGAGGGGTATGATCTTGAGAAACCGATCAATCTCATCCTGATGTTTCCTGAACTGGTAAACAATGTTCCAACCCATAGCCAACAAGTAAAGATAGCTCCGGTCCCGACAGCTATTGACCAGGAGGTAAGACCTCCTCAAAGCATCCTCAAGCCCTTCGAGAGGCTCACGAGTCTCAGGATACTTCTTCATCTCAGAGATCTTGAGCTGCTCAAGCAAATTCCCAATGAGTTTAAGATGTTGAGCGAACTGACGACAGTTCTTCTTGTGCATCCAAGCAGTATTTGCAGCTTTAACAATGAGCCCAATCAGCTTGACTGCATCTAAACCAGTCAGCTGAGCCACTGACGCAATCTCCCCAAGACCATCCCATGAATGTGACATTATTTCTTCGATCAACCGCCGGAAAGTTCCTGATTATACCGATTCATCATCACTTGCGTTAAAAAGCAGCTCTCTCAACCAATTCCAAGATCCAAAACATGGCCGAATTATCTTAGATTTTGGGAAATTTTACCTTTACTGAGCTACTATTTCTGGAAAGTACCGGAATCAGAGAGATGGATCCAAAGTTCTACAACGCCGGCATTATCGAGAGAGATCGAGCTCGAGTAAGTTTCCGAAGCTAAATCAGAGGTAACCACCGAGAGATTCAGAAGTTCCGGTTGAGAAACCGCATCACAGTGAAGGGAGTGAAGCGAGACTTGGGTATAAGAGGGAGCAGTTTCTTCGACTGCGACAACAACAAAAGCAACAAAGAACAAAAAAAGAAAAGTCCATAAGAGATACCAATCAAAGAGATTCTCAAGGTCCATAGGCTTTTCTACGTCAAAGATCTTCTCTAAACACCAAAAAAGAATTTTTAAAAAATTATAAAATCCCTAAAGACGATATCTCCTTGAAGACTTGAAGCTGACGAAAGCGAAAGAGTAACAATCCAAAAACCAGAAAGTAAAAGAAGCGCAAAAAAAAGAGAAGGCAGTGAACAGAAGTAACCTCCGACGAGTAAAACAATTCGCCGGCGAAAAACTCCTCCGCCGCGGGAGTCAAGTCAAATGGGAAAAATAATATACCACAGAAAAAAATATATAAAAAAAAATTAAGAGAGAGAGGAAACAATATCGGAATGCTCACATGATGCATTGAAGAAGGCAACAGTTATACTTTTTCTCTTTCACGGCTTTCTATACATAAATAAATACTACTACCATAGATAAAAAAAATGGAAGAAGATGAAGGAGGTGGAAGAAGAACACTACTATAGAAGTCTGGGAATTAAAAAAAAAAAAAAAGAGTTTCCAGGAAAATGCAAATCACCTGAAGCAGAGAGAAGATTCTCTGCAAGTCGTGAAGAGAGTTTAAAATCTAAATCCAGAGGCAGAGGCAGAGAAGATGAGTCAATAGTACTGGAGAAGACGGTTTGTTTTTGTCGATTTATGTATTCCACATTTTGCTTTCCCCACACCTTCTTCACTTGCCACTCGTCGGAGCTCAAGAGCCCTCCACCTTCCTTTTCCTTTAATTGTTTTTTACCCATAGGCCCTGCCCAACTCTCTCTATTTACCATTATGCCCTCCTTACTCACTTTTGTTCTAATCTAACCATAGCCAAAAATGTGTTTTGTTACACGTTGATTTGTACGTGGTATTTTCTAAATTAATAACCTTGTCTTTTGTAGACTAGTGAATGATACCTTAATAAGATCACGGAGTTTGAGATTTACTAGATTAGAGTTTAGACTAATAATTAAGTCCTTTAACAAGATCTCGAAATGTACGACCACCGTTGAAATATTACTTTCCGGTGAAGTATAGTCTTACAGAACTGTAAATGTGACTTTGTTGTCTCTTTTTTGTTGTTGTCGGCATAAAAATGACTCCTCGTCTGAACCGAATAATGTAATTTCTTCGTTATACTTATTAGGCACAACGACGTCAAATATTATTGTTTGTTTTACGTACTGAATGTATATGAAGTTATGAAAAATTCCAATGACTAGAATCTAAAATGTATGAATTTTTTTTTTATATATCCGTGTGCGGGTGTGGCCACTTAGAAAACGAAATTCCTAGTAGGAAAATCTGGCAGGGAGGCATATAAACATATTAGTAATATAGCTTGATAGTTCGTATAAATGTTACATTTAGTGGGTATTATTAGAGACGTTTGTGAAAGAATTATATGCATACAATATAGTACGAAAATAATGCGTGTTTTATGAAAGAGAGAAAAAAGGAGGATCAAAAAGTGAGATATGATGGCTTGAAATTGATTTGTCTTTGAATTGCAGTCAGTATAGTGATAATGGTTAAAGAGAAGGAATGGTAAATCATCTTTAGTCCCTTTTTTCGGTTGTAATTGATTTGTCTTTGAATTGCAGTTATGGTAATTATGCCTTTTTTTTTATTTAGTTCTATAAACATCACTAGTACTACTTTAGTTTAATTAGTTTTCCCATAATATATTGATCTAGCTGCACGTGGATTACCATGATTGTTTTTCGATACAGCTGGCGATCGAGACGGACGGTAAACTAATAATCGTGTATCGTATAATGGCAATATGCGGATTCTTTTTCTTTTCTTTTCCATAAGGATAATTTTAGTTTTTGAGACCAAACAAACAAAGAAGAAGAAGGTATCTATGTTCCAAATTTTACAACTATTGTTGACAAGAAACCCTAAGAAAAATATTACATATCATATTGCTTTAACTTTAAGGGTTTAAGATTTCAAAATGCAGAAAACTCAACTGTGAAATTACCACTCTAAACATTTTTAGCGATAGGCTTTGTGATTACTTTATCCTTAAGATTTGTGATTTATGATTACCCTGCCCGGTTATAATTAGATAAATATGCATATGTGGGACTTGGAGAGAATTTGGCACGTATATAATATGCATGTGTGGGAAGGGTGGACATTGGTGGTGGTGGTGTGGTGGTGGTCCTGGGTGGAGTATGACTGCTACGCCCTCTTTCTTTTTCGAGTGTGCCTATTTAATTACCATGCGTTTTACTCTATAAATCTCAACCCTTTTTTTTTTTCGTTCCAAAACTGTATTACAGATTATTTTAGCATGAAATAAGTAGGTTCCCTATAAAAGTTATAAATCTCATAGTTGCTCCATGAAAAATTACAATGATCAAAATATTGAGTATACAACCTTTGTGAATGTCCATTTTGATTGTTCTTTTTAATTACCAGCTCACACATTACTCGCAAAACTGCAAATTAGGTTCCGATGCTAACCAAGACTAACCAATATATATAGCAAAAACAATAATATGCAGTCTAATAGTTTGTATTAGTTTCAGTTTCATTGTTTAATCCACTTCAAATTTGAGAAGTGTATCATTCGGTATTAGATAGATATATATATATATATATATATAACTTTTGTTTTATAAAGTCGTTGCTTTATCAGTAATACACATACACTAAAGTGTAAAGTTTATGTCAACTACCCATTTGCACTATTGGTCATTGTTTAATTCTGTAGTGTGTTTCAAAAGAGCATTTAAATTAATATTTTAAACCTGTTAAAAGGTTTATGCTAACTATGATTTAATATATACTTATACACATAAGCTTTCTCTTAAAAGCAATAAACGTGTGAGAATAGTTCACTTGAACGTCTATGAAATGTTTTGGTATATAGAATGTGTTCTACGCAGCGATCGTGGAATTGTTGTAAGCAAAATGTCAACGAACTAAACACAACCTAATTTGTATATATCATACAAAACATGTCATAGTTGTAAAGATAAAGAAAGGGAACGACGTCTCTTGTTATTGGAGGTAATAAAAGAGAGAGACGAACTGTTGTTTTAGTTGTTTGGTGAATTGTCTCCATGTGATTTAGTTGGGAATAATTCGTGCATCTTACTTTATACTTACTACTATATAGTATTAAAATAAATGTCTTGAAATGTCCTTATCTGTTTCAATCTTAAATAGGACAGCTAAATTTCCCATACAGCTTAATAAATAATAAAAAAAGAAACAAATACAAAATCACCACCACTAAACATAAGTATATTTGTACAGTACGTAAAGAACTAATTGTTTTATGGGTTATAATTAGTGAAAATGGTCATCGAATGTCTAACACTTTGTCGGAATTTTATAAAGTAATGGTATTAACGAAAAATAGTACCTTTCATTCTCAAAATCTGCATTGGCTTCTGACCAGATAAAAATAAAATTATTAAACTATACGCATCGGTAATACGAATATAATTCCTTTATCAATACTCAGCCAGTCAGTTTCGGTTATACATTTTAACATTGTTCGTTTGTCAGAGGAACCCACTGTAAATAAGAAATGGGTTTACTCTAGCATCATTATAGTAATCACAAGTTAATGGTTTAGCAAGATGAAATGAAAAAGTCATGTACTAATCAACATACCTCTAAACATAGGCTCATGCAGTAGCTTTAAATTCCTTTAAATACCAGTCAGGCTAACTCGTGAATCAATGATTTTTTTTCTTTTTAATGGTTTTTATTTTATTCTTATGTAGTAAGTGCTAATGAATTCATAGTTTCCAAGGTTAAAGTTAAGATTTGTTACTAATGGACTGTTTGACTTAAAAAAAAAAAAAAAAAAAAAACTGACCATTAAACAAACGGGCTGCACTAATTGATTAGTAAGCCCATGATAGTTTTACAGGCCCAAATAAAAAAATACACTTTCCCAAGACAAAGTGTAGTAGCCTCGTCGTCTACCAGACCAAAATACACCTCACGTGAAGCAGACAACAAAAATAAAGGAAAATTAATAAGAACACGAGAAAAAATGGAAATTAAGATATTGTTTTGTGATTGAATGAAAAGTGTTTTGAAGTCAAAAGTTTCCCAAAATTTTGAATGTATTCACTCTCAATACGTTACTTGTACTACGTTAAGTAAATACATATAGAGGAAACAAAAAAACTCACAAGAAGGAGCCACAGTCGTAATTAATAAGGCGTGATAGAGGACTTTTTACTTACTCCGTATGTATCTTTTGTCCTTTTTATAACATTAAATTTAATCATGCTATCTAGACGTTTATGGACGCTGCAGTCGTCATCGTCGTATTCGGAAGCGTTTTCGAGTCTTACTTGCCGGGTTACGAAGTCTTCTGGTTTCGAGAGATTGGCTCTCATTATGATAGGAGGTAGTTGATGTTATCGTCGGATTGGCCGTGTGCATCCTCGGTAAATCTCGTCTACAAGTGATTCAAAAGAAGAGATCTTCTTGTTTCTTGAGACTATTGTGTTATGTAAAGGTTAAAGCCTAAATGTCCTATCTTAGTTAAGGATTCGTCCTCTTTCTTAGTTTATTCCTTCTGCTTTGTAATTTGTCTGGTTTTCTTTTATGTTTCCGGGGATTTCTATTTGTCCGCCGGTTTTGTTTCTCTTGTTTGAGCTTTAGACTCCGGGGAAATTTTCGTCTTCCGCCGGCTTAAATTGTATTTCACCATGTATTTCTCTTAGTTGTATCAATAATATCAGTTGAAAAAAAAAAAAAAAAAAAAAAACCTTACCCCCAGCAATAGCATTGTACACGCACTTAATAATATCTCCATTAATTGTAAAAATCCTAAGCTACCCCTATCATCCAAAAAGCGTTACAACCACAAGGATAAGGATAAAAATGTCATTACAACAAAGTAAAGTTATATAAAAAAAAGAAAAAGAAGAGGGAGGGGTGGGTCGAATCTAATAGTTATATCTGAAAGCGCAATCTCCGCCGTTAAATTTGGTGGAGCTAGTGAAGAAAAAAAGGGTCCCACGACTGCGATAATCAAGGCTTAACCACTAGTAACGTACCACGTCTTCAGTTTTTTTCACTTTGGTAATTGTACTCTTTCTTTCTTATTAGCACTGTGTGATATTGTTTTGGCGGGCGTCTTTTAATCAATTCAAAATCATTCCCCAAATCATATTAAATATCAAAACCCTAGCGCCTCTTTTTTTTTTTTTTTTTTCCATCTCTCTCTCTCTCTCTCGCTTCTCTTTCATTCTCAAATCGCTTCCCTCGCTTATCGCCATTTCCTTCCTCCATTTTCGCTGTCTCGATTTCGAGCTTCCTCTCTCTCCGCTCCTCCAATTCCTTCATCCCGAAGCTGATTCTGAATGTTTATTGAAGTAGAAGAAGGTCTCTCTCTCTCTCTCTCACTGTTAATTTAGGTATTTCCTTTTCCGATTTCTAGATTCGTTTCAACTTTGCTAGATTTGTTTCTCTTTTATCAATTGAATTATTTGGCTTATGTTTTAATTTTTCAATTCGACATTGATATCTGGTGAATCTCGACTACTTTTCGATATATCTGATTGAATCATTAACCGATTAGTTCAACTCTGGATTGATGATTTTTGTATTTTCTTCCACTAGTTGTGTAGGTACTTAATCTTTTTGGCGAGTGTTGTTGTAGCTGTAACTGTTTTACATATGGGGAAGGTATCTCCGAAGGACTTGGATTCGAAAACCTCTGTGAGGAAAAAGAAATTGAAAGGCTCAAGTAACAAATATTTAAAGCCAGGGGCTCTGGTTCAGCTTTGCTACAGTAAAGCATCTGCTGCTAAGTCATGTAATGATTTGGGGAAAAAACGTGTACCTGTATTTGATGCTAAGCATGCAAGGAACAACAATAAACTGGCTGTGGAACATTTTGATTCCCCCAAAAGCCCTCTGTTTTTGTCCCCTGTCAACGTTGTTAAGCGGAGTTCTCTCGTGAGGCCGATGAAGTTTGATGATCTGCAGGTGGAGAGTAATACTTGTAAGAAAAGCCCTCTTATGCTATCTCCGATGGGTATTGTTATGCACAACACTTTGCTGACTACACCAAAAACCCCTCAAGCTGATCCTTGCCATTCTGAATCTCAACTTGAATCTCTTCCCATGGATTTACTGGTAATTCTTTTTTCCCTTTTATCTTCACTTCACTGTTTCTGTTTGGTAGTCATCTGAATGTATAATAAAGTTAGTTCTTACGATGTTCACACTCTCTTGTATCTCCCAGGTTAAGATAGTTTGTCATCTGCACCATGACCAGCTGAAGGCAGTTTTCCATGTTTCTCAAAGAATAAGAAAGGCTGTATGTTCTTTTCCCTGTTTATTTGTTTAGTTTGCATCCACAAAAGCTTTATCTTCTTCTTTTTTTCTTAACTATTTAACTAGTTGGGGCATTAATCTGTTTTGATTTTATTTTCTATTGAAACAGACCATGCTAGCAAGACAATACCATTTCAATTATACAACACCAGACCGCTCAAGACAGGAAATGTTGAGTGTCCTGACCCCAATGCCAATAAATCGTTGGCCATTTCGTAGGTACATGTTTTGCTTTGATTTTCAACATTTCGAAAAGAGCATCAAACAACTTGTTTGGCGCTTAACAAAACCTTCATTGATTTAAAACCAGCAAAGGAGATTGGAACCCAACGATGGCGTCAAGCCCACATACCCCAAAAGCACCAAAACATGCTCCTCGACCACCCTTGAGAACCCAACTCACAGAGATGAAGCAAATCACTGCTGTTCTTTTCCAAGATCAGACAACATTCCCATCAAGATGCATCGTTCCTTCTGTTCTCCAAAGGCCGAGTTTGTTCAAACCAATGGCTCCAAAGCACCCTCGAGTGCTCTTTTATGAAGATGAATTATGTCAAGCTGTTGCTCAAAACAACCTTACCTGATTACACTTTCTTGCTGCAATCAGACCCATCACATGGCTTTCCTCTCTCTGTGCATATTAGGTTTGTCTTCATTGCATAATTGATCATTGCTCTTGATGATCATCACCACCTATAGTAAGAAGCATGCAAGTTTTGTAGCAGTGCTAGTTCTGGGTTTTAGGTTTACATGGCAATCTCGTAGTATCATTTAAGTTTGTAGTCTCTTGAGTTTGTCATAATAAGCATGTGTCTTTGGTTTGGTCAGTCGAGTCTTGTGTATAATCTGGAACAGTGGCTTTGCATATTATAAATTTATTGCTTTTGCTTGCTTACTTCTCTCGCTCTCAAGTTTCACCAAGAATGGACCGTACCAAAACAGAAGTTGGTAAAACCTCGAGTTCAATAAAATCGAATGAACTGAAATGTGATTTTCTAACTAATGTAGTAACCTGGCAATCTGGTATCACAGTATCAGCTACTTGATGAAGCAGATGTAAAGGCCGATAATATATTTTGGGCCCATGGACTTATGGGCTTGAAGCTATTGCCAAACCAGAGCGTGTAATATAAAAGAGAATAAAAAAAGTCTAATACGACGCGTGTTAACTTACTATCGCTGTTGCCAAACAAGACTTTTGTCCCTTGTAAGGTCAATCCTCTTTATTTGGCTATAAATAAAGGTTATGTCTTCATAACAATCACTTTTTTCTTTTTTTCATCGGAGAGCTTCGAAGGGTTAGAGAGATCTCGCGGCTCCTTCGATCTTCTCCGCTTCAACTATACCTCCGATCCTCGGCTTATTATATCTACTGTAACTTGGTAGATTTTGATTTTGGCGCGTTATTAGAAACCCTTAACATCTGTAAACCCACTTGCTGGTCTCTCGTGATCGATCTAGGGTTTCGCGAGATCTGAGATTTCATCTTTTCCGATTCACCTCCGCAATCCAGTTTTTTGTTTGGTTGCTTGGATTTGTGTGTAATCGTGCGATAAGATGTCTCGGTGTTTCCCGTTCCCACCACCTGGTTATGTACTTAACGGAATCCGCGATGAGGCTATGATCGTATCGATCAAGGTTTGTTTGAGCATTTAAATCTCTCGGTTTTGGTTTCGGGTTACGTGAGATTTCGAATGCTCAGCTTCCTTGTGTTTCCCCAGTTTTTTTCTGGTTACTTGATGTTCTATATAGGGAGGGGTTTGTTAAATTGATGCAAATTTGTCGGTTTGAAAGATGGAGATAGAGAGAGTCTGAGATTATTTCAATTGAAAAAAGATGATCTTAAGTTGCATTTAAAAGTCAAAAGCACGGATACGAATCAATGTCCCCATTTTAATCGGTTGGTTTAAGGTGACAATTTTAATCAAAACATACGAGTCTAGTACTTTGTCTACTACTCTTAACCAAAATGTGTACGATTCCCTTTTATAAATGTGCAAAAACTACTTGTGGTTACGCAAATTTGGACTTGAAGGGTTGAGGGCTTGTTTTCTGATTTTGTTCAAATGGGATTTGGCAAGTTCTGTGAACTGATCGATGTTCCATTGCTTTTGTAATATCCAGGGGAAAGAAGAGAAAGAACAAAGGAGGAAGGAGAAGAAAAGAGATAAGAAGGATAAAAAGGATAGGAAGGAGAATAAGGATAAAAAGGATAGTAAGGAGAGGAAGGAGAAGAAGGACAAAAAGAGGAAGGAGAGAGATGGAAAGGAAGGTGGAAGCGAAAAGCACAGTCATAAGAGACGGCGTAAAGAAGAAGGTGCCAAAGTTGATCTTTCACGTAAACTAAAAGAAAGCGAAATCAGTTGTTTGGAGAAGAGCAGCCTTACTGTAGAACGTGAGCTGCTTCAGTCGACGTCCCAAAACTCTTGTGATAGCACTCTTAACAGCAATGAGATACTACCTAAGCAGCCTCTCGATGGTAGACATAACAATGACTCTGGTGAGTTTGTTTGTGTTTCTTCCTTCCCCGGGGAAGGATCTAGTATTCTTGTTGGGTCTAATTTCCTTTTCAGGCCATTGATGACATTCTTTCTTCAAATTGTTGATATGAATTTGAAGAAAGCATCATTCGGATCCGATTGCCTAGCAGAAGGCAGAAAGATCCCGAGGTGATGACGACCTTTAAGGATCAAGAAACACCATGTCCTTCCCGGGGAATAAAGTTAGATTCATCCCAGCTTGATACTAGAGAGCCAGTTAATCAACATCCTTGTTCCACTTCTGCACCAGAACATGCTTCAAAGCCACAAGAAGAGAAAAGGAAAGATCCCGTTTTTAAAGGGAAATACCACGGTAAAGAGAAGAGGATAACCTCAGCCCCTAATCCAGAAACTTATCAACCTACTAGAAGCCGATGCAGTTGTCCTCCATCAGTGGTGTTGCAATTCTTGAACGTAGTTGAGAATTGGGTCCCTAACACAAACGAACTCAGAGTAGACCTCATCAACTCTGAAGAAGATGAAGAATGTTGGTGGTCCATGAAGAAGCCACGTAGCCCCAAAGAAAGATGCAAACAACTTAACAGAAATAATGAGATCAAGCAAGTAGGCAATACAATGGGGTGGCCATGTGCTCGCCTTTTACCAGAAGCTGATATCTATGCCCTACCTTACACAGTCCCGTTCTGATAACATCAACGAGCAAGAAGTTTTTAACAAGGAATCTGGTCGAGACATCTATGTACCGGACCAGGCATTTTTTTGGTTTAGCCTTAAAAGTTGTATAAGAACACACTGTTTGTTATTCATTGCGGTTGGTAATCATATAGTAATATCTGTATTGCGGCTCTATCTCTTGCTCTTTCAACAATATAATGAGAAATTGAGTAGATCTTTCAACAATAGAATGAGAAATTGAGATTCTACTCAAGATGGAAATTTCATGTGGGGTGGATAATCAACATCATTACAATTGATAAAAACATTTGCAAATGACTAAACATTAGCCCTCTCGGGTCTCGGCTATCAGTTAAAATAGAAGTTAAATTAACCCCACAATCCCACAATTCGTTTGTCAAGGAACTAAGATATCACAAATGAATACGGAAAACAACAACAAAAATGAAAAAAGCAATACTTCTTTAAAACCACCCTGTCATCGACATCTCAAGGAGCTTCTTGACTTCCATGAGATCTACTACAAAATGGAGCAGGCCTTTTGTGCTTTGTTCTTCTTTTTCTTCTGCTTTGGAGGTTGAAGGACCACTCTGATCGCTGCATCGAACACGCCCTTTACGTTCTGCAGTTATAAGTCACATTGTTTTCATCAAAAAGATGAATCCAACATTGAAAAATCTATTCATGAGGTGGCTTAATTTCTTTTACCTCTTGTGATTTTGAACTGCACTCGATATAGGCAGGAGCTCCAATTAGCTTCTTCAGCTCCTCTCCCTTTTGATGCAGAGGGGGCAAATGATTAACGGGTTTTGGTGAAACTGATATAAAAGCAGAGAGAAAATAGAAGTATTCTTACTTGAGCAGTGGTAATCGGGACAGCACCAGGATGGTCGATAAAGAACTGCTTGTCATCCCGAAGATCTGACACGAACCAAGGTTATATAATGAAAAAGGACAGGATCATAGATTCAAATGCCGCCAACGATCATGGGTATAATCAAACATTTCACTGAAGATCTTACACATGCCTTTCATAAAGGTTGACACTTGCTATTCACTAGTTAATTCATTAGAGGATGCTTAAAGGGGTGTACGATTGCCTCTTGAAATAAAGGTAACTAAATTTTTTTAAAGATCATCACAAGAAGGTTATTATAGCATATGGTTACTAATCACAAGAAGTGCTGATTCATCATATGTCCCCTAATGTAATCATATATATTAGAGCAGCTTAATAAAAGTGAAAATGTGAAGTTATGTCCTCTAATGGCATCATATATATCAAAGCAGCTTAATAAAAGTGATTCTTTATGCAAGTAGGCAAAGGGAATCAGACATAATGTGTATATAAACCCATCAGAGGAAATGCCGGGGGGCGCTTACCTAGTTTGGTTCCAACGAGGACGATTGGGACACCAGGAGCATAGTGCTTCAACTCTGGGATCCACTGTAAAAGAAAATTGATGAAGCAGCAAAATTATAAACACCAAAGAAAAAAGATTTCAATCAAACTCTCTCCCTCTCTCTCTTGATCCAAATAAGAAAACTCTCACCTTCTTGGAAACGTTCTCATAACTAGCCTTACTAATGAGAGAGAAGGCAAGAATGAAAACATCAGCACCGCGGTAACTCAAAGGTCTTAATCTGTTATAGTCCTCCTGCCCTGTATCAAACAAGAACATAATTAAAGACGCTGCTTTTTATCATAAAACGAAAAAAGCATCTCTCTCCCAAAGGAGGGATGATGATGAGTTTGGGTAGCAAACCTGCAGTATCCCACAATCCAAGATTCACCGTGGCACCATTAACAACCACATTTGCGCTGAAGTTATCGAAAACAGTCGGAACGTAATCCTGTTCACAACAATGTGGATATGTATGAATCAAGAAAACACACATAAATCAAAATTGAAAGGCATAATAATAATAAGAGATAATAAACAAAGTACCGTGGGGAAGGTGTTGCTGGTATAAGAAATCAGCAAACAGGTTTTACCAACAGCGCCATCACCAACGGTGACGCACTTTATGAACCTTGAAGCGCTCATTGACTCCACCTTTTCTTCTTCTTCTTCTTCTTCTTCACAATCTTTTTAACACCACCCAGACCGGAGCTTCAAATGTTGTGATGATGATGACACACAATTACAAAAAGTAAAAATGGAAAATTTTCAAAAAAAAATATATAGATAAAAAAAACGCGAAATCGAACCTCAGATCTAATAATACACCTGAGGAACCCAGAAAAACCCACAATGTGAAGCTAATAAATCCTCCAACATTACCTTATCAATTAACCATCCCAAGAAAAACCTAGAAATTGTGGAAACAAACCCTAAAATGTGATCAAAGGAAGATGATGAATAAACAAAAAAAGGAACGTGAGGACGATGAATTGGGGATGCAAAGAGGAGAAGACTAGAGAGAGAGAGAGAGAGAGAGAGAGAAAGAGGAAGTAAGGGAAGAGAGAAGAAGAAAAGTGATGGCCGGAAATAATTGCCATTGAAGCGTTCGCTTAATCTCCATCCATTAAACCTCCCGATTGTTTTGCATTCTTTTTTTACCCTTTTGTTTTTTGTTTTTACTTCTTCTGTTTCTTTTGTTAAACTTTATTTACCTTTTTCTATTTTTTTTTGTTCTGTTTGATTATTATTGTAGCAAATTTCCATTTCCGTTTTATTAAAATTTGTTAATTATCCTTGTTTAAAGATTTCGGACCTGTTTTTTTTATATGTTTTTGTTTTGTTTACATGGGTTACATTACTAGTGTATATTATTAATGTGAAACCTTCACAACGGTCGGATCTCAAGGAGCATCACAGCCATCTCATGCATTAATCAGAATGTTTTGTCATATCTCACAATTAAAAAAAAAAAAAACATGTCTAACACTTATCTTGATTTTGTTTGTTAATAGTATTAGTACTACTTAACCATAACGAAATCATTTAAATCACATTTAATCTCCAAAGAACCAAGAGCAGTAGTTTAGTAGTACGTAGAATCGTATTCCGATTGCTCCCAGCTTCCAAGGATGGTATTTTATAAAAACTGATTGCTACATTCATGAAAGACTGAATATATGCCAAGATTAGCAAAAGGGTTCTCCCAAAACTATTAACTTTAATACTTTGCTTTCTCCAGATGACAAAACATACTTCTCCCCTAAACTCTTCTTCATCTTATTTATATTTCCATCCCTCTGAGTCATTCTTCAATCTTATTCATCGATTTTTTTGAGTTATTTCTGCTTGCTCTTTTCAAAAGTCTGACAATGGCGGTGAACGTTGATTCAGATTACCTCAAAGAAATAGAAAAGGCTCGTAGAGACCTTCGAGCTCTCATCTCTTCCAGAAACTGTGCTCCCATTATGCTCCGTCTTGCGTAAGCTCTTTCTTTCTGTACCATTCTCCGTTTCTCATTTTTTGTCGAGATGTTTCTAACTGCATATTCTTGTATCCATATATAGATGGCATGATGCAGGAACCTATGATGCCAAAAAGAAAACCGGAGGTGCCAATGGATCAATCAGGTTCAAGGAAGAGCTAAACCGTCCACACAACAAAGGTTTGGAGAAAGCAGTCGCCTTCTGCGGTGAGTTTATGCTAAAACCTTTAATCCATCACTACTCCACTCTTAAGGACCTGACAATAAAACGGTAGCTGATTCCTTTGATTTTTGTTGATTTCAGAGGAAGTCAAGGCTAAGCATCCACGAGTCACTTACGCAGACCTTTATCAGGTAAACATTGCCATATAGCATCTCTAAGCCATTAAACCCATAAAAACTTCCTGCCCCCTTGATGGTTAGCTTGACAGATTATTTGATTTCATTTCAGCTCGCTGGAGTTGTTGCAGTGGAGGTTACTGGTGGCCCTGCAATCCCATTTACTCCAGGCCGTAAGGTAGTTACACTTACTGCTAAAGGGTATGCGCTAAATCATAATTGCCAAGTGAGTTTACTGATTTTGAGACATATGATATCAGGATGCTGATTCCCCAGACGACGGGGAGCTTCCAAATCCAAACGAAGGTTACCCTCGCAGCTTGTAGGTCTTGCAACGGGATTCTATTTTACAAACTGACTTTTGGATTATTGCAGATGCCTCACATTTAAGAAATCTCTTCTCTCGTATGGGGCTATCGGATAGAGACATCGTTGCTCTCTCTGGAGGCCACACTTTGGTTTTAATTGCTAACTCTCCTTCAATATATCCGCTACTAAAAATACTCCAATGAACCAACTTGGTTGCTACTTTTGTATATAGGGCCGTGCACATAAGGAGAGATCCGATTTTGAAGGTCCTTGGACACAAGAACCTCTCAAGTTTGATAATTCATATTTCGTGTAAGCCAATAACAAAATCACACAGAGTTAAAGTAAGAGAGAGTAAAAGTTCTGAAACTTACGCTTGTCTGCTGATTGGTTTTTCAGAGAACTTCAAAAAGGAGAGACTCCAGGGTTGCTACAACTGAAAACCGACAGGGCTCTACTTAATGATCCCAAGTTCCACGCTTTTGTTAAGCTGTATGCAAAGGTAATTAGATTTTCCTACGATTATAAGAAACTTTTAGTTTGGATGATTCGCTGGTGTTATCAACATTAAAAAAAGTATTATGATGTGTAGGACGAGGATATGTTCTTCAAAGCATATGCAATTTCTCACAAGAAACTCTCAGAACTAGGATTTAATCCGCCAAGAAGAATTTCTTCAGCAGTGACACAGCAGACGCTTGGAATCGCTGTTGCTGCAGCTGTGGTGATCTTTACCATATGCTACGAAGCAAGCAGAAGAGGCAAGTGAGGAGGTTTCACAGATGCAACAGAAAAACTTACAAATATTGATTGATTGTAATGCAATAAAACAGAATGATTCATGCAATGTTACCTCCATTCTCTTTTTTAAGGTTCAGTGCTTTGGTCTTGCCCAAACAACGTTCATACAGCCTTCTGACATTAGTATTTCTCCAATAAACAGCATTTTACATAATAGTATGTGAACTCCCTCTCACATGGCACCTCTCACAAACAGTGACCACTTTTACCAAATCAAAGAAACAAAGTTTTAAACGAGCTATCTGAATGAGAAGATAAAGTTTCTATAGGAAGAAAGAACCAGGATTATCAATAGCTAATTAAGTTACAATAACCCTTCCAACTTTCGAAAACTCATAGTTTCCACAACAAAAAATCTGACTCAAGAAACCATGTTCTGTCCTCAGAGATAAGATAGAAATACACCATATAATACTATATTCACATGATGGGGGATATCGAGAGAGATTATAAAACCAGAATATTATTTTGAAGTAGTATCATAGCATTTCTTTTTAAGAACACAACTGCGAATACAGCACTTCATTAACACTACCATGTTCACAATCAAAAGTTAAAACTTGATAAGTAAGGTTCCTCAGCGACAGATACAGAGATACTTAAGCCTGTAATCCACAAGCATCTATCTATAATGTGAGACCATGACGACTGAACAAAAACTAAAATCAAAGTGCCCTGAAACTATCCGTTTTATCTAGCCTGGCAGTACCAGAGCTTGATGATTCGCCAACTGGATCAGGAGAAGTTGCTGCTCTCGAAGATTCTCTTCTTTTCAGAGAAGTCGGCAATCCTGAGATCTCCTATAAAAAGTTAGCAAGAGTCATCAATCTTAAAGTGTTCGTCAGACTCAAATCATTAGAAAAAAAACTAAACGGGTGAAACAATTCAGTAACTACCTTCATCAAATGCAACCTCATGTCAGTAGGGCGAGTCTGGTTTCCGATGCAGGCCATTGCAAACTTGGAATAACTAAACAATACATCAGCAGCAGCTTGCTTCTTCTCATCAACCTATAACATATCAATCAGCTCAACTTTTCAGTAGTAATTAAACAAGAAAACCCAAAAGTCAAGAGCTTAGGTTAAGCATCATAAGTAAATAACAATGAAGCAACAAAGTCTCATAATTCCGATTCCAGAATAGACGCCAAAGCTCCGATTTTTGAAAATCGTTTTATTACATTAACACTGAAAGACTCAACTTTGGAAGCAGATTTTATGAGGAAAAGCGAATCCAATTTGATGCCTAACGATCTGAAATCGATAATACCCAAGAAACACACAGAAAGAATCAGATAAAGCCGAAGACTTAGACATCAGAAGTCGCACCTCGTAATCCTCTTTCATGGCGAATAAGCGGATTCTTCTGTTTGGCGTTCCTGCTCTCTGGTCTTGTGTCCAAGTATCGAAGCCAGCTACAACAAAGTAACCTACTTTGCTAATTTTGATCAGAGCTTCGATTCGAAATTGCAAAGCTCGTAGGTTCCAAATCTGTTACATATATGGGGCGATTCGGGGGTCCTATTAGTTTCCTTCTAACTTGGGTTGCTGGGAAAAAGAATTAAACACGTTACTGTTTTGCTTACGATTAAACGACATGTAGTTTATTATGGGTGCTTAAAAACGGCAAAGCATGTGATAGCATAATTCAGTACATCTGTAGTTTGTCGTATCATGTTTTCAATCACAGGTTTTAAATTTTTGGTTTCAGGATTGGCTTTTTCTGTTAAACCCTAACAATCAGTATGCAAACGGACGCATTATTGGAAAGGTTTGTTCCTTTATGTTAGGTTTAGCATATATTTTGTTTTAAGGTTCATTTCGCGAAGGTTTCACTGGAAGAACTAAAACAATCGAATCATCAAAAGAGTCACAACATAGACAAAACGATGAAACCTTTTGATTTTGCGAACTCTATTTTGAGGTTACCAATCAAAGAATAATATCTAAAATTATATGTATGGTTGTATGATTCTCATGATTCTAAGAGAATCGAAACACACTAAGTAGTTTGCACTAGCAACAACACAACATTACCCTAATCTTTTTTAAATCTATAGTCTGTCCAATGCTTTATGTACCAATGCAATATTAAGACTGATGTACAAACAACACACCATCCATTATCCTACTTAGAACTCTTTGTCCCTATAATTTTTCCTTTAACTGCCGTTTTAAGTGCGGTTTTAGCCAGTGCTGATGGCTTCATGCCACCCTTGGGATTAAGAGCTTGTCTGATCTTGAAAACGCTCCACGCAGTTCCAATAGCATGCCCTGCTGCGCTAAGCCCTTCATTTGTCGCTTGTGCTGTCTTTGCTCCATACCTATAAATTGACAACATCGAAACATCACCAACCATCCGAACAATATAACATTGTAAAACCCATTGTTGTTTTATCATGAACAGTTGAACGCATTCTGTTTTGAAATTTCTTTTAGCAGGTACTTACTTGTGGTCGACAATTTCCGTAGTGACAGTGGAAGATGTTTTCATAACGTTCCTTCCAGCTACTTCAACAGCATCACAAACCTTGCCTGTTGTAATTAAAAAGATAAAACAGATTTTAGTTTCAATAATCACAAAACAAACAAATAAAAGATGGATGGATACAAGACATAGATTAGTCAACTTACTGAAGCCATCAAGTGTTGCAAGAACCATTTCTCCAGGAAGAAGACCAAAGATTTTCTTCCCAGCTTTGCTGTTAATCACAGAACTCGAGAAGAATCCAGAAACTTTGACAACACCAGAGAGCACACCATTTGCCACTTTATCTGTCATTTTTGTCATCTTCCTCACTCTGTTACATATATAAGTCAGTAGCCTCAAAACAAAGGAAAACACGAACACAACATCCCAAGACTTTGACATGTTGAGTTGATAACACAATCTTGAAAGATACAAAAAAAAAATCAAAAAATATTGTACCTTTTGAGAAGTTTCAAAGTTGAAGGACTAACTTCTCTCTCTTTCTCTGCTTTCGACAACTTCCTCTTCATAAAATCATTTCCCCACATGAGCCGATCCATTGTGACATCTCCACACCATAGTATCCCTTTTATCAGTTGACCAGAACCAGCAGCGATCATTTTCGCTGCAACTCCACTGTAATCTTCCACATTCGGAGCCAGAGTCGTCCAATAAGCCGTGCATTGCTTCTGTACCATCTTTTTCCTCTTTCCCTTCAGCTCCTCCGGCGACGTCTCCTTCGCCGCCGTCAAATCCAACACGTTCTCTTCCTTCTTCTTCTCCTCCGCCGTGAAACTGCTGCAATCCGCTAAGACCTTGTCTAGCTGCTCCAGCAATGGCTCTTGACCTTTGGAAGCGATTGTTAATCCGTAGTTCAGCATATCGTCCTCTGCTTCGTCGGTTGAATGATCCGATGACCCGGTTTCTTTGACGGGTCGGAGCGAGAAGAAGTAATGAGACTCGTCGACTTTAACGGCGGGTTCGTCTTTAGTCAACGGCCATTGGATCTCATCACCGACGCGAGCCAAAACAGCGACGGTGATATCTCCCTGAACAAGACGGACGATCTCGAGATCGCCGCAAGCGAGCTCTACGCTGTAGGATTTGTCGATGAGGTGGATAATGGCGCCGTGGATTTTGAGAAGCACTTCCTCCGTCGCGAGAGGAGGAGCTGAAGCAGAATCGGATGCGGTGGGATCCGGAAAGATATTGTTGACAAGATCATTCACATGGACTGAAGGATAGAGATTGTTATTAGTACAAGAGGAAGAAGAAGAGTCGGGGAGAGAAGCTTTGGTGGTTGAAGAGTCGACGGTTGGGTAAAGCTTTGGAGCTGCTGCAGAGCATTCCATTGTCGCTGGAGATTAAGGAGGAAGAAGACGGAGGGGTGAATGGAGAAGAAGTGTTGGTTATTTATATGAACCTTAAAAAGATTTGGGGCTAAAATAGAAAAAGTGAAAAAAGATTAGTGATGGCAGAAAGCGAATCTGTTTTGATTAACTATTAAGTTAGCTTGCTGTCGGAAAGAGGAAGACGTGGGAGTTGCGTGTTTATATGTCTTAACCGGGCCGCTCTAAAAATTAACTATTCTAGGGGGATTGGATTTTCCCGCGCTTATCCAATAATTTATTTACTTTTTATCCAAAATTTTTTTTATGATGAATGTGTATATTTGTTTATTGTTTTAACTCTTTCTTTGTGTCATATTAAAAAAAAAAATCAAGTAATCAAGATGAATAATTGTCTATGATAATGTCATATTAAAAGAGGAAATATTTATGTCAATCATGAAAGAAAAAAAGATAAATGTAACAAAAGAAGGTCAAATGATTATTATAAATGTATCATCAGTACATCATCTCTTATCACTCTGTAAATCATATTTAAAAAAATTAAATTAATAAAGTTCAAAGTAATTAAACTGTATAATTAACTACAAGGAAAAAAATCTATACAGAGTAAATTAGATTTTTCCTAACAGATGTCTATTCTCTTGACAAAATGTGGTTTTGACTTTCGAGTTAAGGTTGTGTTATCATCTTTGTGCCACGTTAAAATATTAATTTACAATTTAAGTTCTCAATTTAATTATAATCAACAATCACGAAAATCTATTAATGTTAACACTGTACCTTGCTGTCGACATTGTTTTAACTTTTAACTGGACTTCGTTGACCTCTAATAAGAACGGAAAAAAGTTACTGTGTTAATTTATTTGTTGCCAAAAAAGAAAAGTAAGGTTCGCCGGAAGAGAAGAGCAAAGAGCCAGGCTCAGGCTGCTACACAAATTCCGATCCCGGCGGAGAAAGCTTTAACGACTCTTCAATGGATCCGACTTCTTCTTCTTCTCTTAGATGGAACATTCTTCGTCAAGCGCTTCTCCGCAGATCTGGTTTGAAATTCCTCTTCTGTCTCCTTCTTCCAGCATCTCCATCTGTCGATTATCACGAGTTCATAAAGCTAATGGATCATCTCTCCCAATTTCTCTTCAGATTCTCAATCTCAAGCTGAGATAAAGCGGATTTCAAGGAAAGCTACTCAAGGGTTCAACTTGATTCCGTGTCAAGTGGTGGATTCTTCTCCGCAATCAGATCATTCTCGGGAGGCATGCGTTTGCTACACTCTTCCCATCACTGCTTCTCCAAAACTCTATCTGACGTTAGGATTTGAATCTGTTAAATGAAACAATGTTACGGCTTCTTCTTTAGATTCGCCACACTCCTAAGAGCTTTTGTTTGTTTGCCTCTGTAAATATTTGCAGACAAAGAGTGGATAATTGCAGTGATCTCAATGACTTTGAGATATCTAATCGATACAACATTGATAATACTGGACTTGTCTGTAAGTTTCTCAGTCTCATTGTTGAATCTCTCTACCTGTCTCTTGTCTTTTGAAGACGACCCATCTCTGTGATGTGATTAAGTTTCCATTTTTATCCTAGTCTGATTACAAACTTATGGGTATATTGTTGCTGCCCTTCTCTGTGTACTTGGCTTGTATGCATGGTATGTCGTATTCTTACACGATTTGGCATTATCCATGCTTTAAAGTGTTAAGAATCAAACACATTGACTTACTTGGGTGTCTCTAGTTATTTAGAATGTGAATCTATGTATTCATAACTTATGCTACTGTCAATCCTTCCAGGTCAGTGGCCCTCAGAAGAAGTTCTAGCATTCTTTTGCCAGTCTCAGCCAGATCGTTTCAGGTTCTGTGTTCAGTTTTATGACTGACTTTTGCATCTGTGTTCTTTAAACTTTTATTTACTTACATTTTACTTGGCTTATTGGGACGTTGCAGAGGTAAAAGAGTTATAGAGCTTGGCTCGGGGTATGGGTTAGCCAGTTTAGTTATTGCAGCTGCCACCGAGGCTACAGAAGTGGTTATCTCAGATGGAAATCCCCAAGTAGTTAATTGTATCCTACTTGTTCTGTTGATGTGCGTATAGTATACTGATTTATTAGAGTTGTCTTCGCTCGCTCCCTTCAGATATGGAGACCCGGAACTCTATATTTTTTTTGGGATTCATTGATGTACTTAACATCCAGATATTATGCGTAACATAGAATCCAACTCCATGGCATTTCGTGGCACAAGTGTGAGAGCCATGGAGTTGCACTGGAACCAGCATGAACTTTCAGAGTTAAACAACACTTTTGACATCATTGTTGCAAGCGACTGGTACCTTACTCACTTTTTCTTGCTCTTGATCTTTCGCGTTGTCAATATGTTTTTCTCATCCCTTCCCTACACATCCTTTGTGATTCAACAGTACGTTTTTCAAGGAATTTCATAAGCATCTTGCAAGAGCTATCAAGATGTTGCTTAAAGCCAAAGAACCCTCCGAAGCATTATTTTTCAGTCCTAAGAGAGGTGACTCCTTAGACAAGTTCTTGATGGAGATTAAAGACATTGGCTTACATTATGTCTTAACTGAAAACTACGATGTACAAGTTTGGAAGCGCCATGAGACGCTTGTTAAAGGAGACGAAGCTTGGCCTAACTATGACAAGAACCATTGCTACCCTTTACTTATTCAAATTACGAATCATATGTAGTCAAGAGTGTCATATTGCGACTATGGATGGCGAATAAACGCAGGTACACCCAATCTCTCAAGCTTTGTTTTCACGTATTCTGTTTTATAGATATAATATGACGTGAGTGGACTTGAAAGTTGAAACTTTTTGACTCTATGTAAGATGTTCTTATCTTCCTTTTTAGTATAGAGAGGTCCACACCACACATACACACGAGTTAGGCAAAGCCGTTCATCTAATGGGAATATATAGAACAATATAAATATTAAAAGTTATAAGATTCTAGATCAAGTGTACTGCCATTGATGAACTACATCAAACTTTTCTTTATTCTAATTCGGGCTTTTTGAATATAATTTCTAGTTGTCATTTCTGGTTCTGTTAGTGCTGAAAATAAACCAGAGATGACAAAGGAATCATTTGAATTCTGTGTGTGTGGGGGGTCTTAATGTGGTCCTCAGTATGATTGAAGCCATTATGAAACTTTTTCTAGAAAGCATATATATTTCTTCGTGCACATTGATTTCAGAACTTTTTTTCTTGAACTATGCATCTCATGAGTATGATACAAAGCTGACGAATCTAAATATTTGAACTTTTATTTGATAATTTTTCCGCAGTAGTCAAAGCTACAAGCTGTTCAACAAAGAAACAAGAGAAGTGGTATTTCTAGTCGAATCTCCAATGACCATACCTGCGTGATAAGGATTTGCTAATGATGGTTCTTCTATCGGTTGTTTCATCTCTGTACTGAACTCAGTTTCAGAACCAGATACATATCCTGTCTCTTCAGGAGGTGGTTCTCTTTAAGACTTGAAACTTTTTCACACAGTACAAATACATTATTCAGAGCTTTCATCATATATGGTAAACTCCATCTCTTTAACTGTTTTGACTAATTTATTTCTCCTCACCTGGACAAGTTGGGATAGAAAGTGACGGTAATCAGCATCACAACAAGTGAAAGTATTTTCCCTTAACTGTACGATGTATGACTAGCTGATGCTGATATAAAGACTTGTGAGTAGATCAAGGGCTTGCAGATACTATGGTGCTACTAGAACCGTTAAAATAGCAGCCGATATGGCCCCAAAAGCAAGCGAACCAACCTGCAGGTGCTCAAAAAGTGCGATAGGTATATTTGGAGAGAGCCCTAACCCGGAGGTATCGAGTCTGGGACTACTGGCACGTGATAAAATCCCAGTCCACACTGTGAAATCGCATATGTTGAACGTATTACATATTTCAACACTTGTAATTATCCTAATATACTGTCAAGAGTATTACATACTTTCTTTTTGCTAAATATGTAAATATTTAGAATGAAGTTAAAGGTTTTACGTAATACCTAAGAAAAGTAGCCAAGGCAAAATAAAATAAAACAAGGCTACAATAAGATAAGAGAGCAAGGAAAAGAAGAGGAATTATCTAATCCAAAGAAGCATTAGATCCAATTTTACATACTTGAACACTTGTGATTAACCTAATATACTGTCAAGAGTATTATATACTTCAACACTTGTGATTACACGCCACTTATATCCAATTTTCAACACTTATTGGCATTTTTCTTTTGAGGTTCTCCCTTTCAATTCCATTTGTTTTTTTTTCCATCTGTTTATTTTAGCTACATTCTAAAATGCATTACCAATCAATTAATTCCGCAAACAAAACTGTTATATATATCACATACACATACCATAAAAAAGACAGAACACTTGTCTACAAAAATTACATAGACACTAACACTACATAATTTTTTTTTTTGTTAAAGACTAACACTACATAATAGCTAACCAATCTAAAATAAGATGATTCTAAAAATCATCACCTCTAATAAAATCACTCTTCGACTAACTAATAAAATCTTTTCTTCTTGCCATTTTTTCCTTCGATGGTCATTTATTTCTCTTAATTGAGAAAAAAAATCACGAACGATGTCTTATTAATAAAAAACTTGGAAAAAACGTCGGGGGTAGGGAAGAGAGTTATCACCAAACGCGTAGCATCGCCCAAGACGCCAAAGTCAAAACGCCAATCGAAAACAAGGTAGAGAGAGTTGGCGACGCGTTTTGAGATGCAGCAGAATAGCTTACCGCTTCGGGTTGGAGTCCTTTTGTTGCACTCTTCACACTGTTACACAAGAAAACAACATTTAATTATATCACTCTGACGTCTTGAATAAAAAAAACAAACACATATATTTAAATTATTTGCAATATGAACAAATTAAAGAGCCGTGTTTTGGACCACGCATGGCCACAGTTCACCGACGTTGAAATAAAAAGATCTACGCATCCAACATAAATCATTATATATATATATATATTATAATTATTATGTTGATTTAAATGCCCAACGGGTGGAAATGTAAAATGTCGTCTTGTCATATGATTTCACAAATTGACAAAAGAACACGGACCATTATGTAAAAGCATGAGCCATGATTTTTATTCGGTGATTTGACCTCATTCAAAACGTTACACAACCAAAAAGGTAAATTCATTATTCATCTCCAACATTATTGACCTTTTGAATTTGTCTAAAAAAAAAATCGAAACCGGGGACTTCTTCTAATAGAATTAGAACCAAACTTTTTTCCCTTTTTAATTGATTTGATAAGAACATCGGAACTAACCTTTTTAATTAGCCTAAATGTCAAAATTTGTTTATTTATATATTCATAATTCTTGGAAAAAAATGGGTTACCTTGGATTAGGAGAAGGACAGAAAGTGATGAGGTAATCAGCTCCGGCACAAGTGAAAGTGCTAGTTCCGTCGTCGTATGCGTAACTATAAGCTCTCGGACACGCGTTTTTGAAAAACAACGAGTACTCACTCGGCTTACACGTGTCCGGCGTTCCAAACGCCCCGCTGCAGCAATACTCCGGCGTGTTAAACGCCTCGCACGCGCTTTTGCAAGCTACTCCTTCAGCTCCCGTCGCAGCCACTTTCAGCTGAGCAGGACACGGACCGTTGAGCTCTGCGACGCATCCGGTGGTCGTGCAGTTTCCAGCGACTCCTCCGGCATCTCCTCCCCCCTGAGGAACAATGGTCATGGGGATGTTGTAACCGTCTACGAGACTCACGTCGTAGAAATCCAGACCACCGGCTCCGTTTAGGGTGAACTCGGCGAGTGTTGCAGGAGGCGCAGCGCCAGATCCGGAGCATTCTACGGCGGAAGAACCACAGTCCCCGGTGACGCAAGTGAATTTCCCGGTGGTTGCGTCTTGTGTGCAGAGAGTACGGCCCCAGATACGGCCGGACCAAGCAGCGGGGATTGGGATGACACGTGTTTCAGTCGGGTTTAAGGAGAATCCTGTGGTGGGTAAAGGAGGGGTTCCAGCGCCGGAGAGAAGACCAGGCCAGACGGTGTAGCTACACTGGTTAAGGATGGTGAAAGTGGTAGATGAAACGCCATAGATTAAAGCGAGAACTAGAAGAAGAAAGAGAGAAACTTGAGATTGACCCATTTGAGCAGAGAGTCACCAGAGTATTTAGATATTGAACTTTTTGTGTGTTTTATGTCGCCGGAGATTTTGTTTTCCGGTGACTCTGTTTCTGCTCTCTGGAGAGAAATGTATAAAGAGCGTAAATGTGTAGGCTTTGTATTTATATGGTAAGAGAATTTACGAGTTGGAGAGAGATAGAAATTGGGGAGAATGAGGTCTTTGGAGACTTGACTCATCTTTTTAAAGGACCAAAGATTTTTTTAGAAAGGTCGGCTTTCACGTGAGCCCATGCCGCCTTTGTCTATGTTAGTCGGCCAATGTGTCGTACATGTTCACGTTATTATTTATTTTAGTGAGGGTTATAATACAAACATGTAGTATTTTTGAATCATAGAAATTATTATTATATCATGTTTCTTAATTGTATGATTCGTGCAATAGGACAATATGGGTTGCATATGGATATGATCAGTGTTGATGTCGGTGATCTACATCGGACTTGTCCCCTCCTTTGGCTTTTATATTATAATAAATATTTTCAGCCGATCCATTACTTCGTCTGTAATTTTCTTTGCTGAATATGTGATTCGATCCAGAGAAACTTTATGTTACTAATACTATTAGTCTAAAATGCGGAAAACATTATTATATGTCCGAATAAATACGGTAACAAAAGAACTGAGTCGTGATAAAATGGAAGAGGCGGTGAACAAACGCAAGAAGAAAACGTAGTGTGTGTGTGATGCTATCCTTAGATTCTGCCCTCTTCTCTCTTCCAAGGGACACGGTCTTACGAGAGTATCTAGCTACCATCCACCCAAGTTGTGCTGTGTCACTGTTAATTAATTATTATAATTATTACAAGATGACAATATTAAATATGATGATGATGTTTGATATATTTCGTGAGCCTCTCAAACATCTATTTAGCATTCAAACAGCAACATACGATCAGAAAAGGTTCAGGAGAGAAATACTATATTTTATTTTATTTGAGTTATCATGGGAAAGAGACACAGTGGCTAACGTTGGATGGGTGTTTCGTAAGATTGTTTTTTATAAAGAACAAAAAAAGAGAGAGATTCAGGGTGTTGGGTCAACGACATTCCAAGCTTTTGTTGTGTGATGTAGAGATATCAACTTGGTTGGTTCATGCTTCTTCTATTGTTACAAGTTATTTACGTTTTGACTAGGACATGTAACTGGTTCTTATATTTAAATAGTTTTTCTGGTATGACTGATTAGAGTTTTGGCTATTTATTTCAAGTGATTAATGCGATGTGAGGTGATTAGTAAGGTTTTGGTTGATTGGATCCATCAACATAAAAAAAAAAAACACGAGGAGACGTGGATGATGTTTAACCTAGTCAGGTTCTTATAAGTGTGTTTTAAGATAATATAACCAATAATCGTGTGGCTTAGGCTATATGTTTGTGCAGGAAAAGGTGAACATCAATCCTGGGTTTCCTCTTTCCAGTTTCTTCTATTAGGAAGATTCGTCATCAATCTTGGATTTTGCTACCTAGTGAAACTTTTAACCCGGAAAAAACGACTGTGACATTCCCCCTACATGACTATAAATTGCAGGTAAACGATTAGCCTTTACACCAATTCACAGGGTACTATAATGCAAGTCTAATCGATAATTCAAAGTGTAGGAACTGCACAAAACAAGCTCTACACCAAAACAAAGAACCCAAAGATTGGATTGATCTTGTGTCAAAATAATAGACTAATAGTCAAAACATAGAGAGAGTAGTACAAAAGCAATAAACTGAAACAAGTAACAATTCAACAACAAAAGGACAAAACTCAAAAGTTGGGATGACATAAGCAATATGAGGTCAAAATTTCCGGAAACAGATAGAAAAGAAAAGAGCATCCATGTCAAAGACAAACACTAAAGGAGATGGTTATAACAAGAAGAAAAGGGATCACTCTCTCTTTGTAGTATAATAATAATAAGAAGTCAAAAACACCAAAAGGACCAGGCAGTTTCATTCCCATCAACAACAAAAAAAAAGAAAAGAAAACGAAGAGAAATATATAAATAACTCGATTCAGTTTCATTCTCTCTTTTGTTGAGAAGGAAAGCAATTAAGCAACAGCACATTGCCTAGCAAAGTGACCTTCCTCGCCACAACGGTGACAACTGTTACCTCCACCACCGCTTCCTCTCCGGTCACAATCACGAGCCAAGTGACCAAGACCACCACAATGGTAACATTTACCGGGCGGTCTCTTAGTCGCACAATCTCTTGCCAAGTGACCAACTCCACCACATGTATAACAAGGTCCACCACTACGGTCACTGACGCCGCCGCTTCTCACGTTTCCAGCCACCGCTTTCTGAGTACAATCCCTAGCCAAGTGTCCATCGCCACCGCAATTGTAACAACCATCTTTCCTGGCTCCACGTTGGTCTGCTCCGTTCCCAACTGGTTTCTGAGTACAATCCCTAGCGAAGTGACCCTCGCCACCGCAACTGTAACAGCCATCTTTCCTAGCTCCACGCTGGTCTGCCCCGTTCCCATCTGATTTCTGAGAGCAATCCCTAGCAAAGTGGCTTGCATCGCCACACTTGTAACAACCGTCTCCTCCAGCTCCGCGCCTAGCACCGCCACCGCGAGACTTGTTCTCCTTCTTAAGAGGACCACCACCGGGAGCAGTTACATCGACGGCTTTGGTCTTGCCGTCGCTTCCCTGAGTAATAGAGAACTCAACCAAATCGTCGACAGCTAAACTCCGGTAACCTTCGGAAACAATTGCGGATTGGTGAACGAACAGCTCATCACCACCTTCGTCTGGAGCAATGAAACCATAGCCTTTCGTATCGTTAAACCAATTAACCTTGCCGGTAGATCTCGCCGCGGACTCTGACGCCATCGGAATTACCAAACAAGCAAAAAGTTAGAAGAAGGGATTGAATGAATTAGGGTTTTGGTTGGTAAAATCCGAAGGCGTGTGTGTGTATATTTATATGGAGAGGTTGAGTGGATTAAATCTGTAATTAATAAGAAAATTAGTGACAAAACCCTAGTTTAGTGGGATGTAATTAAACCCTAATTAGACTCTGCCGCCCAAGTTTAACCAAATTTTGGGTGTGGAAGATTCTTCGGGAGTGGGGGAATTTGGGAAACTTGCCACTTCACTTTGTTTCCTTCTATCCGCGTCGGTTTATCAGGTGAGCACGCGTCCACCACTGGACATTTTAATCTTGGACGCCGCTACAATACTGGGCCTTTAGTCCAACTTCTTTAATGGGCTTTAGCGGATTCGGTACGGGCTATTTATTTATTTCCCAATTCGGTTTTGCTGATGTTTTTTCAGGACGACAAAACAAAACGTTGTGATCGATCTCATTGCCAAGCCTACTACACTGGAAACAATAAAACTTTATACAACTTTTGAATACATGTGGAAACCAAATCATACTAATTCTTTTTCTAATGAGAAATGAGAATCATATGTGAAAGCCTCTGGAACCTCTGGATTGGTAAAGCTCGAGTCTGCTCTTAGCTTCATACAACAAACCTTCCATATCTTCATCTTCTATCACATTAGCTTGCTTCGATGCCCGCTCCAGTACGGTTAACACTTCGTCTTTCGCTAGCTCTTCACTGTCAGGTACGTTCATCGCCACGTAGCTCAGCAAAACCAAGGCTGGTATCTGAGCTCCGTTCTCTCCGAAATACGCTAGCTGTACCAGAAGCTTCGATCCTCCCGCCTCGATGATCGTCTTCGAGTGATCTTTGCTTAAGAAGTTTTCCTCCGTCGCGAACTTAGATAACGCGACTGCTACCTCCGCCGCCAAATCTGGTTCTCCGTCGTCGAGGAGTTTTACCAAAGGCACGATCATATGCGTTTCCGCGGATTTGAACGTTCTTGCTAGGTTTCCGATTGATCTTACACAGGGGATGAGCAAATCGGATTCGGCGTCGGCGTTTTCAACGATTCTGAATAGCTGGTCAACGACGGCTTTGCACGCCGGTGAGGTGCGTCTGAACGCGGATCGTCTAAGATCAGCGTTTTCTTCAGCCACGGCGGTTATCTCCATGATAGCCATAGCTGTGTTATACTTGGTGTCTGCGTCTCCTTTGTCTAGTAAAACCGCGAAACAGAGCAAAGCTCGTGACTCGGTGATCACTCGGCATATCGACGAGTTTCCTACTGCGAGTTTCCACAACGCTCTCGCCGCCATCGCTTTCATGTAAGTCTTCGTCGCCGGATCTTCAAGCTCTCTCCCTCTCGTGACCGACCCATTTCGCGATTGATGTGCCGTACTACTGTAAGCCTTGATCTTTGAATTCAAACTATAACTCTTCTCCGGCAGCTTTTCCGGCGGTTGCTCGTCCTCACCGGTGTCAAATCGGCTAGAAAGATTCGATTTTGATCCCGATCCAACCGCCTTCATCGCCATTGTAGTCGTAACTATGTTATGCATCTGATTCGGCATGATGTTCGGGTTTCCGATCTGGCTAGTATCCTCCTCCTCCTCGTTAACCGCCGGCAAATTGATTTTACTTGCCATCACGACGGCGTGATGCATCGACGTAGCTCTACCGGCAACAACCGCGTATTTGCTATGTTCTTGAACCGTTTCAAATGCTAAATGACTCACGAGAAGACGTATCACGTTGTTTTGCGCGAACAGCTCTTGACATTTCGCGTGGTTACCAGAAACAAGCTCTGAAACAGCCCAAGCCACAACCGCCTGAACCTTCATCGAACCTTCTTTAAGAATACTCGAAAGCACTGAACAAACACCAAGCTGAATCATATGCTCCACGCTTTCCGGGTCACGACCCAATAACCCGATTGTTCTCGCCGCGTTTTCTTGGCCGTCGACCTTACCTTCTTTCAGAAGTTTCAACAAAGGGTTGACTCCACCTTCTTCAACTATCAATTTCACGTATCTGTCGTTATCTCTCGCTAAAGAAGCTAACGACGCGGCGGCGTCGGATTTATCTTCCGGCGAACCGGTCATCAGAACCGCGATTTGCTCCCAAATAAGACACAAGATTGGTTCGTTGGCTGCAATCGGAGGGAGGCCTAAGTAGCCAAACCCTTCGTCGTCGTCGTTACCGGCGGGAGTTGAGACACGGAGGAGCCAAGAGACATCGCCGACGGAGTTTTCTAGTTGGGAGATCATCTTACGGAATGCGGCGGCGGGGATTATGTTGAAAAGACGCATTATGTAGCCATCGTCGCGGCATCTCTGGACCATGGCCAGTGCTTTCTCGAGAACGTTCTCAGTGTCGTCGATGATACGGCGAGTGGGACGTTCGTAGAGGTCGGAGCTAGCACGAGCGGCTTGACGGAGAAGAGCAGAGAGCTTTTCCGTCTTGGACTTGATATCGGCGCATTCTTGTTTGTTGATCGTGGCTTCATCTCCGGCTTTCACCACTTGGTCTGCGAGTTGAATAGGGCGAGACAATATCTGCTTAGCTAGATCACCCATAGATCAAAGAAACTGGTTTTAGATCAAGGAAATTAAGAAACGGTTGGATCTTAATTAATTTGAAAGATAATGAAGGAAACATTCGTGTTATGTTTTGTTTTGTTGCAGGGGGGTTTGGTCTTAGAAAACACGGTTTCTGTCATTTCTAATGTATTTCTTACAGAACACGCCGGTCGTCGCCGGCTTTCGTTGTCGATCGGAGTAAATTACTTATTAGTACATTTACTAAGTCTTCGCATCAGCTCTTTTCATCAACAATATTCCATATATTTTTAAAATATGAAAAATTGGAGAATAGGTTTGTTCAGGAAATGTCAACAAAAGTTGTTCCAATCGTCTTCAAATATATTACGTTTGATTGGTTCCCAAGGTTATCAACACACACCTGTGTTTTGGGATTTTCATGGTTTACATCCCGAATTCATAGAAGATAACAAAAAGATTACTCCGATAATATGTTGGAGTACTACTTTATGTACATAGAAATGAGTAAGACGTGGAAATATGAAACTGTTGGAAATGTCAAATGTGATTGGATAACTTAATTTGGGCCCCGGAAAGACAGACATAAACCATTTATTGGCTAAGGCTAGCTGGTTTTTTTTTGCTTCTTCTTGAAGTCGTGTGTGTGTGGTGTGTGGCTAACTACATCGAATGTTATAACCAACCATATTTATTTCTGGGCCATGTTTCACATTTATATGTTGTGATTTTGAATAACAAGAAGATAATTACTACATAATTACAAAATTCAAAAATACTCAAAAACCATATAAACTATTTGTAAATTCAATTAGTTTCAGTTGATTCTTATAACAAAATTTTGGTTTAAGGTTGCAACAGTGCTATCTATTGACAAAGAGACTTCCTCACTTCAAGATAATGTTATTATGACAGTTATTTCTCAACACTGTTTTTTTTTTAGTAGTATAACAGATATTACAACACAAGTGGATCTTTATATTTAATCGGTTTATACACACACATGCAAGCAAAAATAACGGGACCAAAAATAATACTAGTATAGATATTTGTCACAAGCAAGAAATAAAGTACAAAACTAAATGATTAGAAAGCTTTCTTTTATACGAATTTTTGAGAGCGTTATCCGATATCTGCCTCGTTTGTTTTATGTCATAACCCAACAAAGCTAAATAGCTTAGAAGTGAATAAATGAGTTCAACATAAACCAACCGTTTTTTGCTTTCCTACAAACGAAGAGAACGTGGTTACAATGAATCTATATGGTATATAAAGAGCAACTGGAGCACGTCTTTCAGTTAAACGTCGAAAAATGTTTTGCGCGTAAAATTCGTTGAAATCATATTCTGTTTATTACTTAGCAAAATTCTTGAAATATATTCTTCATCACAAAAATAAGAAGAGCCACGAGATTGAGAGATATTTTGTTGCCTCCCCCTTGGAGGATTTTTATTTGTATATAGACAAAAAAAAAATAGACACACTATCTTGCTATAGCTTCTAGAAGGTCATTACATTACTAGTTGTTATAAATAAATATATAAATAAAGTATTTTTTCGACAAAATAGATAAATAAAAAGTATGGGGATCTATTATAAAAATAAAAAGTCCCGACAAATAAAGATAAAAAGTTGTAGAGAAGATCTAACGGACCTCTCTTATTATGTATTTGTCCCCCCCTCGCCGCTAGGGTTATAATTTATAAAAGATAACGTCCAAGTTATTTTATCAGCAGAGTCGTGCAAATTTTCTACTTAGAACCATTTGCATCATTGATAAAAATTAGCTCCAGCTTCCAATTTCATTAAACAAAACTTCTCAACTTCGCAAAATCGAATTATAACTGGTGATGGGTTTAGTTCACATGGACAAATCTGATTTTCATTGGCCATCCATGTTAACGTGTATGTCCATCATTTTCGTGGGCCAGAAGATCATTATAATCACGTATGGATGCATTCTATCAACTGTATTTTGATTCCCAAACTAGATGATATGCTTTACTCTCTATCCGTTTTTTTTTTTTTGGTTCATAGTTATGATAATACGGATATATAGCATCAATTTGGTTGAGTTTCATTATCTAGAGAGAAAAGAAACCTAAACGTAACTGGTTATTGAAACTATACCAAGAACCCATACTATTCGATTCGTTTCTTGACTACGTTTAAGTGTTTTTTAAACTTTTTTTTTACACTTAATAAAGAACTGCTCGAATCTGTGTATTTAGTGATGAGCTTCTTCGAAAGGAAAAGATTAAACAGCTATTATCACAACAAGTTCACAACAATGAAAGCAAATTATATATATTGTTTATCATTTGATTATATAATTTAGGATTCACAAGGTAAAAAAAACGCGGAGATCCTAACGTAAACACAAGGCGTATGTTAGCACACACACACACACTAATCCTCGTCCGTGTTAGCTTAACTATAACACTTACTATTATTAATTACAAACGTCAAAGCCCGTCTTTGCTCGCCTTTCGTATTTACATCTAATTAAACTCGGCTGGGTCAAACTCGTTCACCGAGTCAACTCGCTACCAGCACTGATCAGTTTCCCAGTTCCGTCCGACGTAACTGCCCAACCCGGAGGTACTAACGGACAGAGGACGGCTCCGCCGCAGCATCCTCCGATCGTAAACAGAGCGTTTCTCAGGATCGGAAAGCGTGCAGTACGCGGCGTGGATCCTCATGAACTCATCCGCCGACGAGTTAGTCCGATCGGTTCCCGCCACGTCGGGATGGCAGATCCTGGCTAATCTCCGGTATGCCGATTTGATATCCTGGCTCGTCGCGCCTAACGGAACCTCGAGGACGTCGTAGAGGGAAGCAGTCGCCGTCGTCAATCGCCGCGGGATCTGATGCAACCTGGGCGAGTCTTCGGCGCAGGTGTAAGAGCAAGAGGCGGAGACTAGAGGAGGAGAGATCCGAGCCATGCGAGACGGCGGGGATAAAGGGGAGAGAGGAGGGGAAGAAGAGAGAAATGGATGAGTGAAGGAGCTCGGAGATGAAGAAAGCATCGTCGGCTATGAAACGCTGTCGTTTGCGAGTTTCGCTGAGTTTTTGCGTTCGATCGAGAGGGAAAGATTGAAGAAGAAAGGAAAGAGAGGGATTTATTTATAGGCAAAGAGACGATTTAGTGGGATTAATTTTGCTTCATTAATAAGACTCAAAAATTTAGTTTAAAAATGTAGAGGGATTAATAAAGACGGGTCGGGTTCTAAAAAGAAGGGTCGGATCCTGTGTGATATGAGTGTGATCCCTTATCCAGTTTTGGAAATTATTGCACAAGAGATAAGAATGTACGTAAGATTTTCAATAGTGGCCAAATTGTTCTGTGGCTGTAATTGTCAATTTTTAGCATACCAATACATTTATTTATTTATTTTCATGTTAACAAAAAAAGAAAAGAAAAACAAGACAAAGGATGCAAAGGAATAAATTGCACAGAAAATGATATCAGGCTCTTTGGTTTTTAGTTTTATTTATTTTGCATGCAACTTTTATTTTAGAAAATTATTTTATGGTGGAAATCCAGAAAATGGAATCTTCTAATGTCTAGATTTTTTTTTTTTGATTTTAATAAAAATAAAATATATGATGTATGGAAACGTATATGGACCGTGTATTGTTTTGTTGGATATTGAGAAGACAGAAATAGATTTTTTAGAAGATTGAGAAAAGTCTCTCCATATAGCAAGGTTGCCTCCCACAGGCCACAACCATACAAAACATACGATATCGTTGTGCCTTTTACATATTTTCGTACTATGGAATTAGAATTATAAAAGAGAAAAGGCCAATGGTAATACGTACATGCAATTTGATTTTGTGAGAAATTTGTTATTCTTTAGCACACAGAATTAAAATCATACCATCAAAAACAGTCTTTTGTACTAAACAGATTACGTTAAAATAAAGATTAGTAGCATCAAATATATAATAGGTAATATAAATATTTAAAATTTATGTAACCTATTATTATGGTTGAGGTCTTAATCAAGAGAAAAGTCGGCTTTTTGTTTTTCTAAACATTCGTAGAAGATTTAGAAAAAGTCGACTGAGTTATTATTTTATTTATTTTGTATTCTTGTGCGGGAGGTAATTCAAAATAACCGGAATCACGGATGGAGACTACAATTAAGGGTAAACTAAACTCCATCTTTTTTTTTTTTCTTTTTTTTTGGTTACTACACAATTTTTTTGGTGTTACTACAAACCCGAGATATGCATAATTTGTATTTGAATCAACAAAAAGATAATCTCATGGTTTAAGTTGTTATCTAAGAGCTACGTTGAAAAGTCTTAGAAACTATGAAAACAGTTCGTGTCCCAGTGGCTCTCCGAATAGTCCTTAAACCAAGATGATCACGTTGAAACCTCCCCGAGTTCTAGAAGACTGTGATTGTTTGTTGTTGTAAGCGAAACAACTATATATTGTAATCATATATAATCTCTACTTCTTCTCCAACCACGTGTTTGGTCGACATCTTATAATTTGTACCCAATAAAATCCAATTCTACTTGTTGTGGTAACCAGTGCCCATCGGATTTCATCTTTCTCCTTGATCAAACTTAATCTAAGATCAAACAATCATCATATATATCACTATGATTGTAAAATTTACTCTTCTTAATCATATTATCAAGGGAGAATTATATTCAAGTCTTTTGACATCTTCAAAAGCCAAGCCACACACCATTTTTACATGTATATAAACAATGGTAAGTGACGTCGACGATTAACACCACCAATTTCGTGGGTGACACATTCCCTTCCATCAGCATTTTGTGCTTTCATGTCATCTTCCATATAAAATATAATCAAATTCCATACACACACACACACACACACACATACGTATACGTATACGTATCCTTGTCTCAATTAACATAACCTTTTAATTTTAAATTTCTGCAACTTGTAACATTAGTATATTAGCTGCTTATAAAGCTAAAAGTTAATCACATTAGAAGGAACGAACAATACACATTATTAAACGAGAACAAGGGGGATAAAGTGATAGAGACAGCAACGTTGAAAGAAGCTTACTCCAGCAACTTTACACATTGGTCAAGGCTTACGCGATTATATTAATACTAATATCAACTATATACCGACATTGTTGAGTTTCTATGGTGTACCTGAGCTCACTAGATTAAATCCTTGGTTCCTGAATACTATCCGTTCACATTTTGCGCATCATGTTTGATTCATCACTCCTTTACTTGTCTCTGAATTTTGATGATGCCCATTTGAAATAACCACAGTTTGCTTCTGGATTAGAGGAAGGTCCCTACAAGAGTTGTAGATACCATTAGAGCATATAATTGCCACTATTAGAAAGGCTTGGCTTTGGTTACTTCTTTTACCTCAGCTCGAGAGCAGACGTAGAATCTGCGTCCAAATGTGGGACCTGGTTTCTTTACGACCCGAGCAACACAAGCTTCTTTATGTCCTTTGCAGAGAGGTATGCTGTTTTGCATTAGGTTCTGTATCCTTTGCCACTCCATCAAAGCTGCATCGTTCTTTTGTTGTGCTGATGAGTTGCTTTGATCTTGTTCCTGTGTTGAAGTAGTTGGTTTGTTGTCTTCTTGGCTGGAAACAGTCGGTTCTGTGATGCTTTCTACTTGGGAGCTGCGACTGGATTGAACACAGGGAGAAGACTTATCCCCGCCATTGTTTACCTCTGAGTTTGTAGTGAAAAAGGACTTAAGAGAAAGCTGAGATGATTGGATTTTTCTTGCCTTTTTCCTGTCTTTATTTCTAGAGAAATTCACAACTCTCACTGATGATACACGAAGTCCATCACCAGGGTTACCAATGGAACCTCTTGATGCCACCGTGTCTGATTCTGTAATGCTACAAGTGGATTCGTTCTCAAAAGAACAAGACTTCTCCAGTGAAATCCCCATTGAATCACAGTTTCTCAGTGGTCCTGTCGAAACATCTCCACAACTTGATGAAGCATTCCCTTGACTCGATGATGTTGAACATGTCGTCACTTCATTGGCTTTGGCTTCCTCATTGGCTTGCCTTCTCATAAACACTGATACTGTTACAGTAAACAAAAAAAAAGTGAAGAAAGATACCAACAAAGGTAAAGACAGGAATAAAACCAAACCAATCCATCACGCTGAAAAATTGAGAAATGTTTTTTGTACCAAGAGTTTGCTGGAAACCATAAATCATGGGAAGGTATCTCGAAGCTAACGGCGGAGTGCTGTGTTCAGGAATGTCTGGTAAATCATCAACACTAGTGAATACAGGTACATGGTCTGATCCCTTTAATTTTGTACCCAATCCACCTTTCCACCTGTAGTGTACAGAAGGTGATTCACCGTCATTTCAAGACCCAAGTAGAATGAAAAAGGTAATCTATTAAGTTGAAACACACATGGGATCACTAATGATCATCTAGGCTTACCTTGTTGGCATATTTTCATTCTTAAACCGCTTATACTCTGTTAATATGTCACATTCCTTGACATGACAGGCAAGAAAACAATGGCCTTCCTTATCTTTGTCTTGATGCAAGCATGATCCAGCAACTAAGATATGATCAATCCTCGAACCGTAGTTAAATTGTTCTGCTCCAGTACTTGAGGACCAACATGTGAATGCATCTTTCCTATTAGAAATCCAGAAATGAGCTATCACTGATAATAATAAAAAAAAAAGGTTCAAAGAATGTATCCAATGATAAAAAAGCGAAATATGGATGGCTCCCTCAATAAACACAGAAGAGGTTATCACATAATTTCACCTTTCGGGATGTTTTGATCTGAAAACATCAGAGAATGAGCCTCCACGTTCAACTAGCAGAGATCTAAACCACTTCCTGAACCTGAATTATATGTTGGCATGAAATGATAAATCAGAGTAAAGCAAAACGACTTAAGCAGATCATGAATATGACTATTTAAATACTCGTTTTTCTCGAAATCAGGCCCAGCTTCACATCTATCCATAGCAGAAGGAGCAATGTTGAGATCTCCAACAACAAATACCCTTCTTCCTTGATGCAAAAGACACTCCCATCTTCTCTACAAGAAAACTAAGAAACAGTTAACTCAAAATAAGCCGAAGTACCTCATTGTCTCCATTCAGAAACTGATAAGCTTACCTCTAATATATTATAGAACCGATGCTTAAACTCAATCCTCTCAGCATCATCAGCAACAGCTCGCGGTCCATAGACATTGAAGATAACTGAAAAAACACATAGATATATTCAAACTGTAATGAAAATTACATTTTACAGAAAAAAATGTACATGAAAAAAAGAGTCAAGAGTCATACCAAAGTGGCCATGATCAGTAATAACGCAGCGTCCTTCTTGGTCAATTCTAAGGAGCTCTTCTTTCTCATATTCCTCAAGACCTTCGGCTACAGTAGACCTTTCATTCTTCCCATCTCGTGAGTTACTGCTAACAAGGCCCGTGATGCCTTCTTCTGCAGCAACAGGCAAAGCAATTTCACAGCTTGAAGATGCTGACTTTACTCTGCAAAAGGTTGCTACACCTGCAAATTTCAAGAAGATAAAAAAAACTCCAACCATTTCCTCTATTTCTCAAAATCCACTGAAGACTATAGCTTGATGCTTACCAGAATAACCAGTACGACCTTTCTCACAAGTGCGGGTGCACGAGAAAAACGATTCATACCCATCAGCTATAGCCAAATCCGCTGTTAATTCTTGCCTTCTTAGTTTCGTTTCCTAGATTTTAAACTCTCTATTATTACGGATTCATAGGCGAAACAGAGGAAAAATATTGAAATTTCAAAAATTGAAAGTAAAAAACCTGGAAGCAGATGATATCAGCGTCGAATGAATCGAGAAGTTTGAGAAGAGAATCAAACTGGGAAACTCGTTGCCTAAGGCCATTAACGTTGTAAGTCACAATCTTCATGCTCTTCTTCTTCTTACACTCCCCCACCAAGTTCAACAAAGATCGTTCCTTTTTAGGTTGTAACGTTGGACGGTTGAGATCTGAGAAGACTAAAGTCAGTTGAATCGACGGTTGTACACGTGGATAACTAGAGTATAACCACGCGTAGAATATAATATCTCTTGAATGGTGGCGCGTGGGGAGCACAAGTTGTTGATTTGCCTCGTCGGCGTCCACCACCATTATCGCCGGATTAGATTTTTATATATTCACGTAGAAGAAGACGAAGACGAAACCAACTTCTACTTCTTCCCTCTGTCTCCTCTCTCTCCATATCTTTCTCGGCTTTCTAGTAGAAGTTTTGACATTGTAAATGGATCAATCGAAGAAACCAAAAACTTGCTCTGATTCCGATTTTGCTGATGATTCCTCTGCTTCTTCTTCTTCTTCTTCTACTTCTGGACATAATCTCAGGTTTTAGAGCTTAAAAATGTAAACTTTAAAGATGTGTCATGTTTATTCATAGTTGTGATTTCGTCTAAATTTCAGAGCTGAGATAGTGGTGGAAGTGAACAAGGAAGCAGTTTGTTCTCGTAAAGCAGAGCGAGAGAAGCTTCGTAGAGATAAGCTCAAAGAACAGTTTCTTGAGCTGGGAAATGCATTAGGTATGTACATATCTAACTATCTATCTCACAAGATGAATACAGATTCTAAATTGGGATTGATGGTTTCTTTCTGCAGATCCAAATAGGCATAAGAGTGACAAAGTTTCAATTCTCACTGATACAATACAAATGCTGAAGGATGTAATGAACCAAGTTGAAAGACTAAAGGCTGAGTATGCAACACTATCTCAAGAGTCTCGTGAGGTGAATTGATTTACTTGCCTATTCTCTTACTGGATTCAACTTGAGTTTGCTCATCTTTTACCATTGCTGAGCAGCTTATTCAAGACAAGAGCGAGCTGAGAGAGGAAAAAGCAACTCTCAAGTCAGATATCGAGATTCTCAATGCTCAATATCAGCATAGAGTCAGAAGTATGGTTCCATGGATACCACATTACACTTATCCTATCCCTGTAGTAGCCCTAAGTCAGGGCCAGTCCACTTTTATACCTTATTCAGCCTCAGTCGTCAATCCTCTAATCGAACAAGCATCAATTCAGCAACGTTCATCATCTTCTGGTGCTTCAAGCAAACAAAATTCCAAAAGCAAGTCTTTTTCTTTAGATCAAGGCAATGACCATAAAGATGATGTTGGTTTAGAGCTTGAGCTTAAAATCCATGCATCTCCTTTAGCTCAACAGGTGAGTGATATCTTCACTGGTGTTGCCAAAAAGCTCGTTCTGTGTTGCTACTATGTCACAGACTAATCAAAGTTACTTCCATGTAGGATGTTTCTGGAAAAGAGAACAAAGAAAGCTTGACGCCTACTGCAAACTCATCAAATAGTTACTCATCATCTCAAACTGTGCAAGATAGTTCCCCGGGAGGTGTGAATGACATTTTGAAGGCATAAACCGATAAACATATTCCCCTAAACCTTGTGTTTTAGCTCTTTGATTGAGAAGGTACTCAATAGCACCACCATATTTTTACACTGGTTGTAGGTTATACCCATGCCTAACTATGTAATATTATCACAAGCAAATAAACACAAAATCACTTGCTTAAATCTCTTTGCAACTGAACTATTGTTATACGACGTGAGAAACATTTCTAAACCTCACAACCAGACGAGTGTTATCTAATGTACAAACCCCATCTAGCCTAGCCTCTATACAATTTTCTTGGTCTGACAGCAAAATACACATAATGACAAATAATGTTCTGTATAATAGAGATCAGAGTTTGTGCTTGCTGATTTGCTAAGTAATTTACATCTTTCGGAAAAGCTGGTAACCAGGAGGGCTTTTTATATTTCTTGACTTGATGCTTGCACTTCTCAAAAGTCTTCTAAACTCATGGATGCTGAGTCTCCCATCTTCATCCACATCTGCCTCTTCAAGAAGTGGTTCGATGGAGCCTTTCAAACCCGTTTGCTGCAAACACTGTTTCTAAGAAAACAAAGCAGAAAAAAAGAGGGGAATGTAAAAGGCTTGAGACTGACCAATCGAAGTTCTTCAGGAGTTATAAACCCATCTCTGTCTATGTCAAACTTGTCAAATGCTGCTCTTGACCTCTGTTGCCACTTCTCAGAGTCATGTTCCTCCAATTGGTTTACATGCAAAGTAGCCACCACAAACTCAGTGAAATCCACCAACCCATCAGTGTTGCTATCGATCTGAAAAGACACAGACACATTTTGGATTATACACTAGCCTTTGGAAGGGGCTTCAGTCCTAACAACTCAGTTTACCTACCGCTTGAAGAATCTCTGCAACTCTTGCATCCTTCAGTTTCCAAGGAACATCTTTTGCTAGAGCCTGTTAAGATTAAAAAGTTAATAGACTCTACATTTCATTCATGCAGTGAAATCGCTTACTTGTGTTGTCTACGTCTTACCTGCCTCATCTCCTCAAGGCTTATAGAACCGTTCTTGTCAATGTCAATAGCATCAAACTGGTCTCTGAGATCATCCAGCTCATCCTCATCAATTGTTGTTGCCAGCGCCTACGAAAACATAACAACTCAGGTTTAAAAAATCAAAAAATCACGACCTTTCATATGAAATACAATATATCTCTTTCTTAGTTACCCTAAGAGCAATCTGCTTAAGGCGGCTGAATTTCACAAACTGACGCATGTTGTTAAGAACAGAGATGTCTATTGGAATCTCTGAGGCCTCACCTCCTTCTCTCACCCATGGATGCGCTGCAAATCCCAACCATCAGGAAAATGATTAAATCTAACCACAGACAATGGAAACTTGTGGCATTTGCATAACATACACAGTGCTTGAGCTGCTGTTAACCGTGCACACGGCTCCTTAACTAATAACTTTTTCACGAAATCTTTGGCACTGTTGCTGATGGTTGGCCACGGGACTGTTTTGAAATCAGGTTTTTTTCTCATGACCTGTTTTTCAAGTCAGTATACAAAGAGAAAACATATCATTGCTTTAGATTTTATATGATTTGTCAGAAAATTACTAGACCTCATTGAATATTCCGTCTTGAGTCTTATCCCAGAAGGGTCTTCTCCCGCAGAGAAGAATGTAAGTGATGACACCGATACTCCAGACGTCTGATTCAGGTCCGGACCTACGTTTTAACACTTCAGGTGCTACATAGTAAGCGCTTCCTACTATATCCTGAAATTTCGTTCCTACCATTTTAAAAAAATTTGTCTCCATTATCATCTCCTAGTATCAGAGACAAGACTGGACAAGTGAAACACTTGTAAGGCTTACCTGGCTTTATGAAGTCTGACAAACCAAAATCTGTAGCCTTTAAAGAAGAATCTTCTTCAGTTGATTTGAACAGAAAATTCTGATGGGTTAAAGGGAAACTCTGTTTTAAGTGATGGAGGTTCTTTCACATTTCCAGGCATCAAATCAAATAGAACCGAACCGTACCTACCTCTGGCTTCATATCTCGGTGCACTAGACCGCGTAAATGACACTCAGCTGCAACTTTTAGCATTTGTCGCACCACAACCGCTGCATCTTTCTCGGTGTAACGGCTATCTTTCCTAGAAACATAGACACATAAATTTACTTGAAGTGAAAATTCCCAAATTTGTATTTTATGTTAACACAAATTGCTGTTACTCTTACTTTCCTAGTATTCGATCTAGCAATTCACCACCTTCACATAACCTGGAAAAAGAAAAACTCATCAAAGCCAGGGTAATTTCATTTTTCTTGTATCACAAGAAAAAGAATGTTAATAAAACAGAGTCAAATTTTGAGGCTTACTCCATAACTATATAAACATAGTTTTTGTCATCAAAAGCATTGTGAAACCCAACTACATTCTCATGCCCACCTAAAGCTTGTAGTATCTTAACCTCTCGCTTCACATCTTCCACTTCAATCGGTAGAGACATCTGCACACCAAATTACCCAAAACCATTTTACCACGAAGAAACTTGTAACTTATCTTGAGAGTGACTTTAATGGACAAAGTTGGTATGTCTAAAGTTCTTAGAGAAAGCCAAGAACTTGAGAAGGAGAGCTTACTTTGTTATCAAGCAATACATTATTAACGGTTGAATATAAATTTATGGATCTCAATTTAGGTAAAACACATTAACGATGAACTTTTGGAATCATAGAGAATTCAAGAAAATGTACGAATCCAATAATGTTTGACCTTGGCCTTATCGATTCTCTTGACGGCGACGCTATTTCCATTGTTGTTATCGGTGGCTACGTATGTAAAGCCAAACTGACCATGTCCGAGCAATTTCCCAATGGTGTATCGATTGTCGAAATCCTTAGCGTACCCAAAATCGATGCGCTTACCGTACGGAGTCCTTCCTCCTCGTCTCCGTTGGATCTTGTTCTTGTTCTTCGTCTTCTTCCCGTTTTTATTACTAACCTTCTCGTTTGCCTTCCCCTGCGTTAGAGAATGACCGTTAGGGTTCCGGGGGCTGGTACCATGTCTGGTGGCTTTAGGAGAAGAGCAGCAGAGACCCATGTGATGGTATTCGAGTCTCTAGTGGAGAATATTTTCACAGCAATGCTGGGTTAAAATGAGCGAGACGTTGCAAGAGATTGGGACATGGAAGGAAGAGGAAGAAAGAAGGGCTGGGACCGTTGGGTCGTTAAAAAAAAAAAAAAGTTACTTTATTTACAAGATTGACATCATTTTGTTTTACCTTTGGAAACTCGAAAAAGAAACCTAACCCTAATGATGAGATGTTTTAATACAAATCATCCAAAAAAACCCTAATGAGTTTGAACACATAAGGTTAACTATTTACAAACTTAATCACTTCAAACTCAGATTCTACCCAAAAATGGTTAAAAAATTTCCTTCAAAGCAATTTAGAACCAGGGATGCCATGTTGGATCCATCATACATAGGTTCCGAGGGGACAAAGCTGCCTCCACCAATTCATTCACACCTCTTTGTACAGACTGTGGCGGCTCCACCGAGTTCTCATCCTGTAGTGAACAACTCAACATATCAGATTCATCAGTTCAGAAAATGGACAATAGCTTCTTTTTGAGAACTTTAGTGCCATACAAAATTCGGTGGAGATGTAACAAATGATTGTACCTCTTCAGAGAAATACTGTGGCGCTATTCCTCTGATTCGTCCTATGACATCGTCCACGTTTGAGTTAACTTTGTGCTTAAGCTCGGCCGAACTCAAACTAGCAGTTCCTATAACAGGAGGAATAGGCACTCCAAGAGGTCTTCTTCCAAACCATGATAGAAGCTCATCGCGAAAGAACATGGCTAATTGATACCGAAGATGTTCATTTTGCTGAAAATTTGCAAAAGAGACGAAGAGGTTAGAGGCAAAATGATTTGAGTGCACCACTCAAGCTTCGGTAAATAATTTTTTATTACCTTGGAGGAGAAAACCGCTTGAGATGCGGAACACATGTTTGACATGAGAGGACCTTCAACACCAAAATGAGAGAGAAATGCTTGCATGTTCCTTGTGAGGCGGAAAGGCACAGGTTCGTTGAGCTCGATCATCCCTTTGGAGTCATAAGATGGATGAAAATCTGTCTGGAACATTTTCCCTGTATTTTTGGCGAACAAGATCTTGTTTGGGGATCTCCCACCAATTTGTAGAATGAAGGACATGAAATTGGATACAGCTAGCTGGACAGCAAATTGCTTCTTGAAAGCCCAAAGATGACTTCCGCTCATTGATGTCTTGTACATGTACTGAGAGAAGATAGTGTCATTGACTATGTTCTTTGTGATTTCACCATAAGCCTGTAGCCGAAGATCTCCAATTGCTTCTGGTGAGATTTGCCCTGAGATAGCTTGATTGAGTTTCTCCTTAAAATAGGTTATAGGAAGATCTGACTCTCTACCATTCCTTTCACAGTGATTCTCATATACCTCAAGGAAAGTGTTGTACATGAGATCATCCTCCACCATTCGGACCTGAGACGAAAAAATGTTAGCATGCCACCTATAGAGATTCACCTACTCTTACAATGGACAGCCAGAAGGAAGATTAAGTTGAATATGTAAAGTTTCACGAAAATCTGGTAAATTGAACTGCTCATCGAAAGAAACATTAACTCAATCAAGAACGGAAAGAGGAACTAAGCTGATATTTTCAAGGCATACCTGAGACCAGACAGGGATTATGATCGGAGTGTGAAGTCCTAAATGGCGTCTTCTCGACTCTTTATGCTTGTCAAACATTTGATTCATCACACGAAAAAGCTGCAAGATTCGTTCATCACTCCTCGCATTAGGAGTTAATGATGTTTGAACAATAAAATGCTTTTGCGAGCCATCGGAGCCAATAAGAGTCAAACGTCTGCAGCTGCTCCCATGCCTTCGTACAATTTGTATGTCTGCTTCAACCCTATCCAACTTTACTGTATGATCAGGTGCGACTTCCTGTGCAGTTTAAAAACATATGATTATTTCACCACGAAATACAAAGAGAAAGGGAAAAAAATGAGCCGCAATACCTATAATATACAGTCCCTCCAGAGAATGTACACATTGTAGATAAACAAAAGACGAGGATAACAATCCAATTTACCTGGTCAGCAAAGTACTGTCCTGGTATCTCCACATCAACAACATTAAAGTCACGCAGCACCTTGCTTTCGTCTTCCAATCTCAACACAACTGGAAACCTGTCTTCAACATTGCTCTGAAGAATGTTTATCCAGTCTTTCAGTTTCTTTGTCAGATCTGCGAGTGTGACAGGGAATGAATTACTTTCTGGATCTAGGTCACGCTCGAAATCCTGTTTGTATTCTCTCACAAATGCGACATGCTTGGTCACAGCATCTGCAGAAAAACAAGCTCTGCATACACCCGAGAGTTCTTTCTTGAGAGGTTGGGGAACTTCAGCAGTAGTGGCAGTTGGATATTTGTAACATCGATGCAACAAAGCATTCACAACTGCTAGAAGTCTTTCTTCTGGTAAAGTAACAAACCTCGAACCTATTTCCGTGAGAAGAGCCTGAAAGAAATAAGATTATGCCAGTAAAAAAGCAGGAAACGTGCAATTGAGTTAAAATCTGAATCGAAGCTACTTGTACCAGACAGTAGTTTCTTTTCTCTTTTTTTATTTGGGATTTCTTTATACCATGAAGGTTGTATGTCAAGAATTTAAATAAATCAGTAAATTCACTACCAGAATACTACCTCAAGTTCACTGGCCAAGTTGTTATGTTTACTCCTAAGAGCTTCCATAATATCCTTTGCCGCATCAAAAGCACCAGCAGCAGAGATTGCCAAGGACGCACCATCCCGTATTGCTGCATGTTGACTATTTTCATTGATTGTTGAACTGCTTTGGTTCATAGGCTGATCATTCCCTGATTGCAAGTTGTTTTCAATCCTGGCGCGTTCACTTTCTTGCACATGTGGGTTTCCACCATCACGGGTTCCAACAGCCTCATTAGCTTGATCACCTTGATGGATATGAGTTTCTGATGGTAAATTACCCCCACCATGACCCGCACTAATACCAGGAACATTCTGCTGCATTCTTTGAGCCAAAACAACTCTGCTAAGTTCAGATTTATTTACTGCATCACGGCGTTCCAGTAAGTATGTGCGCAGCCAGTAATAGAGAGCCTGAAATGGAATACAGTTTCACACTCAGATGAAATTACCAAAAACAAGTTCACCTAAATACACTAACAGGAATACCTGCGGGAATACTGCAGCAATTTTCATTAGAACTAATTTGCAATGGGGTGCTTCTGTTCGCTGCAACGAAAGCAACAGCTGTGGGATCCAAGAAAGCCACACCCAGTGAGGTACTTGGTCCAAGTGTTTATCAAATATTCTACCAACAGGCTCATTTGCTGTATCGAAACTAAGAAGATAGAGAACACGAGCCATGTGACTTCTGGAGTTGGAAACTCCAAATCTTATACCCTGAAGAAAGCAACTAACGGCATATTCTAGCCAGATTTCCTCTTGTGTTTCTTGGTATGCCTGCAAAACGAAAGTAAATAAAATGTCTAATATGAGGAGAGGGACTAATAATAGCACAAAAAAAGAAGCAGGATCCAATCAGAAGAAATACCATATCACAGTAGTTTCCCCAGCTAATCCATCCTTTGGGTAAATTTTTGAATAGGGTGATTGCGTTGGAATAGGCAATATTAGCACCTTCAGTGTCGTTTAACTTCAAATGAAAATCCCCCTTTAGTCGAAATATCTCTGCCTTGTTCTTCGCTAGAAAGAACTCTAAATTTGTGCTATTAACCAGATTAAGACCAGTAGCAAGCTCTCCTTTCGTTTCCAGATGAGATTTTGCCTGCTCTTTAATTTTAACAAAAGCTTCCTGCATACACATACGTGGCCAAGAGAACTTAAAATATACAATATTTCAAGCTCAAACAAAACAGATGCAGAGAATGTAAACTTATTATATAGGATCATGGCAAAGGATGAGGTGGCATACATTACTTCAAATATCACACAGATGTTCAAAAATGGATTAAAAGTTAAGCCAGTAAATATCTTAATAAACAAGGAAAAGATTTATTTAAAAAAAAAGATAAAAGAGAGCACCCCAAAGATGCAGTTTTTCTGTGTAGACTTTTGCGATTGAATGAACTCTGCTCAAATTCTAAGAAAGTTAAAGGTCTATGAGAATTATACCTGTACTTCCATTTGTGAGTGCCCATACATGTTTTCAAGTATCTGAACGCAAACATCATAAAGCCCTTGTTTACGAGCTATCCTAGCAAGCTTATTGACGTTCCATGCTTTGTCACGATAACCAAGGTGATGAAGTGGAGTATTTGAAGTTATAAAGTCCTTAAATGCATCAATAACAACATTATACATTTCATTCCTCCACTGCAGCATATCATACCAGACGGTCATATTGTCCCATTCATTTGGAGTCCTTAGCCTCCAAGTCTCAAGAATGTCTTTCAGGTCTGCATAATGATTTCCCTGTCCCCCAACAGCAGCATTTCCAGGAACTTTACTCCCATTTGTGATGTCAACAAAAATTTTACAAGACTCTTGCACCTCCACTAGTTGTTGGAATTGCTGCAGTAGAGGCACCCTAGCATGGAGAGATATATCCGGTAACCGCCACCACTGTTCCAAGGCAAGATCAACACCTTTCCCAACTATGTTTTCAGCATCTCCAACACCGTTTGCATTTTTTTCATGAAGGGCAAAACAGGCTTGAACTAAACGAAGCTTCGGCGTTTCTTCCACTTGTGCTTTGGGTATCACATGATCTTTCAAGTATGCCCAATCTGGAGCTTTCCAAAGACTATCAAGCAAAATTTCATAATTCTCAGTGCTTTTTCCAAACTCTACGAGGGCATCCCACTGACCAAGTTGAGTGGCACAGTGGAGCCATTGCTCCTCCCACAGGCACATTTCAGCCTTAGGTACGGTGTTATTGTAAGTGCCTTGGGTTGCCTTAACCATCGCCTGATAAAAAAGGCTCTGAGCACGCTGCCAAAAACCATGTTGAACCATTGAAAGCCCAGCTCTCGATTCAGTAGTG